TATCATGGTCGTCTGAAACACTGGACGTTCTTCCGAACGCAATTGGTGTCTAACAGCTTTATCAATGTCATTGCGGCCTTGCTTCCAACCGTCACAGCCTGTCTGAATGGTATTAGAGGACCGATCTACCAGAGATCTCCAGAGAGAGATGCCAAAGATAGGCTAATGGCTGAACGTATGAAGGACCGTTTGACAACACCGAATGGTTTAGCTCAGAGAGTCAAGATAGATCCGGATCTATCTAGACGGGCAAGGTCCGAGTTTGTCAAGATGGATGCATCTTCCGTACTGTTTCCCCGTCTCGATCTTGATTACTTGAGAACCATTACGTGTGGAACGTATCAGATATCTCTGGCTCCTGTTTACATCGCCGAATATTTAAGTGATGACGGAAACTATGAGGTGTGGCTTTACCAGCACTCCCCAGACCTTCTCCGATGTCAAATACATTCTCGATCACAAAAGTCAAACGAAATATAACGTTTGGATACGGTTCACCGTTTCACCCGATGTTGAGGCCCCAATAAAGGACTACTACTGCCAGTGCCCAGTTGGAGAGAGAACGATGGGAATGTGTGAGCACATCTCCAGTATCTTGTACTACCTTGGGTATTACAGGACGCTGGAAAACCCTCGACCATTACAACCACAGGTAAAGAAATTCCGACAAAACTTGAAATAGTTTTCCATGCGGCAACGGAGTGCATATGTCGAAAGTATGTTTGGGGCTCGATATGAAAGATCCCCGTTACCATGTGACTAACCAAACTTATAAATATAGGTATTATACAATCGCTCGTAGCTATGAACACTCCCGTAAATGCGAAAACCAACCAAAATCATAAGGAACACGTTTTGTTTGTTGTTCTGTCTATTTGTCAGCCAATGTCTTCAACCACGGGGACTTGTGAAGTAGCCATCTTGGATTTTTTATGAAAAAGTGTTTCTCTCACTTTTTTCATATCTGTGTACATATTCTCAACATACCGAGCAAATACTCTCGTTTTTTTTGTTAATTATCTAAAGAAAGTCGAAAATCGGCAATTCACCATAGGCTAATTCAACCCAACATTTGAAAATTTTCCACCACTTACATATTGATGATTTTCCCTCTCATCAATAGCATATTACGTACTATTTAATAGGATAAAAATTGGTTTGCATCCAACGCCCATAAAAGGGTGTATTCTCTAAAAAAACACAGTTTTTGTGTCTAAAATGTTATCATCGAAAATGGCATTTTTGAGATTGTTTCTTCCATAAAACAGCCAAATGGCGCGATGGAAACATGATTTTTTGTCACAATCATGCCATGAATGTATTCTTTACGGTGACTATCATTTGATTAGATTTTCATTAATATTTTACATAACAGGCACATTTTATCAACACTTAGCTTCTGAAAGGTACAACTTTGAGGAGCCATAAAAAACAAACCAAGCGACCTAAATCTTTATACTTTATAGATTTGTGACCACAACGGCATGGGCAATGCACCACCAACAGGAAATTTGAATCAGAGAAGAGGCCGTTTTGGAAACCGGCCCTTTAACGGATTTTGTCGACAAATTTAATGAAAATTTAAATAATGGTGTGCAACAAAGACAGTATGCATTTTTCCCCGCGGAGGAATAATGTCTAGGCGTGGTGCGCCGGTTCGCAAACGAAGCGGTGTCGGCCATTTGTTTTACAGACACGGAAGCGGAGAACAAGACAAATAAGGCTTCGGTCGCTTCACATCTTTTGAAACGTAAAGTTACAGTTATTAAATGTTGAATTATATTTTGTAATCACAAAAATTACCATAGCACACACAATTCTTTTTTTAAAATTTCATTAATAGTTTTTAGATTTTTATTTTGATGTTTTTAAATCTCATACTTGTGGTATATTGCCAGTCTAGTTGTAACCTAGCCGAGCGATTGCCACACACAAGATATATTACATTTCATAATTAACAGTTTATAATTTTTGTATTTTCTGTGCTATAAAATCCACTAACGATCCATCCATTCAACAATGTACTATATAACGCTTTCAAACTACACTGAATCACACTAACAACACTACTAATCATAAAATATACAAAAGCCCTGTAGTCTCTGTAGCTTCACTAGGCAATATCACAGATGGACGTCAGCAGAGTCAAAGAAGTTCCAGAAACTGGTACAGAATAATTATGTGACTGTACCGCATCCAACCACTCTGCCAAACCGACAGTTATCTCAAAGGATCTGCTGTTTCCCTTGCTGACGGCTTCGGTAAGACAACTTGACTGACCCTTTCGGGTATCCATATGACGCTGACACTCCAGCCATAACGGTACCGTAGGAGAACACATAGTTATGGTAGACATAGTCTCCATCTCCCACGGAAACGACAGTGTATACCGCGGTACCAAATGAGCTCATTCAGAAAACCCTGTACATAACATTGGCACCTTCCAGCTGCCGTACTTACCCACCTGGACATTAGTGTCCCAACAGTCTCCACTTCAGGAGCATGACTGATATTTCACGTTTCTAACTGTTTAAGTGGCATCTACATTTCCATGACACATCAATACCATTCAATTCCGGGAGGACACACTATTACGGTCGCCGCAAACAACCAACCCTAATTGCACGTAGCGTTACCAAATTACTTACCAGTTTTACCTAATTACTTGTGACACTAGTAGAAGTTGGGGAGTTTTCTCCCCTTACCTAATATTTGTATTCATACGCACTAGCAATGTTAATCTGATCAAATTCATTGGTAAATGAAACAGATCACATTTAGTAGTTTCATTGATTCTGCGCAATAAACAGGCCTCTGGGAATTGGGACTATATAATGCACAATGCTGATACACCTTTGATCATGGAATGTTTCTGAATTGAAATTATTTCAGTGGTTTTCCTGAAGATAATGTTGAAAGTTTACGACACACTGCACACATTATTATGTCACCTCGAATTATGCCGCACACAAGGCGATCACAATAGGCTATAATGATACTTCATCTGAGATGACCTAATAAGTTTCCTATTGAGCCTTGCCTTGTGTTCAAATGGAAATCTGAATACAAAGTTGATTCACCGAAGAATATTATACACCAAATTGGAACAAAGTCCAAATAAAAGTTTGCAAACATACAGGTACCCTACGTTTTAAAAACGGCTACTATATAAAACCAAAGTAAGGTCAGTCTTTAGGGTCATCCACACAATCCTGGAGATTGGCGTTGTAAGAGAGACATTGTCCATCATTTCCATTCTTTTAATTATAAGATAATCATATTGATATTTACAAACACTAACAAACAATGGGTTATTTTACAAAATCGTTCCTAGATAATGTAATTAGCTTGTGTCAGGATCAGTTTTCACAAGGAAGGAAGAGCTTTCCTGAAGCTTAGTGTGGAAAAGCAGGTCTAGATTTTGGCACATCAATATAAAGTACCTAAAATTATAATTTGCACCAAAACCTCTCACGGAAATTGTATTTAATTTCATCCTGAATAGTAGTATGTCCATGTACGGAGTGCTTTGCTTTTGGTTACACCTATTTTTACACTATACAACACAATCATCTCCTTCTCAACTTCAACATAACCATAATCCAAAACCCAAATTCCATAAAACTAGGACACAATATGAACAAAAGTAAGATCTCCATGCCGGCACATGGAGAATAAGACCGGGTGTTCATATCAAGCGTGTTCTGCTTTAACGACGACACCCGCCATGTAAACCTTGGTAAAAAGGCAAACTAACGAGCGTGAAACGTATCCAACTTCATATCTCATCAAGAAATATAATATTTCTCAAGGAGATCAATATGGCGACCATAAAACATCCCCATAATGTTTGTGAATCTGCATCTTTTGAAACCCTGTGCAAGAAAATCATGATGAAAGAATCAAGCCTTTGAGTATCGAATCAACTACGCCATAAAAACACCATAGGTTGGGGATGCAGGGATATAGCTACTTAGAAATGGAAATTCTCAATAGGATGATTGAAATTGATCATGGCCATCATGCAGCTTTGTGGAAAGTTGACCATGCTGGTTTCGCTGAGGCAGCTGATGTAGAAGAGTGTCGCATCTTTGATTTCTATTTCAAGGCGATATATATAATGGGCTAGTCAATAAATTTCTTTTTATTTATAAACGATACGTAATCAATATATCTGCAGGTGAAAGTAAACGACATTGTATGGTCTTTATGACCTGTTTTGATAAGCTCTTCAATAAATTCAGCTTCGTGAGAAATAAAAACAAGTCAGCCAACAGAGGGGTGCAGTTGGTTCCCATAGGTATGCCAATAGTGTGTTGGAAGATCTTACCTCCAAACCCGACGAAAATGTTGTCAACCAGAAATGATATCATTTTTATGATTTCGATCGCCATATATTTGATTTGGATGTAAATACGTTTCAGTATAGTTCACAGCGGTGCGGTGGCTTGGGTGATTTGAAGCGCTTAGTATAACACTAACAGGTTGTAAGTTTATACATGCAAGGTCATTTCCATTCACAGTGCACTTACATGGCGCACAGATAACTAACTAACATTACAAACGGGGTAAGTAAGTGCAAATCCACACATCATTTTGTAATTATATTTTGTTTTCCATAAACTCTAAACAGTTTCTCAAGATATAATAACATAGCATGACAAGGGAATAGAATTATTCATAAAAATGTCTGGTCACAAGTGGACACCACAGAAATGGGACATAAAGTGTGTATAACTGATAACAGCCGACCTCGCCAGTATACGTTATGTTACGGCATACGAAACATCTTTTTATAATCTATATATACTTTCATTTCACACCTACATGTGTTCTTACGTGTGTTTTCTGAATCAAACTCTATGTAACTGGTTAATATTTTGTTATATGTATTTAGCTTATGTTTATGATGTGGAAATGGTACATAAATAAAATCGAAAACCGATCCAGATGTTTTAAGATTTCATTGTTCGTCTTTGGGTTGTTTTCAGTAGCATATAATGACTGGCGACCGAGACGCTAGGATCCCGGTGGATAGAGGATGGGCGTGGATGGTGATGGTTGGTAAGTGAAAAAAAAAACGATTTTTGGACGAAATAGGTGTCCTAATAGTGTATAGTGTCACACCTAAGTAATATGAATACATTGTCTGGGCAGCCATTGTATTATCAAGATTTATACTATCCTAACTCTCCTGATATGCACAAGTAGCACATCCATACTGCTACCGCATACCGTGTATATTTTGTATGTTAAGTAAATCTGGTCTCGGGGCCAAATTCCAATTAGGAATTGAACATACCTCATTTGCCTTGATTCCATGCAAATGTAAATACAGAAAAAAGTAGCAACACTTACTCTACAAAGTCGGAAGAGTTTTCACTATCGATTACCATCCATTTAGAAGAAACGCTAACGAGATCGGGTATCAATAGTGAACACTAAATTTTAAAATATATATAAATGAAATTAAAGATATCATTACCTTATTTATCGTACACCCTTTTAACGTTCTTGATTAATGCTGTTGGTGTTTTCATCATTACAGGATCGTTCGTCATATCTACAATCAATATAGGGACAGAAAAATCTTTCGGAATTTTCTTCATAGAATTTCTTCGACAATTCAAAGGCACAGTGTTTATGACTGCAATGATTAACACGGTGTGGAATGTAGTTTTCAGCATTACAGGTAGGTTCTGAAGACAGGACCACAAGGAAATAGTTTTGTAGAAGTTTACAGTAAATTTTCTAGAACAGAGATTCGATGCTTGCTAAAGTATTCTAAAATGTCTCGTTCTAATCTGAGGTCAACACCAGGCGAATATTTGTAATGAATGATTGCGGAAAAGCCAGGCACTAGTGCTTCAATTATTATTATGTGTAAAATCCGGAGATGATGTGTTCGTTCTTTGATATCTTGTTTGCTAGCAATTTCGTGTATTTTAAGACACCCATCACTTGTGATTTTCATTGATTGGCCTAACTCTGTGGCTACAATAAAATCATCAACTCCACGGGACGATGACATAATTCGAATCCTTAGCTAGTAGTGTTTTGTTGCAATCATAAAGCTGTTAATGTTAATTACCCATTTGTTTAGCATGATTTCCTTCCAAACGCAATCTGTCATTGTGCTGTTATCCTTAGAATTCTCCCTCTGACATTTCCACTTCGTCAAATGGTGTACTATGTTCGTATTGGATGTTCTTTCCTCTATGCGTCACTGGATAACCGCTCGGTCATCTTGACGGCAAGTTGTTCTTTCCACTTTTTAATGTGTCTATTTTGTAGCTAATAACGCGTATTCTTTCCCTTTCTGCACTTTATTAATAATCTTTCGGGCATTGATAGTCTTAATGGGGCACCTAATATTGAGGCTTGAAGGTGATAATTGGAAGTCCCTACATCCCAGCTGGCGATTTCTATGTCTCGCTAGCTTCTTCTCAAGACTCTTGACCTCTCACGCATTCTTCTGCTGTTTATGCTATAAGAGTTATAGGTACCAGCCTCGTCTATCAATACACTCCTATTTATAACAAGGTACGAAACTCAACCGGCCTAGCGAAACGACCTACTTAACCGTTTCGAGATATCTTGCGGAGAGAATTCAGAATATGTAGATATATTCTTTGCCTTAATTTGGTATGTGATTCATGCTATGTCAGTTATGTGTTAGTTGGACACTCGTCTGGCAACGAAATCAGGCGCTGAATATAAATAAATTAGCTCCTAAACCACCACGACTTGACATAGGCGTGATTCAACATCAATGTAATGTTAAGAGTGATCCTTTGAAGACTTGCTGGTGTATCATTTTTATTCCCTGCAGTATACTGTCAAACAATTTAAAGCTCCCGACATATTTCAAGGATTGCTTCACATCTCACATCTTTCAAATTGATACTTTAACAAATTTTTAAATTTTTTTTTTTTTTTTTTTTTTGGGGGGGGGGGGGGGGGGGTTGGGGGGGGGGGTTGGAGGGGAGAGTGTTTGTTTTTGTGGGTTTTTTTTTTAAACTTTTTTTCTGTTTTGTGATCTTGACAAAATCGGAAGAATTGCAATCAAATGTACAAAGGTAAAGAAAGGCAACGAAGTAAGATCCAATTCAGCAGAAGTATAAATACCATCGGGCGGCATACATACACATGACTACTAAGTGGAACGGCGCTATAACATAACCTTTACGTTTGCCCTTAACAATTAGGCGCCGACTAAAAGTATTTTATGCACTTAAGGATGATAATCAGAACAAAGAGTGGTCAGCCATAAGATTAGCCCGTTTGTTGCGACATTACTGAAGTAAATGTCCATTTCATACTGGAATTTTAGCAAATCTGCCAAACTGTCGATGGTTGATTTCTTGAGACAGGTCAGAAAATTGGTTATATTATAAACTCGAGATTGCCTTTGCCATTTAAGAAAACATATTTCCAAGATCCGCTTTCTGTGGTCATACATGGCAAATGGTTTTGTTATCAGTAAAATATTAGCATTAAATTAGTAATCTTGTTTCAATGGATGGCTTGTGTGACGTTTGAGTGAGAAAGAAATAATGATAATAGAAAAAGCTTCATGAAAAATAATTATGACATTTGCTTTTTTACAGCCGCTTCAGTCTTATTAACTGGTTTTAAAAGACTAAGCATTAGGATATCAGTTTTTCTCGGAATAACGCTCAGTGCTCTCGGATATGGCATCAGCAGCTTTGCTACCGGGCTGGAATATCTACTAGTATCACAGAGTATCCTCATTGGTAAGATATGCTGCATCTTTTATAAATGAAGTCAATAAATGGTAACTTGAAATGGTCGGAGTAGTATATAGCCAAAATCTCATGAAGGTGTCTACGGATGATGCAACTACTGACAGTCGTTTTGATAGTGATATCACACTGAAATGTCTTATCTTGACACTGCAGCATGACATCCATTAATTATGCATTTCATGTGTCTTTTTAATGCTTGGTTACAACTGATTAAAAATTTGATGCAACATCAAAAGTAACATTCGCATTTTGCCAAACATCAGAGCTGTGGCTAGAAGAGTTGTGAATGTGAGAAAACATTAGAAAAATCAATATAAAGATGTATGAAATAGAATATTATGCCTTGATTTGTTTAAGGTATGGGAGCAGCGTTCAAAATTCCACCGATATACATCCTAATTGGTGATTATTTTGACAAGAAAAAAGGTATCGCGAATGCTGTTTTTCTATCCGGAAATTCCTTTGGTGGAGTGATAATGCCACCATTATACCGTTATGTATTTGATGAATATGGATTGCGTGGAGGACTTATAATCACTTCTGGTATAATATTTAATTCTCTGGTGGCTGCAGCCTTACTTCGTCCGACTACATTCTACACGGATCGTAGTCCACAGAAATCATCGTTTGGCAGTGTGGATAATAACAGTGCTACGACAGCGAAACCCGACGAGGAAAATAATGACCCTTCGCATCCATTTCTAGCAAGAGAAGAAGCAGCAAAACAGTCTGCAAACGCCGACAATACACAAACGAATGACTCCAATGAAGCCGTTGATAGTGCTATGGAAGAGAAACTTGAAGAGTCAAATACTGATCAATCATGTCCATTTATTACACTGAAAGAAAAAGCTGAATCTCCTGTAATCTGCAAAATATCACACAAACACGATTCCAATGATACAGCTCATTCAGGTGTTGTTTCAAATCCCATTAACGGATATGCGGATTCTACACTATCGGTTGATCAGTTTGATAGGAATGATGGTCATGAAGAAAAACAATGCGAAATCGGAGAGGGATGCTTCGTTAAATGCAAAAATAAGATCGATTGCTCATTGCTGAAAAACGTTCATTTTCTACTATTTCTCTTAATCTATTGCATGGGAAACGTAGCAACGATGTGCGCCCACATCTATATTCCGACATATGCCAGAGATATTGGCATTGAAGACCAACGTATTGCTATCATCGTCTCCCTATATTGTGTATCAGATTTCGTGGGACGCATTGTAGCTGGGTTCCTCTCTGATCAAAAGTGGATCACTGCAGAACAGATTGTTGTTCTCTCGCAGGTGAGGAATCTAGTAAAATTGATGCTGACAGTATTGATTTGATTTGTATTTTTGTGTTTTATTGTAAAGTTCAATGATTGATACAGCAAGTCTTATATGAAGGACACACAGGTGAATAGCATAGTTTACTACAAACTGAGAGTGCTAAATTAAAATGAGCTAAAATAAAAATGCCTCCTAAAAACGGTTCGTCCATTTTGGACCCGTCAATGATGCCAAGAGCCTAAAGACTTAGGCGATTGAGACAAATCCAAAGTGATAGAAAGAAATGTCAAATCCAGAAAGTGCACATGCCCCATAATTAAATCAATTTATTGTTTGGAAGAATGCCAAGAGCATTTCGCACCGTGTCATTACTCGAAAGAATTCAGACGATCACTAATTTCACGATTATTTTGTTTGTTTCCTTTAAGATTGTTGTTGGTGTGGTTCTGCAGTTTACCGTTTACTACACCTCATTTCTACGCCTGCTGGTGTTTGTCACTATATTAGGTTCCACAGCTGGTATGATTATCGCCTTATTCCCGCCGATGATGATAGACATTGTGGGTAGAGATCGGTATCCTAGTGCTATGGCTATATTCATTCTGTGGGTTCGTCTGTTTGAAGGATTCGCTGTACCAGTTTTGGGTAAGAATAAGACAGTTAGAAAATTAGTATTTTAACATACATGATATGGAATAACTGTGAAAAGTATTAATCATTTCGCGCACATACATTGGACATTAAAGAAGCATATCAAATGGTTCTTTGCAGCGCGAATATCCTTATATCACAATCAGTAGGATAAAATAATATCTATTGAATATATACCAACTACAAGAAATATTACAAAATGCCGAATGTTTCCGTTTTAATGCATATACAAAGAATATGTTCATTCTTTGAAATAATACAATGTTTGCTAAATATTTATGTTTCAGGATATTTTCGTGACATCAACAACACTTTTCACTTATCTTTTCATTTGATGGGAGCAACGTCATTTGCAGCTGTCGGACTTCTTATTATATTTTTCATCTTGAAAAGAAAGCGGTCTCGTGACGAAGACGATGAAGAGAATACATAATTGAAAGATATGTAAGAAAGTGACATCATATACAAGAAAATGTATGACACATTCTCCAATAAATGCAGTAGGCCTAATTTAGGCGGAACACATTCCCGCCAATCTGCAATGAGGAGTTCCCATACGATAGGTAATATTTAACTACTCGCTTACGTCCGTCAACTGATTTTTTTCTCAGCTCTCGGCGAGTAGGACTGAAAGCTATACTAAGATATGGTAAATGCCCATTGTCTTCATGTCGTTTGACTGCTATTAAAATACAAAAAGGACCTGATCAGAGCAATGCTTTATAATGTCTATAAAAAGTGCGATTGACAATAATGTTATATGTTCAATGAAAAGATGATCTGTATATATTTGCATTATGAAAATAATCTGTTGTGATTATGTGAGGTGTACAAAGTTTGGGTAACAGGAAGCTTGCATGTCCTCGAAACAGTTAAACGGTAATATATTAGATAAGTCACGATAATATGAGAAGAGTGGTCATGGACGATCTGCCTTGTCAAGGATGCTATCCTTTTTATCTTTATCACACGTTTTTATGATAGCGTAATACATGCACCTTAGCATGTGATAACGGGCTTACAGGAACTTGCAGCATGGTTTTAGGTCATTGAACGAAAGATACAAAGCGAACAGCATTAGAAGATGTTGTTTACTTGCACTTGGTCAATTCATAGTATTAACATTGACACGTAGTGGGGACGGTATCTCAACGATGAATTAATTATTCCAACATTAAGTAGTCCCTCATGATATGGCTGTGATAGGTCACGTTATGAATATACACCTGCTTGGATTATAGACCGATCTAGATGTAGACCAAAAAACCAAAAACGGAAACATTAGTAATAAAACATACCCGGAAAGCGGAGAAGATATCTTATATATATATCTGATGTACTTGACTCTTACAAATCATACACTGTTGACAACAGATAATTCAACAGGCGAAGTCGTATTGTAGAAATTACATTACAAGCCAGCGCGGCATGACTGTTTCACCATAAATATAATTGCCTGTCTATAAAATTCACATTACGTTGAAGTTTACTTTAGCTGTTTTTTCTATCTAGGGCTCACCAATGATGTTACGCGCCTAAATTTTGAGACCTAATGAGAAAAATCCTAAGTTGTTGTAAGAAAAGTCAAAATTTAGTCGAGGAAGTTAGTAGCTACTATCCTTTCACAATTGAAATAATACATCTATGAGCTTTTGTGATACGGTGCAACAGCTGAGTTTCTTTACCGTGTGACTTACTGTGGAGCATATTTTGTTTCTAATGTCACTAAAAGAAACTAACTTACGTATGTGAGTCTCTAGGGATAACGGAACGTCATTTTCTTTCTAGTGTATATGACTGGTGACCGTTGGATGACTGAATTGTTTGCAATGCTCTGACTTACTTATGCAAAGATATTATTTTAAGTTGGCAAAAGTGTATTGTTTAACTGTAGACGTAGTGTAGTATGAAAGTATATGTACATTAAAATCCACACACCACTACAGAGATTTATTACACATGCTGTAGATACAGGTAGGTCTCTGCAAGTGGTGAAGTAAACCAACACCATCGCTCACCACTACCGAGGAAGACACAAACAGTTCTAGACAATCTGTTGTGATTCTTTGTCGGTGTTGTAAAGAACAGATCAACATCGCTACAAGAAAGCAACCACGAAATAAAAAGATGGCAACAACATCACCAACACACCATATTTCAAATCAATATCTAAAAAGGAACCGTTCACATTCATCAAACGTAATCGCGGAATCCAGGTGTGCCGTTAGTATCATGGCCGATTCGACGACTGCTTAACACTACCTCTTGACATTGTATTCCAACACAAAGAGAAATATGAATACTGCAAAATAATGTGTCAAAGATACCGTTCACGGAAGTCGCTATTGCCATACAGGCGCACAATGCATAAAAACAAATTCGGCTCTCTGATGACGCTGGACATGTACAAAACAAGATAAGGGGCTATTTGAGAGTAACCAGGTTCCTATCCAAGCCGTTAAATAAAATGATAAGTTGCTCTTTCGATAAAAATTACACATTCTATAATCTGGAAAGTATTCTAGTACTCTTCACATTTATCGAACTATGAGTTTTATTATCAATTATCCCGTGTGAATACTTTCAATACTAATTATTCCGTGTTAAAAGTTTGCATATGAATTACCCTGTGTGAATATAGGGAAAATCTAATATGAATGGTCCGTATGAAAGAAAGTAAACTTAATCCATGTAATAAATCCAAACGGCTCTCCTTTTAACTGTATTTAACATATCGTGTATAAGTAAATGTGGTCTAGAAGCTAAATTCCAATGTGATCATTTGCTGATTGAGCATAACGTCATGTTTTGATTCAATACAATAGTCTGTACAGAAAAATATCAACAATTGATTAATAAAGTCAACACCAATTCCATACCATCACAAGGCATTCAAGTCGCATACATCCAAACACTTGCACTCAAGTGGCATACATCGGACGGTCGTTCACAAATTTCCAAAGATGTGATAGGGTGCTTAACAATGTAAAACCAAAACCGAATTTCAAAACGGATCATTTCTGTATGTAGCAATATCATGTGTTTCTTAATTGCTGCAATGGTGTCCATATTGAATCTTTTGTGAGATTGAACTATGGAATAGGCAAGTCGTGATTATCATCCATTTAGGAAAAAACGATAATGATATCTGTTACCAATACTAAAAAGATTTTTTAAATAAATATCATAATATCATTACCTTATTTATCGTACATTCTTTATCATTCTTGATAAATGATGTTGGTGATATCATTATTACAGGATCATTCGTCATACCTACAAATCCTTTTGGATAGAAAAAGGAATTTTCATCATAGAGTTTCTTCGACAATTTAAAGGCCATGTTTATGACAGTGCAATGATTAGCATGGTGTAGAGGGTAGGATGCAGCATCACGGTTAGGTTTGCAAGACAGATCCGCAAGGAAATAGTTTCACGGAATTTTGCAGCGGTTTCTATTCTAGAACAGAGATTCGATACCTGCTAATTTCTTCCAAATGTTTCGTTTTAGTTTAAGGTCAACGCCAAGCAATTATATATAATGAATGATTCCGGAAACGTTATGTATTAGTGCTTCAATTGTAATTATATTTGATATCCGGAGACGCGGAAGTAACGCCTCTTTTCGGAGCATTTCTCAATCAGATGGAAATGATTCCCGTTTATATGGGTATTCCAGATAATCAAAAGGCTGATCCTGCCCCCTTCCTGAGTTGTTATCGCTGCAAATAGAGGAAAGTCAATGTAATCGATGTCATGGTGACAAATTTTGGTAAATGGAAATATTTTCTGTCGCACATTCCATTCGTGTAAAAAAATATGGAATAAGATTTTTTAAAGAAAACATTTACCCATGTAACAATAACTTTTAGCAGGATATGCAATGGTTAGTCTACGAGGTGTTAGTTTTAAGTCGTATATCAGTGGAGTGGTACGATGTAAGAAAAGAAATAAACATTTACACAAAGACTCCTGAAAAAAGTACAAGGAGAAAAAGACCAGGTGTTCCTTAAGAGTGAACGTCTTCTGCTTCATCGATGACATCCACGATGTAGAATTAATCTAATCACCATTATAAATCCTTTGAATGGTTTTTGATAGGCCAACGAGGTATTTGTCCGCCTCCGTCTTTATTTCCGTAGACCAATAATTTGATAGTACCGTTATCTCTCTTTACTATAAGGGTGTCGCATAGTGCTTTCGGTTTCTTTCTCACATTTTAACACTAAACTTGCATTCTAAGGAGGTTGTGGCTAGAACCTCTTTCTCCAAGAGTTCCATGAATACATTGGCCGCAATCGAAGAGACTGGGATGTCCATGGCCGTAAGGTACCCAATGACTTATGTTGATAAAAAACCTAATTGAAATTAATTCAATTGACTAGGAGTGAGCTCTACAGTGGGATACAGGTGTCTATGTTGTCTTTGTTGTGATTTTCTTGCTGATAGCATACAGGCGCATTTTGGACTTTTGGATAGAGGTAGGGTTGTTTTCGAGTTTTCGTGTTTTGTTACTTTCGAGCTACGACTTTGTTGTCATATTAGGAAGTGTTCATAACGACAGTTGCTTCCATCTGTTCCATCCTAAAATCATGATAGAGCATATCCTTGCTTGTTTCAGTGCAATGCGTGCTTCCTTTGATATGTTGTTTACTGGCAATTTCGTAACGACACCCTTCATTTGGGAATTCAGTTGTTCAGCCTCGGCCTAACTCAAATCAATCTCCTGTTCTGTGGCTACAATATAAACATCAACCAAATTTGCACTGGACGATGTCATAATTCAAACCTTCAGTGTTTGTCGCAATCAGTAAGCTGTTTTCGATAACCCACTTATATAGCATGTTTTTATTCAAATCTCCAACTGTCATTATGCTGTTAGTTTTAGAATTCCCTATCAGCCATCTGTCAAATGATGTTCTATGTTCGTGTTTGATGTTCTTTTATCTATGCGCTTCATGCGTTATTATATATATCCTCGAGTGTCACGTGATAATCGCTCGGTCATCTTGGCGGTAGAAAGTGTTTTCTCGCATTATTTATGTATCTATTTTGTCGCTAATAACGCACGTTCTTTCCCTCTTTAGATCGTTCTGCACTTTACTAATGATCATTAGAGCATTGATGGCATTTATCGGGCATCTTATATTGAGACTTGACAGTGTTGTTTTTAAGTCCCTACATCGCAGTATAAAGACTGATTTTTGTGTCTTTTCAAGGCTCTCGAGCTCTCGCACATTCCTCTACTTGTAGTGTTATAAGAATGATACGTACTAGCCTCGTCTGCCTGCACTCATTCATAACAAGGTTTGTAACTCAATCGGCCTGGCGAATCGACCCAATTTCGGGAAACTGATTATTGTCAATTAACCACTCGATTTCCTGTGGGAGTAGACAGAATCAACAGATAATTTTTTTCCTTTAGTTTGGAATTTAATTCACTACATGTCATGGCCTAAATATGTCGTCAGATGTCGTCAAAAATCGTTAAATTGTCGAATTTCAGAAAGACAGACACTCATCTGGGAGTAAAATCAGACGCTAAATCCCAATAAACTAGCTTCAAAAGGCACCATTAAATAAGACCTACATAATACTCTTAGATACTGTGTTGAGAGTAATCTCTTACTGACTTGTGGGCTATCATTTATTCCCTACGTTATCCTGTCAAACATCCTAACTCAGATTTAAAGCTCCCGACATATATCACGTCTACGTCTTTCGGATTAAACTAAATTTATTCATATGTATAATCAATGCAACAGAAATTGATTTCTTCTCTCAATTTTCTGTCTTATGATTTTGACAAAATCGGAAGCTTTGCAATCAAATGTAACAAGATGAAGAAGAACGACGAAGCAAGATTCATTCCAGTAGTTTAAATCACCATCGACGGCGTTTGATGCATATCTGCACGTGACAAGACATTAAGTGGAGAGATATAACATACCCTTTATATTTGCCCTAAATAAGTGGGCGCCGACAAAAAATATGTTAATGCGTTTAAGGATGATAATCCTAGCGATCACAATAAGCTATAATGATACTTCATCTGAGATGACCTAATAATTTCCCTATTGAGCCACGGCCTTGTGTTAAAATGGAAATCTGAATACAAAGTTGATTCACCAAAGAATATTATACACCAAATTGGAACAAAATCCAAGCATTCCTACTGAAGAAGGATTTTAAAAGGATTGACTCTATTTCCTCAATTTGGCCCACCACGGGAGACCAAGACCCATTGTTTATATAAAATCTTTACCTGTTCACCTAAAAGTACTTCAGACTTAACTGGGTCAGAAGCTAGGCATACAGAAGAAGGATTTTTTAATAGTATTTTATTTATCCCTTATTGAGCCCCATCCCTTTCCACCCCAGACCCAACACCCCCTTCCCCCGACCCATATTTATGATAAAATTGCTTTCTCTTCACCTAAGGATCTCACAGAAGAAATTTCGGCAAAATCAAAAAATTCTTTCAGGAGGGGTAGGATTTCAAAATATTCCCTTTTATACTAAATTTGTTCCTCTTCCCACAAAGATGCTTCAGACCAAATTTTGTCAAAATCAACCAGGTTGTTTATGGAAGTGACTATTAAGATGAAAATTGATGGATGCTGGATGCAGCGATGTGGCTCAAGTTCATTGTTTCTCTGCACCAGATGAGCTTAAACTCTTACAACTAGTTGCACTAGTTACTACTTTTAATCAGGCACTAAAAAAATATACAACAATGTTGATTTGGTTATGAAAGTGTATAAATATATAAACCTATATACCTTTACAAAATCTACCTTTGTCTACTAATGTTAAGTCCACGACAAAAATATGGCCTTGACTGACATTCCAATGTCAATCTCTTTGAACTTTACTAATTTGGTACATATATTGAGAAAGCGAAATAGGGGGAAAGAAGCCTGATATAAAAGTTGACTGACCAACTAGGTCGTTTTTTATTTGTTAGAATAACATCAACATATTGCACAGTAGCAAACAAATGATAGTGAATGTTTGACAAATCTATAAACATTTACAGTCAATGTTTCAAATCATAAAAAACCGAAAAACAAATAGAAGAACATAAGTAACGTCAGCAGCTGTTATCAATTATATCTATGTGATTGATGAATATTTGTAAAATATGCATATATTTCTTAAAGAGCCAGACCCACTCCGTTGAAGATATTTTTTATTATTTTATTGACTGGAAATGTTGTTGTACACTAATAGATAATATATAAATAAAGACTTGTATAAAGTTTCGAACTTTAAATTGAAAGGGTACCGAAGATATCTGTGCCGGATTTAGTCTCATTAATCAACACCAGGATATGAATATTGATGAGGAAAAGTCACGTGATACATTCAGACGCGGTCAGAACCAAAACAAAAATGGAGGAAGAGGTGAGTAGTACGTCCATGTGACATTTTACCGATAAATGCAATCAATACTCTATATATCCTGTATGGAATCATCTGTAAGTATTGATAACATCTTCCAGTGCTTAGATATGAAACAAAAACGTGCAGATTACGCGAAAAAACTATGATTAATTGCAAAGAAGCCCTCAAATGGGGGCTACGATACGGTAACGAACATATAGAACATCGCGAAATAAACCTATATAAAGCGAATATTCAATGATAAGAGTATTTATGAATATGATTTTAGAGTGATACCACAGGAGAGAGCCAAACAGAGACAATACAGAAAATGAACCAGTCGCCATCTTCCTTCTTTTCGCCTCAGAGTCCGTCAAAACACGTTTTCTTCCCCGCTTCCCTTGCACACTTTCTGCCATGTTGGAATACGGCAGATTTATTAACAGTTCTTTGTCCATGCGTCAGAGGGCAGGACTTCCCGTATAATTACGAATTAGCACTGAGTCGTTTCGAATTCTTTTTTAAAACTATTCATTACGTTAGATTGATAATGATTTACTTTAAAATTGCGGTATTACAGGGTTAGTCAGAACTTTTGATACCCAAGAAAAATAGAAAATCATAATTTTTTTTCATATAAAATAATATCGGTCGAGGAGTTGGTCTGGCTCTTTAAGGTTTTTCTCTGTTTACAACTGACTGTAACAGTCCACCTAGAAATGTCTATATACTTAACAATGATTTCTTGTCATGATGAAACAGGAAGTTCAAAGTCTTCTGAGTAATCAAAAGGAAGTATAATTGTACCAGTAATTAATGACATCAATCATGAGGAAATCTTAAAGAACAATTCTTGATTGTGTTGTTAAATAACAGCACATAAATGTTTGAATAACATTCAAATTTGGCTTTATTTTCCCTCAATAAACCAACAAATTCTTTAATTTTTCTTCCATCTTAATTTTAGATCTGTAACTTATCACATTCTACATCTCCTGCAATCGACTCTTAGTATCAACATAGTCAGCCTATGTTAAGTGTCCAGTCTGGTCAACTGATCATAAGACCATCTGAATCAGCTGTCCTGCCACATCAGCTGACAACTACACCATCTGTACTAGTAGCTTTGGTGCCCAAAGTGACACTTTGGACCATGCTTGGCTGTTGTGTGGTGTTGGAGGACTGACGTTTAGGTGTAATGAAAGTTGTGACAAAGTCCTTTGGTCCATACATATTCTCTCTGTCAAGGAACTCCAGGTATACTCTCTTGACAAGCTGTAACAACAAAGCAACAGTGTTATAACCGATACAGTTAAACCCAATTCTCTAGTAAATGAAGCACTAAAATCCTAGCAATGAAACAATGTTACAAAACAAAGTATGTGTACATAAATCAATTATCCATTTTAACTTAAAAATGTATATGCATTCTATGTTCAAAAATCAATTTTCAACTACAAGGTTGCCCCACAGTAATCTGATATCAGTAAATAGTGTTTGACATTCTTTATGAAATTAAAAATGAACATGAACGTTTATTTGAAGTCGTTTATCAACAAAAGTTATGTGGAGTTTTTATTACGATGTCGCTAAGGGAACAAATGCTGTATTGAATGTTGGAGGAAAACCAACAATGGAAATCTATGTGCCGTTGGTTCGGAATCAATTCATCCAACAGATAATATACTCCATTGCCAAAGCGTCTCGAATCCATATTCTAGGAGAAAGTGTCCCAAAGCTCAAACTTGATAGCACACATCATGACAGGCATGCTATAAGCACAGTTACCAAAGCATCCAAATTTTCCACTGGAAAGTCTGATCATTTATCTACGTATTCCTAAACTGTATAATAATCAGCAGCTTCATCACAATCTTTGAAATATTCTAAACAATAACGTGTGAACAAACATCTTTGTTTTCTAGACTTATGCACATGTATCACCAACCTTAATTCCCTTTGGGTGACCTAGATTTTCCTCTGATTGGGTCTGAAACAAAATATTTAAAATCCTTTCAAACAAAAGCGCACATTAAAAAAACATATCAACTTTTTATCTCCAATTGACACTTTTTAGTTGTTCTAATTTAGGATGTCTAGAATACTGAATAAAGTCATTAAATCTTAATAGTTATTTAGGCTAAGACTGTTTATAAATGATCCACTTGTAACACACTAAGAAGCTACATTTCTGATAAAGGTGTCACACCTGGGTGAGAAAGCGTAGTGTGAAGCCCATCAGGCCGGGGTGCATGTACAATACAAATTTGTTATCCACCACAGGAAGTGACGGGTGAATGTCTCTTGGGTCAAAATCAAAATATTTGCTGCTCCTGTTCATGTTGGACACGTTGCCTTTCCAAAGGGCATCCCCGGTATCCAGGATGAGGGCATTCAGTTGGGGCACACAACTGATCGTGTCAGTCTCAAACAGCTCTCCAGCAATCCGGCGTTCCTTCACTGATGTCACTGATTTTCTGTAGCTGTTGACAAAGGATTTAATCTTACAATGTTAAAATACAGGACCACAAAACATCAAATCTCAAAAAGAAAAAAAAACTAAAATAAATTGCATGTTGAATGTAGTTTAGAATTTATTTAGTAATTACAATAGTTAAATAATAATGAAGTAAGAATAACCTATAGGTGCCACTGGAATATCAAAATATTTATGATAAATAAAATCTATATTGCCAGGTATAATGACACATGTTTATAATTCATATACCTACAACATTGCTTTAACCCATAACTGAAAAAATTTGACATAAGTCAGAACCATTGATTAACGAGATGAAGAAGAAATCTATCATCTAATTCATCTAATCAATAAAGGTAAGAGACCTACTTGCACAATATTGAACAGAAACTGGATATTCCCATGCCATTTAAACATGTGAAGAGCACCACTAGGGCTGAGGACATGAGTGGGCTTAGGTGGACAAATGGCAAATGGTAGTTTGTCTCCAGGCAGGACACCTGCAACAAAAGATATAGCATAGGTTTTATTTCTACAAAATTGATTTTTTGTTTTACATAAATGTGTCATAATTCAAATATGTTTCCTCGACAATTTGATAATGTTTATCTAATATTGTGCTTTGAAGACATTAAATCCTACAAATGCTTTCTATTGATGGGAAAATTCACTTTTTATTGCAAATTGATGTCTGCCATGACGTACAAACCTCCTCAAAGAAGTTGAGTGCACAGAATAGAAGGAGGTTATGATTATCGTCAAGTCTAAGACCTGTAACACACAGCTGAGTTACATAGTCTATCAGATCTGTAATAGTTCTCTGTGGGTCACATTCTTCACGGTCCTCCTGGAACAGCATGTAGCTGGCAACAGAAACATAAACCTTTATGTAACACATCATTCATGTATCAAGTAAGGTATGGTTAAAGTAGCTGTTAAATCTAGAGAGGGTTGATCAGGTCAGAACGAAAAAGCAAGGATTGTGAAGCATTGCAATATCAAAATTTAGAAATAAACATATATTCATGTTTTAAACTTGTGTGTCATTTTACTCCATAGTAAAACTATATGCTGAGAATTGTAGTAGGTATCTATGTATGATCTGACATAGTTGCTGATAAAAAGATTACCTAGTAGAGAGAGTATCCTTACCTCATGATCAAAATGACAGCATTGTTTAACACCTTGCCTAAGATAATATCACATACAGTGGAGAAATTTTACCAGTAAGCCATAGTCTAACCTGTATTTTCTGACAGACATGACTTATTAAATATTCACCAGCAAATATTTCGTGGGGTCAACTATTTCAACTCTTTCAGCTTTTCATAAAATGAACCCCAAATGTGTGGTGTACAAAAAATCACACGAAAATGGTCCAGATGGGATATAATATACTTTTTTCTTTTTGTGAACAGGAAAATAAATTGCTAAAACACAAAATGAGCAAAAATCAGCTGATTTCCTTGCCAGTAACGTAATATCTGAAAACTATAACTATCAAAGATAACAGAGAAAACTTACTGACAAGATGGCTCTCCTTCCTTGCCAGACTTAGCATGTTCCTGTTTTTTCTGTACCCAGTCCATGTATCTAGGCCATTCATTGGCCGCAAAGTTTCGTACCAGCAGTGTTAGACAATGAACAACTTGACACTGAAACAACATATTCACAATATTAAGTATGACTTGTAAACACTGTTGGAGAGCTATGTAATACAGTAAGATCTTTATCAAAGTAGCATGCTCATTCTCTTATGGTAAATCTACAGTACCTGTTTATTTCTATATTGACTTGTCAACATATAGCACAAGGTATCAGCAGTTAATGGTGTGAGGTTCTGTTTAAGGATAAAATTCAGCAGATACAACAAGTGGTTTTACCTCTATGATGAAAACTTAAATAGGACTGTGAAAGTTTTCATATAAAGCCAAGAGGCCCAGAAGGCCTGCATCACTCATCTAAATCCAAATTATATCACAATATCAATATTTCACTAAGTAGTAAAGAACACACTTTTTGTAGTAAGATTTCTGACATCTTCACTCTACATTTGTTGACTTGTGTCTTTTAATCAGGATAAACTTAATATCATTTCAATGTTACACTTGACATGCTACAGCAGTTTACAGGTGCAGTATTGGGAGTGTATATAATAACTCACCTTAAAATACACTGAAGAACAGCAGAACAGCTTTCTCAAAGGTTCAAGTATATTATCGTTTAATTCTGAGGAAAAAATAAAAAATTTAATAATGATAATGGTAACAAAGGTTTAATTTTTTATAAGAAATGACAATCCTATTCTATTGGGTTTAGTTCAACAATTCTTAAAGAGCATTTTTTTTTTGCACACTGTCTAACAATTTCCAAACCACTGTCTCTGTAAGAAACCAGACACAGTGCAAAAAAATACATAATGATGTATTTACCAAATGTGACAAGATGACGCCTCTACACAAACTCACCTCCAAATGTGACAAGATGACGCCTCTACACAAACTTACCTCCAAATGTACAAATCCGACACCTGGCTACAAGCTGGAGGATTTCTGATCGGAAGTCCAGACCATTCCATGTACTAAGGAATCTTGACAGAAAGTGATCTACAGCGGGAAGGCCTTCCTGTCAACAGTAACTGCTCATGAATCTCTCATCCTGTTTGCATGTTTGGACAATTCCAGAAATATATATTTGTATCTCATGTATAAGGTTTTTTTCTTGCTAAATAGTAGAATTTGCTTCTGAAGTATTTCATAAGACACACATATACTTAACACAATATGTTAGACATTATAAGATGGTGATTTCCCCACTAAGTCCTTCAGACAGAAAGATATTAGATGTATTAACATATAGTATGGGAGATGTGAATGACCATGTAAAACTGTGGTAAACATTTCCTAGTGTAAACTAAACAGTAAAGACAACTCTAAATAGAATTATGATTGAAATTTCCAAAATATTATTGTTACATTCAATTTAAGAAAATGTCTCAGCCAAGAAACAAGAAAAAAGCTTTACTTGAAGGAAGTCTGTGAAATCTATCAGTTTGACCAGTAAGGCTTTTGTGATTTCTGTGTCACCAACATTCCAGCTGTTATCTAGAATTTCTGTAACACAATAAGTACATATAACCTGAAAGCCACATGGCAAAATCTGTAAGTTTGATCAGGAAGGTGGTCTAGTAATTTTTCAGAAACATAAATAATCATACTTAGAGTATTTCCACAGAAGAGAATCAGATATTGGTGTATGCATGTACCTAAGCATTTCACCTGTTACTGACCTATCAAGGCACTAAGAGCAGCCTTCAATATAAAATAAATTTATCGAAACTATACCAGTGCTTTTTTTTCTCTCTATAACAAGTGTTCAAGTGAAAAAATAAGTTTGCAATATATTTGAAAAGGGTTGCAACAATATCAATCAAAATGTAAAAATTGGTTTGACATATGAAAGACAACCACCACTATATATATGTAACAAGTAAAAACAGTCTACCATTTGTGAGAGTGGCCTGTAACCAGTAGGAGAATCGTGTAGTGGCTGTTTGGTCCCGAGTGTATGACATCATATGTTGACCAAGCTGGCTCCTCAGGACTGATCCTATCTGACTTGGAAACTGACAATAAAGAAACAATAAGGGGCCTTAATGCAGTGCAACTTCTCCGAAGCGAACCTTCTCAAAACTGATTACCCCTTGAAATGACACCAAGTGGAGATGTATGGAATGACGTCCTCTTTATTATAGTAATAAAAACCTTCCCGATACCAATCACTTCTGAATAACAAACCGAATTTGTGTCTGAAATGATTGAAATATACGGAAAATCACTTCTGAAAACTGGCCTTACCTAAATGATCAAGACTTGACTTCTGACCAGCATACCGTGATATTGACACCTGTAGTGACAGTTGTAAGCATTCTGCAACCCCCCCCCCCCCCCAGCCCCCTACCTCTCCCCTCATGTATGCCTGACATTGTATACAATACATGTACATACCCTGAATGGAAGGATAATAGTAAATATCATGTATAGTTATCTCCAATGACAGATTTAAACCATATGGAATGTATGTGAAATGAGTACTGATGAGGAGTTAGAAAGCCGCAGTTTCACATTGTGTGTCAGTAAATGATGTTACTTTAACACATACAAAATGGAAAAACTAATCGAGTGTTATTCTAGAAGATAAGTGTTTATATTGATCAACAAAACACATATCCATCAAATATATCAGTTGGTAAAACTTTTGGACATGCTGACCATCCTATTGGTGCTACGTCAAACCCTCCCTAATCTGGCTTAATATTCATGTCCCATGCATGGTTGGTCTAGAGAAGTTCCACTGTACCTAGCCATCTGACTGATAAACAAATGATACAAACTGAGAGCAAATATTACCTCTATGCGATCAACATTTTCCAGAATACACTTGAAGTCAGTAATCTGCACAAAGGGAACCTTGGTCTGTTCCATTGCTGTTAGTATCTCCTCTTTTGGTACGTTTGTTTCCCTTGACGTGTCTGAGTGGATTGTAGGTACAGGGTCTGTTTTACGCCTCTTGGTTCTCTAATTGTACAAATAAACAAAGTGTTCAAGTTTCTATAAAGAGGGCTAGACTCTAGACTTGTAGTAACCAAAAAACTTAAAGTGTTTGTCTGTTATTCACTAATGACTTGAGGTGACTAGATAACTAACAGGTGTTTGTCTGTTATTCTCTATAGACTTGAGGTAACTAGATAACTAACAGGTGTTTGTCTGTTATTCTCTATAGACTTGAGGTAACTAGATAACTAACAGGTGTTTGTCTGTTATTCTCTATAGACTTGAGATAACTAGATAACTAACAGGTGTCTGTTATTCTCTATAAACTTGAGGTAACTAGATAACTTACGGGTGTTAGTCGTCTAGTCTCTATAGACTTGAGGTAACTAGATAACTTACGGGTGTTTGTCTGTTATTCTCTATAGACTTGAGGTAACTAGATAACTAACAGGTGTTTGTCTGTTATTCTCTATAGACTTGAGGTAACTAGATAACTTACGGGTGTTTGTCTGCTGTTCTCAATAGACTTGAGGTGACTAAGGGCCAGACTGGATTCACAATGGACTGGTTCGTTATTCTCCTGGACCTTTCTTATCAACATCTCCCACTGTTTGTCTCGTGAGGGAAAGAAAAGCTGCAATGCCATAAAACATCAGACTTAATGGCAAGATTTGTTAAATTACAATCAGCTTCCAACAGACAACAGCAATGGATCTGTATCTGAAAAGGTCAACAGTGTATGCATAGGATCATAAAAAAATCCAATTCCCTTCAATACTGTTCAGTTGTCAGATTCAGAAAAGGTTAATTAATATTTTCTATTCTAAAAAGGAATTGAAATAAGTTTTCTGATCAGGTGACATCAAATACTTAGACTTGTCCCTATAACTGATTTGTAGGGGTCGACAGATTTATGTTGTCAAAAATAAAATAGAAATCACAACACATTACCAATACGACAATTGATCATAACATGGTACAAAAAGTATACCAACTCGAGACCTCTTGGGCATCACAACAGACATCATGTTTGGGTAGTAGAGTTGGTAGATTGCCAGAAGTCCAGTCAAGTATGGTTGTGCTCCCTACACAAATAAATAGAATAGAATAAATGTATAACAATGTATGTGTACATATCACATTTCATTATCCTAGTGTAAATTCAAGCAAAGTTCTGCCTCAGAAACAAACTTTTAAGAAAGGACAAAGTAATTAAGTGATGGCATGCATTTGGTGCACTGCACATCCTCTTAGTAGGATCAATAATTACATCAAGTTTCATTTCCCTAATTCTGATGCAAGCAAAATTATGCTCTGCACATGAAATTTTTAATAAATGACAATGACTTTGTAGTCAAGGGGTTGCAGACCTTGAATTTGGTGCACTGCACATCGTCTTAGTATGATTAATGTATACACCAAGTTTAATTATCCTAGTGTAAATGCAAGCACAGTTGTCCTCTGGACATGGAATTTTAACAAAAGCAATAACTCTTTAATTAAGGAGTTGTGGGCCCTGAATTTGGTACACTACACATCCCCATAGTATGACCAATGTACACAACAAGTTTCATTATCCTTGCTTAACTGTGGGAAAAACTATGCTCCATTCACTAAAAGGACAGATGTATGAACAGACAAAGCAACAAAGAATAAATTTGATAAATCAAATATCACATTATTATACTAGAGGTCCTGTCATGTATGGCTGTGGTCTCTAGTGGTACAGGTGTATCTGTATAGCTGTGCTGTTTTATAGTTTAAAATGGCAAGGGAAAGCAGTAAATGCTTGCCTCAGACCATATAGAGAACTTTCACCTATGATTACCAACTGTTTATGACAACATTCAGTGGGATCACAACTGTTTCAAAGCACCAAAAAAATTCAAATGAATTGTTGATGGTGTACAGCAATGATATGAAAATGAACTAAATTTACTTCAGGGTGAGATTTTCCTTGTTAGGCCCCTCCAATCTGGCCCCAAGGGACAGAGACCCACCATTTATACCAAACTGATTTCCCTTCACCCAAGCATATTTCAGACCAATTTAGGAAAGATGAGCAATGAGCAAAAAATGGAACAACAGTAATGCTTTCTACAAAATTGCTAATGATATTTCTTATTTTTCTTTCTTTCTTTTTTTTTTTTTTTAGAAAATAGCACGTTTTATGTTTTGTTCTCTGAAGTAAAATTGGCACTATTACTTTTGTCATACTATTTTCTGTCAGATATGCACTTACCATTTTGTTCTGAATCATAAGAAGACGACGTACTCGAAACAGTCGAACATCTTCTTTTTGTGTTAACAGGTAAAGAAGGTGACAAACATACGGCATCTACAAAGTACAGAGTATATACCAGAATAACAACTAACACTGTAAAAGGGTGAGGGACCTAATACTCAGTCAATATGAGGTGGAAAAAGGTGATAGATTCAGTACTACCAAATAAAGTCAATCTGTGTTAAGTTCACCAACAGTAATCTTACATGGATATACAAATACAACTACAGTACTCTCATAGATATTCTCATATGGAGGTACAAATACAAATACAGTACTCTCATAGAGATTCTCATACAGAGGTACAAATACAAATACAGTACTCTCATAGAGATTCTCATACGGAGGTACAAATACAACAACAGTACTCTCATAGAGATTCTCATATGGAGGTACAAATACAACTACAGAACTCTCATAGATATTCTCATACGGAGGTACAAATACAACTACAGAACTCTCCTAGAGATTCTCATACAGAGGTACAAATACAACTACAGTACTCTCATAGAGATTCTCATATGGAGGTATAAATACAACTACAGAACTCTCATAGAGATTCTCATATGGAGGTACAAATACAACTACAGTACTCTCATAGAGATTCTCATATGGAGGTACAAATACAACTACAGAACTCTCATAGAGATTCTCATATGGAGGTACACATACAACTACAGTATTCTCATAGAGATTCTCATATGGAGGTACAAATACAACTACAATACTCTCATAGATATTCTCATATGTACAAATACAGTATTCTCATAGAGATTCTCATATGGAGGTACATATACAAATACAGTACTCTCATAGAGATTCTCATATGGAGTTACAAATACAGTAATCTCATAGAGATTCTCATATGGAGGTACAAATACAACTACAGAACTCTCATAGAGATTCTCATATGGAGGTACAAATACAGTACTCTCATAGAGATTCTCATATGGAGGTACATATACAACTACAGTACTCTCATAGATATTCTCATATGGAGGTACAAATACAACTACAGTATTCTCATAGAGATTCTCATATGGAGGTACAAATACAAATACAGTACTCTCATAGAGATTCTCATATGGAGGTACAAATACAACTACAGTACTCTCATAGAGATTCTCATATGGAGGTACAAATACAACTACAGTACTCTCATAGATATTCTCATATGGAGGTACAAATACAACTACAGTACTCTCATAGATATTCTCATATGGAGGTACAAATACAACTACAGTACTCTCATAGAGATTCTCATATGGAGGTACACATACAACTAGTGTACTCTCATAGAGATTCTCATATGGAGGTACATATACAACTACAATACTCTCATAGATATTCTCATATGGAGGGTCAAATACAAATACAGTACTCTCATAGAGATTCTCATATGGAGGTACAAATACAACTACAGTACTCTCATAGATATTCTCATATGGAGGTACAAATACAACTACAATACTCTCATAGATATTCTCATATGGAGGGTCAAATACAAATACAGTACTCTCATAGAGATTCTCATATGGAGGTACAAATACAACTACAGTACTCTCATAGATATTCTCATATGGAGGTACAAATACAACTACAATACTCTCATAGATATTCTCATATGGAGGGTCAAATACAAATACAGTACTCTCATAGATATTCTCATATGGAGGTACAAATACAACTACAGAACTCTCATAGAGATTCTCATATGGAGGGTCAAATACAAATACAGTACTCTCATACAGAAGTATGGGTACTCACTTACAGTACTATCCTATAAATGTACGAGTACACCTACATTACTTTCATACAGAGGTACAAGTAAACTTATAATACTCTCATACAGAGGGTGAAATACACCCACAGTACTCATACAGAGGGTCGAATACACCTACAGAACTCTCATATGGGGGTATAATACACACATCAGTATCACTCACATTATGATTGTAACATTTTTGTGTCTCAACACTAATCAATCTATTATTATTATTATTTCATAGATAAACAGTAATTGACAGAAACGTATGAGATGTAATTTCAGCTGATGAGAAGACCACAGAACTTTGAACTGGTAATGTTTCGAGTACTGGAATTGGTTGTGTAACTATTCGTTTTCTATTGCAATCAATCAATACTCAAATGTTCCGTCAATGTATGGTACACTACACATCTATTTAGTCATCTAGGAAACAGAATATAACATTCCAGTAATTCTTGTTTTATTTTCCTATTATTGTTTTCAAAATTTTAATCGATATCTTTTAACAACAGTCACATAGAAAAAGATCACGTCTATAACCAAAATATCTGTGTTCTGTAACTCAGTGATAACAAGACATACATAAACCTTCCAGCTACTCATACAGCCAAACACATCAGTAATCCACATACCATTGTCTGGTTTTCTAGGAAGTAGAAAATTATACCATACAGCTTGTGCAGGTTTTCTTTCTTATCAATGTAGTCATACACCACTAAAATCCATCGCAGGAAAAATGTCTACAAATGTTTAAATAGATGTCAAACACAAGCAAATATTAATTAAAACATGTATGAATCATGTTTATATTGTAAAGTTCAGAGATAAATCAAAATAAGTTTTATCATTCATAATTCAAATCATTTTGACTTTAAATAAACTAGTGTTAAAAATATTTAAAAACATTCAGTCTTATTTAAAGTCAAATACAACAATACATGATCATAAAATCATTAAATGTCAATGGTTTGTTCTTCAGAAACTTAAAAGATACAGAGAATTTAAAGGTGCTCACCTGAATCTTAATGGATGGTTTGTTGGTACACATATGTGAAATAGCATTTATCACAGCCTGTTCTGGTACCACTGTGGAAGGAGTCAGTGAACGAATCAGTCGAACACTTATAGTCTCACCTGAAAAATCAAATAATAATTCTCAAAACTTTGTCTGATACATATCTTAATCAAGAGCTATTGCCAAACAACAAAGCTCACCTCAAAAATGTTTCAAAATTGAAATTATATAGTTTGACTCCATGAAAAAACAACAACTTTAGTTCAATTCTGGAAAGGGAAAGTTCATCCCCCTAAAGGAACAAGGAACCCTGATACCAAATGTCAATACACTGTCATTAATTCAATCACAAAGTGATGTAAGGTGTCTTTCAACACTTACTATTTTGAAGAAACAAGTTAAAAATAATTAAATGACATTTTTCAAAATGGAGAAACTAACTGATGTGCAACACTTCCATATCTTTTTCTTTCTAATCTCATCATTGCTATTGCATGAGCAAAAACAGTCAGAACAGTGCACTTGTAAACATTTTTCAACTCTGAAACTCTTTAAAATTGAAATCACAGATAGAGAAGTTATAAAAAAGTCAAATGTATTTAATTTAAAGGGTTTAAATGAGTGAAGTTGTGTGGGTTACCATGGAAAGATTAAATTAATAGATCTTGATATCTAAAATCAAATTATTCCTTTTGAAGATACTATTGAAATTAAAAACAGATGACTTACTGACAACAGATATTAGCCAAAAGTTTCGGATTCTAAATATTTGGCATGTTAAGTCTGTAGCAGAACTGGAAGGGGTCGATTGTTGGCGACCAGTTAGCTCATTAAATAGAACATATGTGTAAGAGTTTGGATGGTCCCGGGTTCAAACCCCGGTCTGGAAATGCAGTTTTCAGCTCCTGTTACATTTGGTGCTGTGACCAAACTTTGTTTCAAGCAGTAGGTTAATGCTGAATAAGAGGATACCCGAACCTGGGTTGTTAGATATGATGTCTTCGGGGGCGAAGACTAAAATTGAGGGAGGAGTGTAGCAGAACTGGATGGGGTCAGTAGTGGGTGATCAGTTAGATGATACAAATACATAGATATTTTATGACTTGAGAATGCATTGACATATCTTACTAAGATAGCCATTGGCTGCAGCATCAACAAGATCTGTCATGTACTCCGCAGGCAAACCTTTGGTCTTGGATGTCTCCTCCAAGAGCTCCAGCGACATCTGTAGGTGGATGTTGTTTTTAGTCTTGACACGTTCTTTAACTGTAGAATATGAAATCAACTGAGGTTAAAATGACAAAAATAACACAATAGAGATGACATTAATGCCTGTAGCAGGCCTATCCAAATAATACACTTGTAACTTTTTTGATACATGATTTTTTGTTAAAAAAAAAAAAAAAAAAAGCATATGTACAACAGCAATTAAATCAAAATAAAAAAAACCCAGAGAATTCTAAGTAAAGATTCCTAATTCCAGGGATACTCATGAAAAGATTTCTCTAAATTTCAATTCCAGTGAATTAAAGATAGCTTGTACATGTAGATTGGGAAACGGTTAAACCTAGATATAGTTGTATCTGAACCACAAAAAAAAAACCTTGTGAGATTATCAGAGTCATGAAAAAAAATCTTAAGTATAACTAGCAAATATGTATAAGTACAGTCATGTAGTTAACATTAGGACATTCAAACAATGGCCAACACGCTGATCAGAAAATAGGATTTCTCTGTTTAATGGATAATCATGCAGTCAGTCAATTTGGCGTGATAGACTGGAATAAATAACATTGGTTTGGCGGTTTAAAGGGCAATAAAACCTAAAAAACAATCCTGTCTTAGGCTGTCAGCTGTCTCCTTGTAGTAGTTGGTAACTAAATGTACTTGAACATCATGCAGGAGGAAACACTGCATGCTATCCTGATCAGTGTTTCCTGAGAACTGAAAACTCCTAGTCTGAATTATTTTGACATTCTGTCAACCGTTTTTATGTTGGTCTGGAGTAGATAAATGATGTTCATCGACTCTTAACTGTTATGTAAAGTTGACAGTGTCAGAATCATTCAGATTCCTACAGCTTCAAGAGTAGGGATCTTCACGAAACACATTTTTTCTAAGAATAGTTCTTCTTTCATAGTGCTAAAATTACCTTATTTCCCTTGTGTACATACACATGTATGATGTATGATTTTAATTTAACCGAGGTCTTGTGAATGTGATAACATCAGTCTTTTATATATACATTTCAGCATACATATTTCTTAATTTCCCGTTAGAATTTCAAATACTTTTTTACCTTACTTTTTCGCTGGTAGGAATTTATCCCTGCCATTTTAATCTTAAAACTTTGAAAATATCTCAATTCATGTCTTGTCAGCTTATTCCAAGGGAAATAATAAAAGGTTTGAAAAATGTGAAGAAGAATGATTCCTGCTGTTATATATATAAGCAAAATTATTTTCATTTCACATATAAAATGTCCGATTCGCGTGCTTATTTCAATATCTGGACACTACAGTAATTTAAATGAATTATAGGCCAACTGTCACGTAAAAATCACCTATCACGGTGTCGAAACCGTCAATGGTATCAATTTAAAAGTTAGCGGATCTTAGTTTTATCATGCATTGTACAACAATAACGAAAACTTTTACCATTTTTGAAATAATGGACAGCACTGTCAAGACCATTGGATGAACTTCGTCTTTTTCTGCTTGATGTCTTCTTCTGTTTATTTTTCGCGCTGTCCATTTTGGAATATCAAGGTAATAATAACGCTTTGTATCTGCGTTAAGCAAAAACGCACAAGTAACAGAGATTTTCAGCTACCGGTAGGATAGATAACTCTTTCTACCTGTCAACATATACACAGACAAGAAGATGGTTGATGGAAGCTGACGAATCACATCTGAAAATTACTTGTTTACTGACCATTGTGCATAATTGATATGGCTACCGGTACGTTACAGTAATTTCGATAGTTCAGTGTTTTTCCCCACGCGTTCATGATTATTGGGTAAAATCCGAATAAAATCTTTAACATTGAACATGTCACTGAGTTTCCAGTCGATTACGTCAAAATATAGTTTTTTTCTAGCACTTTACAATTGTGCATTATCTATGTAAAGGGGTGTATGAGAACTAATGCTTAATTATGAATTATGATAATTTTCATACATTCTGGCAAGTTCCTTATCTATTTAATAGATTAATTAATTCAGAGACATATATAACACGTGTGATATATACGTCTCTGATTAATTAATTCGTTTATTTATTTCTAAAATAAAACCCCAAGTAAGCAAATATTACTAGAATGAGTGATTGATCAATAGCAGCTTTCCGTGTTTGCAAATAAATCACCACAGACCCCGAAATATTAATAAATTTTGAAATGGAAACATTGTCTTGGTCGCAGTCAACTGTCAGACCTATGAACAACAAATGTGTGTAGTTTCCGTTCTCTTAGTCTATCTACTTACATTTACATAGTCGATGCTCACTTTGCTTCACAGTGTACGAGATATGGCTATAGCTAGTCATATGTTTATTCTATTTGTAGTATTATTTGCTACTTTAGTCCTTCATAAAACTGCAACCAACCTTGTCCAACTAGCCAGACTGCCTAGGTGGTTCATTTGATTGACACCTCTTGTCAGTTGCAATGATTGAAAGTGTTCAATATTGGATAAAAAATGTTATAGAAAGCATATGCTATATTTTGAAAACATCAGGGCTGTGATTTAAACCATCAATACTCACTGAATTCTCACTGGATAATGCATTAATAATATAGTATCAGATAGTCCAAGTGTTCTGAAGTTGGAAACTACTGTTAGTTCTAATGTATTCTTTTTCTTGGATGGACAGAAATATAACCATGTACATATTGAAGAAAGAAATCAGCATGAATTCTTAATCTGTTTTCTAGTGGATGACAATGCCCTTGCCAAATTTCTGTCCAGAGTGGCAGACAAAATGGATGAGGAAAAAGACAAGATGGAAAAAGAAAATAAAGAAGCTGAAAAACTTAAAAAGGAAGCAGCTGCCGTGCTTGACCTTGATCTTGATGAATTCACGTTTGAGATCGGCACACAATCAGGTCCCTTGGATTTATCTGGTAATGCAGCATCTGGAAGCAAGTCGGGATCTAAACCTCAGACTGGCGCAGATGGTAAATATTAATATTAAATGATTGCATTGGCTTGTACAAATGATATGAAATTAGATTCACACTTGTGACTTGCATGGGATATTCAGTTGCTGCAAGAGTGGTAAGCAGTTATGTTTATTGTTTCTTATGATCAATACATGTACTATTTGGTAGCCACACCTTCAGAGATCTTCATGTGTAATGAAATTTATGTTTGTTCCAGCTGAGTCTTTGGAGGACTTGGTAACAGGACTACAGAGCCAGATCAACAGTTCTGATTCCTGGCTCACTGAGAACACTGCCACCAAGTGGAAGACAGACAACCCAGAACTGGCAGAGCAGTACCTGAAGGCTATGGAACAGGATAAAGACAAGGAATTCTGATCATACTGCAGGACTGTATCTGTACAGACGAGAAGGATCACAAGGATAGTGCTGGGAAGTAATAGAACATCAAGAAGTTGAAAAGTTCTCGTCAGACTTAATGGGCATAAAGCTGATGGTCACAACGAACAGAGTGATGCTTATACTCATTAATTTGAGTGCTTCAGAATGTGTTTAGAAAGCGTTTTACAGTATTATTATAGAACACAGCTGTGTAAAATCATGATGCTTTTTCGTCATGAATGAATTCATGTGAAAGTTGAACGAAGTAAAAACATGTTAGATATAACATAAGATAAAAAGCAGAGACAATTGTTGAGACAAAATTTATTGTATTGGGTATGTGGACTAAATACAATTCTAGGGTTTGTATTTTTATGTTGACTTTTTTAACACAAGTAATTCTTTAATTCCAACTTTTCCTGTGGAACTCATCCACATTTTAATAGTCCACCTCCATCTCTTAGTCATGGAATGTGCCAACATTTAGGAAATATACTGCAGGATTCATCTTAAAAAATCACTTTTTTGTTTTTGAAATATAAACTGTAAGTTTAATACATTTAATCAGTACAACTTTGAATGGCAAAAACAATATAGGTAGTGATATTCCTGTATTATTGCCTAGATAACTTGTACCTTTCCATTGTACTTCCATCTCATGTGGGTGGATTTCCACATATTAACATTAAGTTGCTCTTGTTTATGCAATGCAGCAAAAAAGTGATTTTTTAATTTTTCAAGTCTAACATTTCAGGCATATTAAAATTGTCAGATATGTAATACAGACCTGGACATCTCGACCAAAGTTCATCAGATTAGTAGGTTTGTCCAGATGAAATGAATAAACAAATGTGAATGCAGTCATGAATGCAGTCGTGGTGTCATTTTTAACATTCATGTGATATAACCTTAAGGGAAACACTAATGTTAATACCCGACCAATAGTAAGACCGTCACTATTCGAACGACGGGAAACAACAAAAAAAATTAGATTCACCGTAATGCTAGCGTGAATGGCCGATGATTAAAACATTTGACATTTATTTTATTTTACTTTTTTGTTGTTGTTGTTTTTATCTCCAAACTATCATATAAGACCGACGACTTTTACATATAACTATGTGAAGGGAGGTAACAATGCAGAACTCGTGAATGATAACCCCAAGAATGGCATGTTCCTGCGTATAATGCGCATCCCCTTTTTGACACGATAGTTTTAGCTTGAAAAAGTGCGCACAATACGCGAAAATTTACGGTATGTGCTTATGACACCAACAGACTAAAAGCCTGAGTTTCTGTACCAAATTGTTTCAGGATTTCATCTTAACCCCATTGTTAAAAATGTTACTTAGATGTTATCCTAATTTGAGTTCTTCAGAAAATCCTCTTACTTCAGTATGTCAAATTGTGCAGACAACTGTTTGAAAACAAAAACACCCAGCTTACAGCTGTGATAAAAGGCTTTGTAATAATTACATAAATTGTCTTCGTCAGCATTTGCTATTTGCTAATATTTTTTCTCGTTACTAACACTTAATTACTTGATTCTTATTTCATTGAATGTCCAATAAGATTGTCAAGTTTTCTTTCAACAACTTCTGAAACAGATCTGATTTTAACTGTCATGTACAATCCACTCCACAATGGGCCTGATGTATCCAAGATGTTAGTCTTGGCCAGTGATCAGACAAGATATTTTTAGTATCTCATGTTCCAATAACACAATCTGAATTAATCTGATTAGAAATGTTTTAAATACAAAATGACTGAGAATTAAGATATGTCGTCTGTATGGTATGTGAACAGTATCATACCACTGTAAAACCTGACTGGTTTCATTACTTATAAATGTTACAGATGGGTACAGTGGTCAGTGGCTCTACAGTTTGGCAGAATGGTGTAGGGTGCTGAAGACTGGAAAAAATAGTGCAAGATAGTTGAAGATAGAATTTCCGTTCCCGTATTTCTTAGAAATGATCCATCATTAGTTCTATCCATGGTTTGCTATAATCATTGAATCAGACCAATACTGAATCAAAGATGGCCACCAGCGTGACTGACTGGGCGAGATATTCTCTAAAGTCTCTGGTTCCAATAATACATTCAAGGTATCCGAAAAACAATTAAACACAAGTAATCAATGTAATTTTTTATTTCAGTAGTAAACTATAAATATATAGAATTTTTTACAAGCCTCCAACAACATTAAACATAAAAACATATCTACTAATATCAGTCAGATGTTTGATAATGAGACCTTGATAAAGGGGAACTTCAATGTCACAGAAGAGACTGACAGCAGATGAAAGTTTAGTATTAAAGCAAATTCTTAAACTTTATAAACTATTGTACTGGAAATTATACAACATACCAAACTACTAAGTTAAACAAGATTAACATGAACTCAAAATGTGGACAGATGGCTTCTAACAAAATACAAATTAGTTGGAATATTGTTTAGATATGTTTTATTTGAAGAGAGCGCCTGTACTTAAAACTGATTTTAACTTAAGAGTACTAATATCTATTTAGCTGGCAAGCAAGTAAACATTGTAGACTGAGCTAGAGATAGACATTCACAACACCCATACCATACATACATGTACATAGATACTGTGGAGCTCCCACCTATTAACAGGAAGTACCTCACACTCATTAGAATCCACCATGGACTGGAACATTTACAATAAATTGAGTCTAACCCTATCAAGGACAAAATGACGTAGGCTTTTGATAAGGCAGAATTACTTTTTGATTCTTTTATCAATAGATTTACCATTTCTCAATTTCTAGAAAAAAATTTCCACAAGAATATTTCAAGGTCTCTAACAATTTTGCTTCCTTTTCTTAGGTAAATATATCTATTTGTATTTTGAATACAGAAATAATCTGAAAATTGCTTCACTGATACACTTATACTTCTATGTAATGTACACATTAACTACAGACTTAACACGCTGACACAACTACATCCGTTTCTAATGTAAACAAATAACCTCAAATCTATCAATGAACACTATAGAATATTGCTTAATACATTATTATAAGTTTACCAATACCAACATTGATTGTATTAACGACTGGTGATAAAGTTAGGATGCAATAAGTAGACAATTTGTTACGATCACACAGAAATGTTCAGACAACTTAATTCCTTAAACAATGAGATAAGCATACATTCAATTTTTTTAAATCACAAAAAAAAAGTCATGGCAGCTATGATATTAATCACATGATTGATTATGAGGATTAAGTGTGATACAAGACGTTTAAGACCTTGACATTCAAAGTAAAATTAAGAGATATCAAACAACTCCAGTTTTAATATTCTCCAGCTGTCCTAAAGATGATGATCATTTTGTGTCAATTTGAATTTACTTCCAAATTAAATATCAGTTTCAATAATTTTGAAATTAAAATATGTCTGTATTTTTCATACAAGAAAACAATCTTGGATAGTTGTAAGCTCAAATATTACCTATCTTACTCTGTCATGTAACATTATCTTTACCCAGAATGCCTCTGTAATATATGAAGGTCTTGTCACCATCACTCTGAACAGCAACATGTGTTAGTGAATGGTAGATTTTTGGTTTTCTAGTAGAAGTATTTATTGATTACCCTGGTGACTAAAAACTATAGCCCGGAGCAGCCCTGACTAATTAGGAATGATTTCATTGATAATTTCTCCGGATCTAAAAAAGGAATTCATTTATATGGCTAGTTGCTTATTTATAGAGATGAAACAGTCCTTCAAGTTGCTAAAGAAATTACACCTGGAGAATGATGGAGCATATTGACAGAACAAGAAGAACAAACAATGCTATTATATGTGGGTGTTGCTAAATGTGTTTGGTACTACTGTCACAGTATTAATGATACAAAACAGAACATATTCCAAGATTTGTTATCAACATGACTAAAATGCTTATGGGTTCATGAAAATGAAAATGAAGTTTAAAAGTAGTTTCCTATGAAAGCATTAAGAGATGAATACTCCACTAAAATTGCCTCTGTATTTCAGTACTGCTGAAGTGTACATTTTTCACTAGTCACTCTCTTAGGGAGGTGAAAATTTTCTACATTCACTATGAAAATATAAGTGACTACTAGACTTTGGCAAGCTAGCATGAATCTCTACGACCTTTTTATGGCACCAATCAAACACTTTTATAAAAACAGAACTAGAAAAGGATAGGAAAAATGTGATTGTTACAAATTTGGTGTTATTATTTTGTAGATTGCTTGTAATAAAACAAGGTACAATATACCAAATTACTGTAAACGATGGGTGGGTTTTTTGTAGGTTCAAATTTTCGTAGTTTTCCTAAAACCTTGAAGGCAAAACGTTCATTTTTCACAAAAGTAACACATAAATTATTCTATCCCTTCTAATTCAATGTTACTATGTCTTATTTTACGTTATTTCTCACGGAAATAGATGAAAAGAGAATCCCTTAAAAAATATCAGTGTTTACAATATTTGATCTAAACCACGATTTATCACAGTTGTCCCTAGAAGTAGGTGTGGAACTGTTAAATACCACAATTTGTCAGTCTATATTCATCACAATAGCAACAGTGTGATGGTTTCTTCCACATTGCTTTCACTGTCATGATCCTCACAAGAGGCAAACAGTAAACGATTCTACGTACAAATATTTCAAAACATCCATGTAGACAAATTGGTCCAGTTACATATTATCACAGATAATGCTACAATGGTGAGAATGTCGATGATGTACATTGTTCACAAAAAAAAAAAAAAAAAAATCAAGATGACTTCATATAATTGCCTAAAAATAAAGTTGAATTCTCACATGGTTTTGCCTCAACAGATTGAATTTCCAAAAGATGATTCATTATTCTGTTATTCATACATTCTGAATTGCATATTCAGGACAAGCAGTATAATAGCAATCAATCTTTGTGTGAATAACTGAGCAACGCAGTATACTTTGCTGCCTTTTCTTGCAACCAGAAATTTTAAATGGTTTGAGTTTTTTCACATAAGGTATTGAGTACAACAAAGATATAGATTGACAATATGAAAGTTGGACGGAGTTGTCAAATTGTTTCATAGCACACTAATTAGAATATTTATAGCACATGTGTTTGAGATAGTAAGAAAATAAACATTAAGTGTCAATATCTATGTAAGCAAGTCATATCTAACATCTTAACAAACATCAAATTTGTTGACAAACTTAATCAGAAATGTTTCTGATCTGAAAACTACAAAATGAGAAATAAATACTAATAAACATGTCAGTGATTACAGTTAGGATTTCCACTCCATTGTTGATGTTTTACCGTACATAATGTTGGTTGGCCATACACATTGTTCACTATCACATCACTACCCTTTATAATGTCGTCCTGAGAAACTGTAACGTTGCACATGTCTGCTCACAATGACCGTCATTTGTGATGTTGGATAAAAAATGAGTTGTCAATTACTGTATTTATCTGGCAGTAAACCCACGCCTGGTAATAAGCCCAGTCGTGTCTGCTGCCATTCAATTAGAATCAAATTCTTTTTCAAAGTTCCACAAATAAGTCAATCCCTCGACTTATCAGAATTTTTTTTTGTGGGCCCACTGGGCTTATTACAGGATAAATAAAGTACATGTGATATCTGTTCAAGACTGTTGTTTGTGTCATGGGAACTTTAACCTGTTGCAAGTCTGCTCCAAATGTCTGTCATTTGTGTTGAAAGACATCTGATAGAACAAACAGCACTGTATACAATATCCTTGAAGCACTAGTTGGCCAATATGTGCAACATCGACCCTAAACTACCGTCTCCTGTTGTACATGCTGTTTGTGATGAGTGTTGGAAATGGTATTTTTTAAGCACTAATTTGCTAATATTTACAACATCCATCCACATCTAACCCAGCCTGTTGTGCATGCTGTTTGTGATGAGTGTAGGAAATGGTATTTTTTATGCACTAGTTGGCTAATATGTACAACATCCACACAGAACTACCGTCGCCTGTTGTACTTTTTAACAATCTTGTCCGTACCATGCTTCAAGTCCTCTATATGTGAGTCTATCAAAAATTCAAGTTCTTTTGCACGTTTATTCTCGGCTTCCAGAAATTTCTGTGACACTGAATTCCTTGGACTGGGTACCTGTGAAGATAAAATATTCTACTTATGATTCAGGCTTTCTGACAAATCAACAGACTGCATTCTAGTTAATTGTTGAATACATCATACTGATTATCCTTATCATTATAAAACTGACGCCTACAACCCCCCAGAAATCTATCAGGTATCATTAAATTCTACATCTAGCTGATGATCCAAGTTTTGCAACATGACTGTTACAGGATTGGTTACCCTCCACACTCCTGGTATTGCATTCCCTATCACTCTTCACTCCTGGAACATTCACGACAAAACTGAAGACACCAGCAAAGCAATTTGATTGGTCTAGAGCAGATTTTAGGTGAAAAAAAAAGACAGATCACAGACTAATACACTCCTATGAAGATTACAAAGGAGCGACAACAAACTTTGAATCTATTACTACATAGTGTTATGTGACCTAGAGATTCATCTGAAGTACTTAAAAAGGATCAAACCAGTCTTCTCATATCCAAAAGGTGTCGTACGTGGTACCTTCAATTTTTGTCGTGAAATGTCTTCAGGTACAGAGAGTGAAAGTGATCATCACCCTTGGAGGATCGAGGACGAGAACTGGTATAAATTTGTACTCTTATTCTAATTAAACAGATCTTATAATATTTTTTATCTTGTTTGAATACTCCGAGGCCACTGTGTGTCTGATTTATTATTCTACGTCATGGTAACAATTAAAATGTCTGTCAAAGTTTCTCACTGTGTAAACCTGGAACGTTCCTGTTTAAGTAGTGAAATAGTTTCCAATAATTAATGTGTCTTAAATGTCTCAACTGTAGTGTTGATCTGACTTTCCCATTAGTATCTCGACATTTCAATCATCTATATTCACTATCAAATAGTTTCATCTTTCAATAAATTACAAAAAGTGGTGTTATATCAGATTTTACAGTGATATACCATAAATTAGAATTGAAATAATTTCTGTTTAAATGAGGTATTTATTGGAAAGCAGCTAGTCTCCTAAATAATAATGAATTTCTTTGTACAACCAAAATGTCAGGATAAAAAACAGTACAATTGTATACAGTGCAGATATACTCACCTCCATACTAACATCAGGTAAACTATCTGATATTGACATCGCTCGGCTACTCAGGACTGTCTCAAAGCTGGCATTGGCTGTGCCATTGACTTGTGATTCTGGCTCAACGTCATTAGTAAGGTTAGGCCCGTTAGTGCTGCCCACTAAAGGTGTCCCTGTATATAAAATACAGTGATCAGTTTCTTACAAATCCTTTTATCAATGGTCATTGATTCGTTTTGCAATTATTGTTGGTAATAATGTGAATAAAATAGAAAGTCATGTGATACATATAAGTATATCTATGAATTTACAAAGAAAAATATTATTATAATTATGCTCTTGGCCTGTTTCGTTGAATGACTCTGATCTTTTGTCATGAATTATTTTGCACATTTCTTTCTTTCTCTTTTTTCCTTAATTCAATTCACAATGAAAATAATTTCATCATTGTAACATATCACTATGAGCATTAGAATTATTAGTCTTGCATCCTCCATGCATAAACAAAATAATTTCTCGATCATGTTTGAGTTTTTAAACCCACTCACTTGTTCTTAATTGTGGATTCTGTTGCCTTTGATGTTCACTATCAGGCTGTCGCCACCCTGGGTCAGATAAACTAGAAAGTCTGCTATCATTTCTTTGATGTCGGTCAGGTTCTCTAAACTCTAAAGGACTGTCTTCATTTCTGAATAAGTTTTGATTAGTGTCCATGAACTGTGGTGATTTGTCCACGTAGCGTGATCTGTCGGAGAACCGAGTCGGGGAGTCGACACTAGAGTATCGAATGTGTCTCTCACTTGGATCCGAGTAGCGAGCTCTGCGCTCTGTCTTTTGGTCACTTGTAGATCGATCAAAATCCAAGAAACGTGAAGGTGATGGACGTTCAGTGTTTGCATTTCGTAAACGTTTTTCTAGTTCAAGTTGCGCCTCAAGTTGTGCCTTGCCAATCTTGAGTACGCGGATCTCCTCCTTGTACTGTTGTGTAGCAGAGTTGAATTGCTCCTGCATTTCTTCAACTCGTTGTTTAGAATTCTCCTCAAACCGCTTTATCCTAGAGAATATGTAATAAAATTTAACCCATGTTGTAACAAATCTATAGCAACAACAGTTCCATGAGCTTTACTGTTCAATCTCGTTCCCGGGTTGTGATGTCTGAGAACACACCTTACCCGAGACACAGAATTATAACCAAATATCTTAACCAATTTCCCCCAATCACTCAGGGTGATGAATAAAACAAATATCTTTACCACAAATCTTACAACCAACTTAATCTGTAACTACAAAAGACTATTTCTATCTATCTTCAGTAGAAGGTAGTGGCTACACACAATTACCTGTCATCCTGAGCAGATGTGTCCACATTCTGGAGAGCAAGTCGCACCTGTTCCTCATACCTTTCTTCCAACTCATTCATTTCTTCCTTCAAACATTCCATATCTTCTCTCAGCTGTTGGTTCTCATGCTGAAGTGGAAAGGACACACATAATTCACAAGCAGTGAACCTAATCCTGGACATGAGACCTAGGGTAAAGTAATATGTATAGTAGACATGATGTTTGTGTTAAATATAATACAGGAAGAACTCCTAATCAAGATCAATTAATTCCAAACGAACTTGTTTACATCGTAACTCTGAAATATCACAGAATCCATTATCATGTTGTAGCCAATTCTACATGTGTCTATCACAGCTCTGAAATATCACAGAATCCATTATCATGTTGTAGCCAATTCTACATGTGTCTATAACAGCTCTGAAATATCACACAGAATCCACTATAATGTTCTAGCCAATTCTACATGTGTCTATCACAGCTCTGAAATATCACACAGAATCCACTATTATGTTCTAGCTAATTCTACGTGTCTATCACAGCTCTGAAATATCACACAGAATCCACTATAATGTTCTAGTCAATTCTACATGTGTCTATCACAGCTCTGAAATATCACACAGAATCCACTATAATGTTCTAGCTAATTCTACATGTGTCTATCACAGCTCTGAAATATCACACAGAATCCACTATAATGTTCTAGCTAATTCTACGTGTCTATCACAGCTCTGAAATATCACACAGAATCCACTATAATGTTCTAGCCATTTCTACTTGTGTCTATCACAGCTCTGAAATATCACACAGAATCCACTATAATGTTCTAGCTAATTCTACGTGTCTATCACAGCTCTGAAATATCACACAGAATCCACTATTATGTTCTTGCTAATTCTACGTGTCTATCACAGCTCTGAAATATCACACAGAATCCACTATAATGTTCTAGCTAATTCTACGTGTCTATCACAGCTCTGAAATATCACACAGAATCCACTATAATGTTCTAGCTAATTCTACGTGTCTATCACAGCTCTGAAATATCACACAGAATCCACTATAATGTTCTAGCTAATTCTACGTGTCTATCACAGCTCTGAAATATCACACAGAATCCACTATAATGTTCTAGCTAATTCTACATGTGTCTATCACAGCTCTGAAATATCACACAGAATCCACTATTATGTTCTAGCTAATTCTAGTAGTATATACCACAGCTCTGAAATATCACACAGTATCCACTATAATGTTCCAGTCAGTTCTGTACAGTATATATACCTACCACTAACACTGAGAGTCTACCCCAAACTAGCAGTCTCTAGCACTTTTACTGTATCAAAATAAAAGTACTTTTGTTCCTGTACTTTTACAGGTGTGTCTGTTACCACCAGGTAAGCTGGCACCTGACCTCTACTCAACAGTCACTCAACACTCAACACCATTCATCAGTGCTAGAGTGACAAGAAACATGCTAAGCCTGTCAGGTCATCCAGTTTAACCTCCAAACCAAAGTAGATACTCTGACCTTTATATCTAAAAAGATCACTTTGACCTTTAGTATTTGATAGAACATTTTCTTTCATGTTCAAATTTACATACAATGTAGTTGACACAATTTGCCTCTAGATCTAGATACATTTTGATGGTCATTAACATGGGTATGAAATTTTATAACTCAATTTCATATCTTGATAAATCACACAGTGTGACATTCAGATCTTTATTAATCACCCACTTTGACCTTGAGATCTAGACATATCACTCACTTTGACCTTGAGATCTAGACATATCACTCACTTTGACCTTGAGATCTAGACAGATCACTCATTTTGACCTTGAGATCTAGACATATCACTCACTTTGACCTTGAGATCTAGACAGATCACTCATTTTGACCTTGAGATCTAGACAGATCACTCATTTTGACCTTGAGATCTAGACATATCACTCACTTTGACCTTGAGATCTAGACAGATCACTCATTTTGACCTTGAGATCTAGACATATCACTTTGACCTTGAAATCTAGACGGATCACTCATTTTGACCTTGAGTTCTAGACATATCACTCATTTTGACCTTGATGTCTAGACAGATCACTCACTTTGACCTTGAGATCTAAACATACCATTCACTTTGACCATCAAATCTACATTCATTGCTCATTTTGACCTTCATATTAAGGTTGACCTTTCTATCTCTCAGTTTTATCTTAAGATCACTAGCCTTAACCCTCAGATCTGTACATTTCAATTGTTAAATAATATTGTGCACTCAAAAGATCTAAGTATACAAATAGTTGAACCCATGTTGTGTGAGGTCATTTAAAGGTAGCTACAGGATTAAGTAAGGATTTAAGGTTTAGAATTTTACAAATACATCATGCTAAACATCAATACTCTAAAATCTGAAATTCTTCGCCATAATATCAACACACATATATATACAAGTCAAAATTGAAGTTGCCAAATTTGATAAAAACATACCAGGTATTTATTTAATTCTGGAATGTGTTCAAGGCAATGACAGATTAGAGTATTGTAAATTTCTTTATATTGAAAGATAAATGTGTTACTAGACTAATGAATAACAAGCATTCTACAGTGTGATTAAGGAAACAAGAAAACACATCATAAGAAAAAGAACATATATATTTAAGGGTGTAATGGACCATATTTTCATAATTTCAAAAGTGGTAATCCTGAGTATAAAATTTCAAAAGGATCTTCAATAGGTCTAGAAGACAATAATGAACTAACTCCTATGTGAACAAGAATCATTGTAGAACTTGATGTAATGATACAACATGTATGAGGTAAATATGAGCTAAAATCTGTTGAGAGGTTCTCAAGATACGACACTTATTCCGTTCAGGATGTGATGAAACAAAAAGGCAAGTTAACACAATGTTCTCTCACCACACAACTCTGCCCTGTAATGGTAGGAGCATAAAAATGTGGGCATACTTTACCTAATGATTTATTTACACGTAATGAGTTTCACATCCCCTATTATGATCTTTCAATCTTCCAGCAGATGAATAATTTAAGCTGCAGCAGGAAGTGTAGAGATGTAACTGGAAGTGGTTGTGGGTATGTTACCTTTTGACATGTAGCACAAGTTGGAAAAAGGGTCAAGGGTATGGGGCCATAGGGTCTAGGGTCAGAGGAATATAGGAGAGAAAGGACTAGAGGTCAGCGGCAAAAATCACAAATCTAAGGAAGTTAAATACAGTAAGTTGATAATGGCAGGGATTAAGTTGGTCAATTACAATGAGTGGTCAGGACTCACATCAAAATTAACCTTTATCAAATATTGGCATTGATGCAAACAATGTCAAAGTTTGAACATCTAATGATTATCACTAATAGCAAACTTTCCAGTGGGGTTTACTTGGGTATATTTAGTACCAGTCCATTGGTGATGTTGTAGCAAATGCATTAGAGGTCAAAGTTTGGGAGTCTACATGGGTCATCTCTAAATCTGAAATGGTGGTGATTCATTTGGGACATGGTCAGAGGTGCAGGTTCATTGGAGGGTCACTAGGTACGTCTTGTACATGATTTCAGATGATGTCACAACTGAAGAATCAGAGGTTGGGTTCTGGTGTTGTTAGTCACTTGTGTTATCCTAGTGATGTTACAGAGGGCCGGATGTTAAGGGAGGTTACCTCTAGACGAGACACACTGCTACTATAAGAATTCTGTACAGCACGCATGTGTTCCTCCGTAACAGTCTTGTCAGCATTGGTGTGCGCCTGCTGTAGTATCGTCTGGCGGAGGTGGCGGTTCTCTAATCTTATAGCCTCTATCTGGGCATTGGCTACCTGTTAGACATGTGACTGTTGCCATAGTGATGGGGAACAAACATGTTAGATGTGACAACAATGATGAAGGATTCCTGTTTAGACATAAACCACCAGAGTATACTCTTCCCGTCTCTTATACCAGAAATCGTTCCCATCTATCTTATTGTATTAACAGATTCAATCTCTCTTATTCTTCATAAAACATACAGCTCCCACCTCTATTATTCTACATACAACTCCTGTCTCTATTATTTTAGGTACAGCTCCCACCTCTATTATTCTACATACAACTTCTGCTTCTCACTTCATCTACAGCTCCTGTCTCACTTATTACACATACAGCTACTGTCTCACTTATTACACATACAGCTACTACTGTCTCACTTACTACACATACAGCTCCTGTCTCACTTATTACACATACAGCTACTGTCTCACTTATTACACATACAGCTCCTGTCTCACTTATCACACATACAGCTTCTGTCTCACTTATTACAAATACAGCTCCTGTCTCACTTATTACACATATAGCTCCTGTACACATACAGCTACTGTCTCACTTATTATACATACAACTCCTGTCTCACTTATTACACATACAGTTCCTGTCTCACTTATTACACATAAAGCTACTGTCTCACTTATTACACATACAGCTCCTGTCTCACTTATCACACATACAGCTACTGTCTCACTTATTACATATACAGCTCCTGTCTCACTTATTACACATACAACTACTGCCTCACTTATTACACATACAGCTCCTGTCTCACTTATCACACATACAACTACTGCCTCACTTATTACACATACATTACTGTCTCACCACTTATTACACATACAGTTCCTGTCTCACTTATTACACATACAGCTACTGTCTCACTTATTACACATACAGCTACTCTCTCAGCTACTACTGTCTCACTTATTACACATACAGCTACTCCCTCACTTATTACACATACAGCTACTCTTACACTTATTACACATACAGCTACTCTCACACATACAGCTCCTGTCTCACCTATCACACATACAGCTACTCTCACACCTATCACACATATAGCTCCTGTCTCACTTATTACATATACAGCTCCTGTCTCACTTATTACACATACAGCTACTCTCTCACTTATCAGCTCCCATCTCTCCTATTCTACAGGTTATATACCCGTCTTTGCAATTTTTTATCAAAATTTTTAGACATGATATATCTTAAACCACAGGAATTCCTCACCTATATAACACACAAAAAAGACTGGCATAAGTGAATAGTGTTGTCCTGCTCTTGTCCAAAAACGGATCCAATTTGCATCCTTCATACTTTTATTTAGAGACAACTATTCTCAAGTTACTGGTAAATTACAAGATTACATTAATAAATATTCATATTGTCAGTCAGGAACTCTAGTATGAATCTTACACAGGCATGGTTCAATATAGATATTGATAGGAAAACTGACAACTGGAACATTAAAACCAGTATATAATTCTGTACTTGATTTTGGACAAGAAAAGGACACAAGGATTCAAAAATAAGTGCATTGATTACAAAATAAACTGTGCTGTAAGATCTAAACACTCCTAACATCTAGTATCACAAATAATGAAAAAATAATACACTACACATCTATAAATCTTTAGATGGGTGTGAATGATCGAGACTGACTTATGCTGTTAGCGGAAATCTAAATATTTTGATTCTGGAGACTGTTGACATAGGGAGATAATACCTTTAAAATGAAATGCAGAACTAGATCATTGAAATGTTGTACTCACTCAGACAATATATGCCATATACAGTAAACCTAATGTAAATCACTTCAATTTTATGAATAACTTTATTTTGCGAACTTACATCTTCAGACATGATTTCATGAAGACTGTTCAACAAATGACTTTAAATTTGTGAATGATGAACTATTTGAGACCTGATTTATTTTTCATGCAAATAATCGCGATGAATTTGAATTGGCGATTGACTCTGGTGTTTTAAGACAAAAATTAATCCTATACAAATAAAAGTGTTTACAGTGTTTTCAGGCTGTTACAATAATTTGAGAACATTTCAATATAAACAGTTGATGTTTAATGTATTTCTGAATCATATATTGTTTTTACTAAGGAAAGTCTACATTCTCTTCCCTCTTAACATTACTATATCAATAGTTTAATTCCTTGAAATAACAGGTTTTCATTGTATGATATTTTGTGATAATACCTGTGAAAATGTGTCTAAATTTGTTGAGTGATTGCTTCCATCTTGTGAATACTATGAAAATTTTGAGTGGTTCTAGTCACTAGTCTAGCCTAGAATCTCATAACACACAAAACATCAGTTAGCTTTCTACTAGTTGCCATATATCTAAAGATTTTTAGAATATTAATTAAAATTCCAAGAAGTGAAACACTGCCAGACAATGGCAGTACATTCAGTTGTCAAAATCAAAATAATCATACTCTAAATATTAATTTCAAATGAAACTAATCAGTTTGCATACTCCAGGAAACTTATGCTATGACAATCGCCTAATAACTTACTGATGGCGGTCAACATCACATGGCTATACAGTAACAAGGAAGGGCTTCGTGAGCTAAATGTCTAGTGTTCTGCTTTTGTACTAGTGAAAAACTCCAGAACAGATTAGGTGCTGTTGGGATGTGACTTAGTAACAACTAAACAAAAGAGTATCTAAGAGACACTCACCTGCAGTTCCGCTGATTTCTTCTGTGTTACTTCCATGTCCTCCCGAATCTGCTTCTCCATGTTGCTGGCCTTGTGACTCAGAGTTGCCATAGCAACATCTTTGGAATGAAGTTCTGAGGCAAGGTTGGCAACTTGTTGGTTCATGCCCTCAACTTCAGCCCTGTGTGACTCCTGCTCCTGCTGGAGCTGGTTTTGTAGTTGGGAAATTTGGGACCGAAACTTAGAATATTCATCAGTCTCTAGTTTTTCTAATGTAGCTTTCTTAAAAATAAAAAGAAAAAAAGAAAAAATTAGATGTAATAATCAAGAATGTTGAATAAAAACTAGCAAAAATCTATGAGATATGAATGTTTCCATTCCACCCAGAATCTCATCAGGTTTTAAAACTTGCCATCAATTCCTTACAAGACACAACAGGTTGGCATTGACAATGGTAACACTATATGCCCCTGATAAAATGGCGGGGCATAAAAATTGACATGAAGTTACCTTTTTCTCAAGGTCATCGGCAAGCCTCTCACAGTCTTCGACGGCCTTTTTAAGGTGAGACTGGAGCTTTGATACCTCTTCCTTGAGTTGTTTCTCACTCCTCCTGTGTTTCCTACGAAGAAATCAATGATATCGAAACTTACTACCTTTTACTATTAGGAGTGTTTGTAAGTCTTCTAATGCATATCAATAACAAGAAGAACAAGATGTACAAGATGTCAGATATCACTCTTCTCAATATATAAATTCTTTACATCAAAGATTTCCTCTGTGCACTCTTCTCTTAAGTTTCATGATCTTCGCTTTTTTGATAAATTTCACTCTTTGTACATATTTCTGTTATACCTATTTAAATTATACTTTAATTCAAAACTTGATCTCAAATTGTATTTTGCTTCAATGTCAAAAAAACTCTTATCTTTTTTCCGAAAGATCAAAGAGGACAACATTCACTTGACAGTTTGGAGCTTGAGTTTAGTTAAGCATTGAACTGGTTTCAGATGGCATTTATGGATAAATGAATGCCTCCAGGATATGGGCAAATTCAATGAAGAGTGTTAGTGTTTAACCTTGAATTTGCATTTATTGAGTTGGCATCCATAGCCTATGAATGCCAAATGAATGCAGATCAATGCTAATATTTATCAATCTTATTCATTTTATCATTAGGAAAGACAATCTCAATTTGCTTTCATTACTTGCAATATCCCTATGCTTTTGGCAGTTCATGAGCTGGTAATAATACACAACTGAATTTGGTAAAGTTACATCGTAGGAATGTCATAGAATGGTAAATTTATAATGTAAATTTTGATTCTCTATATAAACACAACCAGATGAAATGCATTCATTTGATCATGAATGCAACTTGATCGGTGTCATTCTGATGCTTCTTTAGCTTCTCATAACATGAAACTGTTTGATATCAGGATGTTTCAGGAATATCACAAGGACTGATTATACAGAAACAAACTCACATCAGAATGTTAATATTCACACTGAGCATTTGTTAAAAATCACATAAATTGGTACAAAAGTCATCTAGATTATATTTATGTTATATAATGGGCTTAAAGCAACATTCCAATATAGTCTTGAATACCTGGTCTCCTCTTTAGCATTATGCATGGCTTCCCTGAGAAGTCGTATCTGCTCCCCTTCCTCCTGGTTCCGAATATCTCCCAGAGATCTACAACCATTATGAAACACTTAATTTGTATAGACTCTATTGTGCTAGAAGTGCACAATAAACAACAAAAAGAATATTATATCCTTTATCAACAAAGACTGTCAAAACATACTACAAGTATAATATATACTGAAATGTTGATATGATCCTGAAATAACCTATAGACACAAGAATTTTATCAACAGTATTTTTGACATCTCATCTAATCAACTACATGTTATGTGGCACTAACAACACAGAGATAGAAAACAGAAAGAAATATGTCACCTTAAAAATCACCAACACAGACCATACATCTATAATTACTATCCTGCTATCTCTACACTGTACAGTAGTTAATCCAGACTAACCACACACCTCCTGTCCTGCTGAGACAGGTATACACTGTACAGACTGACCACACACCTACTGTCCTGCTGAGACAGGTATACACTGTACAGACTGACCACACACCTACTGTCCTGTTGAGACAGGTAAACACTGTACAGTAATTAATCCAGACTGACCACACACCTACTGTCCTGCTGAGACAGGTATACACTGTACAGTACTTAATCCAGACTGACCACACACTTACTGTCCTACTGAGTATCTCTCTACACTGTACGGTAGTTAATCCAGACTGACCACACACCTACTGTCCTGCTTAGACAGGTAAACACTGTACAGTAATTAATCCAGACTGACCACACACCTACTGTCCTGTTGAGACAGGTATACACTGTACAGTAGTTAATCCAGACTGACCACACACCTACTGTCCTGATGAGACAGGTATACACTGTACAGACTGACCACACACCTACTGTCCTGATGAGACAAGTAAACACTGTACAGTAATTAATCCAGGCTGACCACACACCTACTGTCCTGATGAGACAGGTATACACTGTACAGACTGACCACACACCTACTGTCCTGCTGAGACAGGTATACACTGTACAGACTGACCACACACCTACTGTCCTGCTGAGACAGGTAAACACTATACAGTAATTAATCCAGACTGACCACACACTTACTGTCCTGCTGAGACAGGTAAACACTGTACAGTAATTAATCAAGGCTGACCACACACCTACTGTCCTATTGAGACAGGTATACACTGTACAGACTGACCACACACCTACTGTCCTGCTGAGACAGGTAAACACTGTACAGTAATTAATCCAGACTGACCACACACCTACTGTCCTGCTGAGACAGGTATACACTGTACAGACTGACCACACACTTACTGTCCTGCTGAGACAGGTAAACACTGTACAGACTGACCACACTCCTACTGTCCTGCTGAGACAGGTAAACACTGTACAGTAATTAATTCAGACTGACCACACACCTACTGTCCTACTGAGACAGGTATACACTGTACAGACTGACCACACACCTACTGTCCTGCTGAGACAGGTAAACACTGTACAGTAATTAATCCAGACTGACCACACACCTACTGTCCTGCTGAGACAGGTAAACACTGTACAGACTGACCACACACCTACTGTCCTACTGAGACAGGTATACACTGTACAGACTGACCCCACACCTACTGTCCTGATGAGACAGGTAAACACTGTACAGTAATAAATCCAGACTGACCACACACCTACTGTCCTGCTGAGACAGGTATACACTGTATAGTAGTTAATCCAGGCTGACCACACAGCTCCTGTCCTGATGAGACAGGTAAACACTGTACAGTAATTAATCCAGGCTGACCACACACCTACTGTCCTGATGAGACAGGTATACACTGTACAGACTGACCACACACCTACTGTCCTACTGAGACAGGTATACACTGTACAGACTGACCACACACCTACTGTCCTGATGAGACAGGTAAACACTGTACAGTAATAAATCCAGACTGACCACACACCTACTGTCCTGCTGAGACAGGTATACACTGTATAGTAGTTAATCCAGGCTGACCACACAGCTCCTGTCCTGATGAGACAGGTAAACACTGTACAGTAATTAATCCAGGCTGACCACACACCTACTGTCCTGATGAGACAGGTATACACTGTACAGACTGACCACACACCTACTGTCCTGCTGAGACAGGTAAACACTGCACAGTAATTAATCCAGGCTGACCACACACCTCCTCAACTTGACTACTTGTATTATTTTTAGATCTAAACTATAAATACCACTTGGACAAGACAGGATTCCTTATGTCCCAACTTATACCTTATCTCTGACTTTAATTACAAACGCTCTGTCAGTTTTCAGGGAATATTCAGATGAGCCTAACAACGGTAATTTAAATCCTATCTTCATAATGTGTCTAGGATGAATTATATTTCTTCAAAATATAATTTTGATTAAGAAAATTTTTTAATCTTTTATTAACAAACTTTATGTTTTTCATAAATCATCTACTTTATATATAAAATCAAGCTGATCATGCACTGGGCACAGCTTTAATCATGTACTATCTGATCAAAGATCTAGTCTCAAGTACGAACATGTCCATCTCCTTGGCAGATCACTACACATTGTAGCAGAAGAAATATACCATGTATCTGTCTGTTCTAATGATCAAAAACAATATTTTATAACAGAAAAAAAACTAGAAACATTAAAATAATCATGAATAAAATAGACAGATCAGATTTCTATCTCGTTTGGGTTTTAAACAAACCAGTAAATCTGATAATGATCACAATTCTATATCTGGGGATTTAAATGACAACGGTAGGAGATTTGGATAATTAATCAATTCTATTGTATACAAATCAAACAATAGACAAGAAATTTAACATTTAGTCTCAGAAAACAAAAGCTAAAATGGACAAAATTTATTATTTCTAGTAATTTTATTATATTAGTTTTACAATCTCCCAAAAATAAATTACCATATAGTGTGCAAACATCAACCTTCAATATATGACAGGTAAATTTATAGATGGACAGATTGAAGGGTTTCAGATTAAAACAGATAATTACAAACTGATAGCATTATATACTTCTATATTACAGGCATTTGATCCGATCATTTTTCTTTATTTTGATTTTATCTTGTATAAATGTACATGAATTAATTATGTATGAAAAAACATAGCATTGCAAACAATACAAAAAAACACTTGCAGTTTCAGCTTGACATAAGTGTAATAATCAGGAGGCCAATTGTCTGAAGTTTGATCAAAATCTCTCAAGGAATGAGCCTCCAGCATGCTGAAAATGATTTTTTTTTTTAAAAGTAAGTGACCTTGACCGTACAACCCTGTAACTCAAACTCAACTGTGATATGGTCTTTTGATTGTGAAGTTTGATTAAAAGTCCCTCCAGGAATGAAGCTACCAGAGTGCCAACAAGGATTTTTTTTCATAGATGGTAACAATGGCCATGATCTGGACTCTACAACCTTAAAATTCACACTTGTCTGTGATATCAGTAGGATCATGTATATGGATATATGTGAAATTTTATCAAAATCTCTCCAGCCACTTGAGCCCTGAAAAGGATTTTCTTACAATATAATTAAATGGTGACCTTGACCCTACAACCCTATTGAATGTTCTTTATATGCAGAACATAACTCTAACAGGATAGTTAGTAGATGATTATATAGAGTATTCAACAACATTGCAAAAGATGTAGTTTGTATATTAATTTACACCGTAAAATAATGCTAATTTTCTGAACTTAACAAATTAACAAATTCAAGCACATATATATAAATTAATGATTGAATGATGAATTCAATATGACAATTAATGCAGGGTTTCAATACTCTTGTTTTACCATAACATTTAATCTACAAACATTAAAAAAACTAATTTACTGGTCGAAGTCATCCTAAAAACTAATACATTTAATCTACAAACATCAAAAAACTTGTTTACTGGTCGAAGACATCATAGATATTTCACTTCAGTGGTTTCCTGTATTCCTACATAAGCCTACACCCACTAACAAACAATTATTTTTAAAAAAATTCTGTTATGCTCTTGCATACTGTCCTAATAAACTCTTGTCCCTTAGAATGAATGGTAAATGGAGGTCTAGTGTCAGGTAAGTAGCACCATGTAGGCTACTATCTAGCCACAACTAAGTCTAGGTATAGATAGGATAACATGTGTTTAGAGCAGCCAGTGCAGACATATAGCATTCCTTTTGTTAATTCATTAGGACATCGAAACAGGACTACTCGCTACTTCCTTGCTAAGATATCAAATTACATTGCTTAACAGTTCAGGCTTACTCTCTTCAGGAACCATGCAACTAAATCAGCGAATGAGTGACTGGGATTCTGTATCATTTACTTACAGCCACTACCTAAAGTGAGATTTGGTAAAAGATTGTGCCCTTTGGGGGTTTAACTTCGTAACTGATGATAGATAAAAGAAATCTGCGACTTGATATGACTTCATGAAAGTGTGTAACTTTAAAGCATTTCAGTATCTATGGGGCACATTTAGATAAGTATAAAATGTCAGGGGTTTTCCAAATGTGTGTGGTTAGTTTGTCCAGTTGTTGACTTCTGAAGCTGATGACAGTTCGAGATGCCATTTTAACTTTAAATTCTGCAGTTTGTAACATTTGGCAGGTTTCTATTAATCTAAACAGGCGTTACTTATTTTGAACTTCAAATATTAATGCTGTTAGCTTAAATGCTAAGTAATAACATATGGTGTTTGATTTAGTTGAGTGGGTCCTTCACACTTCATGCCCTAGGCTCAGTTATGACCAGTTTTAGGAGAATAAGAGTTAAGTCCCCTTACCTGATAATGTTGTCCTTTTCTGCCAAGGTAGCCTCCATTCTGAGAAGATCTTCCCGATACCCACTGCTGTCCTGGGTGGCTGCACGCAGGAAATCTTCCTTACTGTGCATATCAGCCTCTATCTGATTCTTCTCCTCCTCCAACTTCTACAAAAATATATTACAGAGAAATTGTCATAGTAGTTTAGACAATAGGGTTCACAGGTAGTATTCAATGATGCAAAGCTTCATACTGGCTGTAAACTGAAACTGGAAATCTTAAATTGATATTTCATTAAAATTGGTTGTGTTAATACAGTATTATAAAGAACATCAAATTTATTTTCTTTTTCTTCTTCCATGTTTAATTATGGTAAGAGATTTGTACTTGTACACTATGACAGATATTTTACCCGCACTGTGTTGTTGGACTTTTTCAGGTCTGCCAGAAGTCGTTCATTATCATCCATGGCTTTCTTGTGTGCATTCATAGCATCCTCCAACGAAATCTTCAATTTTTCTACCTTACCCTCCTAAAGCAGAATAACACATAGATATAAAACTGAATCCTAAGTCAATGACTTCATATCCAATTCTTTGATAACAATAAATAATGATCTAAGGTATTTAGCTCAGATCAAATATTTAGGTGTAAAACCAACAGTAATTAACTAGGAAAATCAAATACAGAAGAAATAAAACTGTTTTTAAATACCCAGTAACATATAAACAATAAAAACATTTAATTAATATTTACAAAAAACACGGATATGTAAATTTCACATTTTGATGTTTTAGAGAAAAAAATGGCATTATGATACATCTGAACTATGCAAAACACTTTCACACAAAACCATCATATATATTCCTTCATAATGGCAGTTTATTTGATGGTTGAACAATAAGTAACAAAGTTGTAACAAAGAACCAATGATCATTAAACTTACTCTAACTCTAAAGTGAATTACATAACTAACTTGTGTAGAATGCAAGATGGAGTTGTTCATTCTCATATAAATTACCTGTGAAACTAGAGCCTGGTTGGTTCGCTCTAACTGACCATCCAATTGACTAATCTGTGTCTTGAAGCTGACCTCTGCATTGTCCAGGAGTTGTCGCCTCTTTTCCACCTGGCTCTGGTAGGTCTGTGATTGGCCCTAATTGTTACATAATATATAGATGTTACAATAAATCATAGACATATTTATAAACAATTACAAGATTTCGATGTCTTATACCTCCAGTACCTGTGAACTAAGGAATAATATCATAGATAAAGTGTGTTTACATAATTTATCGGCGAATACAAAATATACATATATATTTACTAGCTTAAGATCAATGGTTGCAGCATTGTGCATGCAGGTCAAAGGTCAAAGTCATGAAAATCAAGTCACATTATGTATGTATCTTAAAGGTCAGTCTTATGAAATACAGGTCATATTGTGTAAGCAGGTTAAAGGTCACAGTCATGTTAAATATATGTCACATTATATGTGCAGGTTAAGGTCAAATTCATGACAATAAAGGTCACATTATGTATGCAGGTTAAAGGTCACAGTCATGTTAAATATATATGTATATATAATATAGGTATATATAAGATAGATACCACAGAATCATTTTGATTAATATATATCTTTTATTATTTTATTAATTTTAATACACATCATTTATTAATATGTTCGAAGAGGTGTGTGATTTCTGCTAGGCATCCGTTATATATTTAAAGATTTCTATACATTAGTTCTTTAAAATCATACATATTAAGTATAAGTAAACAGAATGTGAATGGTTGGTTATAATATAAATATACCACATCAGAATCACCATGGAAAAGTAAGTGTGCAGCAAGTCACTAACAGTAGTCAGTACAGTGCAGAACATGCTGATCAGGTTACGTTTTTCTTTATAAGAATGAAGGAAAAGACTTTTCAAACGATTAATCTTGAATTAAACTTTTGGAAACTTTTCCTCTGTCTCTCATGATTAGTTATATTTGAACACCACTGTCACAATGTACACCAACCACAGAAAATGGGTGTTCCATTTGATTGATAACACTGAAGTGAATGAATAATAAATTCTGTTTCATATTAAATTGTTATTGGCATAAGACATCAACATGCATGTACAGAATGTCAACAAAAGCACACAATATATTGGCCTGCAAAGCTCAATAGATTTCATTTACTTGGAGCACACATGCCATAACGACAAAGTTTAACGCTTAAATATAGAAGATACAGTGTGATTTACAAGGCAAGATTACACAGCTTCAGTATGACAGACTACACATGCAACATTCTTTAAAACATATTGATTTTGAAATCCAAGAAAAGCTCTGTTCCTCAGGGATAGGCCCCTGATATCTAAAAGCTTGGTTATAATAGAGACCCTAAGACACAGGTCCCTGGTATATAGAAGCTCAGTTACAGTGAAGAGACCCTAAGACACAGGCCCTTCGTGTATAGAAGCTCTGTTACAGTGAAGAGACCCTAAGACACAGGCCCTTGGTATATAGAATCTCTGTAACAGTGAAGAGACCCTAAGACACAGAATCCCTGGTATATAGAAGCTCTGTTACAGTGAAGAGACCCTAAGACACAGGCCCCTGGTATGTTAAAGCTCTGTTACAGTGAAGAGACCCTAAGTCACAGGCCCCTGGTTGTCAAAGCTCTGTTACAGTGAAGAGACCCTAAGTCACGGGCCCTTGGTATATAGAAGCTCTGTTACAGTGAAGAGACCCTAAGACACAGGCCCCTGGTATATAGAAGCTCTGTTACAGTGAAGAGACCCTAAGACACAGGCCCCTGGTATATAGAAGCTCTGTTACAGTGAAGAGACCCTAAGACACAGGCCCCTGGTTTGTTAAAGCTCTGTTACAGTGAAGAGACCCTAAGACACAGGCCCTTGGTATATAGAATCTCTGTTACAGTGAAGAGACCCTAAGACACAGAATCCCTGGTATATAGAAGCTCTGTTACAGTGAAGAGACCCTAAGACACAGGCCCCTGGTTGTCAAAGCTCTGTTACAGTGAAGAGACCCTAAGTCACGGGCCCTTGGTTGTCAAAGCTCTGTTACAGTGAAGAGACCCTAAGTCACGGGCCCTTGGTATATAGAAGCTCTGTTACAGTGAAGAGACCCTAAGACACAGGCCCCTGGTATATAGAAGCTCTGTTACAGTGAAGAGACCCTAAGACACAGGCCCCTGGTATATAGAAGCTCTGTTACAGTGAAGAGACCCTAAGACACAGGCCCTAGTATATAGAAGCTCTGTTACAGTGATTAGACACTAATACACAGGCCCCTGGTATATAGAAGCTCTGTTACAGTGAAGAGACCCTAAGACACAAGCCCCTGGTTGTTAAAGCTCTGTTACAGTGAAGAGACCCTAAGACACAGGCCCCTGGTTTGTTAAAGCTCTGTTACAGTGAAGAGACCCTAAGACACAGGCCCTTGGTATATAGAAGCTCTGTTACAGTGAAGAGACCCTAAGACACAGGCCCCTGGTATATAGAAGCTCTGTTACAGTGAAGAGACCCTAAGACACAGGCCCTAGTATATAGAAGCTCTGTTACAGTGAAGAGACCCTAAGACACAGGCCCCTGGTATATAGAAGCTCTGTTACAGTGAAGAGACCCTAAGACACAAGCCCCTGGTTGTTAAAGCTCTGTTACAGTGAAGAGACCCTAAGACACAGGCCCTGGTTTGTTAAAGCTCTGTTACAGTGAAGAGACCCTAAGACACAGGCCCTTGGTATATAGAAGCTCTGTTACAGTGAAGAGACACTAAGACACAGGCCCTGGTATATAGAAGCTCTGTTACAGTGAAGAGACCCTAAGACACAGGCCCCTGGTATATAGAAGCTCTGTTACAGTGAAGAGACACTAAGACACAGGCCCCTGGTTGTTAAAGCTCTGTTACAGTGAAGAGACCCTAAGACACAGACCCTGGTATACAAAAGCTCTGTTACAGTGAAGAGACACTTTCTTAAATCACCCATAGTCATTTCATCTCTAATTTCGACATATTCTAATAAAGAAACCTTATTTTTGGACATTCTCTAGAGCAGTTGGATGTACCATATCTGAGACGTGGCATGAAATCACTCCAACAGTAGTTCTAGGTTCACATAGTATAGGTAAGTAATTAAAACTTTATACATGTAAATTTAATAAGAAAACACTTTTCTTCCCACATTGAAGAATTCATAAATAAACAGGATATGTTAAATATTATACTGTTTTTAGATATACCAGTATATATTCTTCAGGAGAAAAACTGTAAAAAAAAATCATGATCTTCAAATACGAGACAAGAGGAGAGAATTAGAGTTGAAAAGTCAGATGAGACAGAGTTTCCCACCGAGAGAGCTAGTCCAGTGATTCAGATGAGACAAAGACTTGCTGTAAAAGAGACAAAGTGATGAGAAATATACATGATGATATCTATATGCAACAATATATGAGTGTAGTGTCAAATCAACAGGCCAACCACCATACAGAGTGTGAGTGATAGAGTACATCAAGTCAACGTGCAAACATGTCACTGATTATAATTTCAAGCCAGAGGGTGGCACACTTAAATCTAGTAGAGGGAAAAAATCAACAACAGCTATAAAAAAAATCCTCTCTATTAACAAACCTGTACAAATTCACACTTCTCCGTCAATGCTTTTCTCTGATGTTCTAAAGTTTCAATCTGTTTTTGAAACGTTCGTCGTTGTAACTCCCAATCTTTTGCCTTCTGGACATATTCCTAATATACAATCAAATATTTTGAGGTCTCACTGCTGATATTGGTGTACAATTTTATATCAGAAATTCACCTTTATATCAAACGATCACAGCAGGAGGAATTCAACATCTGTGTTGGAATCAACACTTCACTTGACTGACCTCTATGAAGTTTTCAGTGATATGTAGAGATATTTCACTTTCCTGATTGTAGATATTATTTGTCTCCTTAAACTGTATCTTTAATTACAATTTCTGTAATCAGGGATGTCTATCCAGAGTATCAAATATAGATATACCAGCTGGTACACACTCACTAGAACATGTTTCTTTTGCAAAATAAACATCAATAAACATGATTGCAGAATTTTTAGTAAAAATTAATCAGGCAAGCCAAGAACTCTAACCAAAATTCAGTCCCTATTACTTAGAGATATTGTGGATTTTAAAAATTCAGGCAAGTCCCAATAAAAAATGCAGGAGTCCAGGCCACTAAACTATAACAGTCTCAAAGTTGTTATTCTTACTTTTTATTTTATTTATTATTTTTCTTTTTAATCCATGTGTATCCATGAATTCAACTGAAATCTTCTTTAAAAATGAACGATTTAAAGAAATCAGAGACAAAACTGTTATGATTTTACAATAAATTTGACTGATTTAAATCTTGGCCAATCACAGCCTAAACTGTCAAGCCACAGCTTTTATAATTCTAAAATAGTAATTATACCAAAAATAATGTCATGATATTATTACATCACTCACCTCCACTTTGTCCTTTGTGTGTTGAAGCTCTACTGTGTGATCCTGTAGTTTAATCTCTGTCTGTTCCTTATCGCGTCGCGACTCCTTCATCTGTTTATGGTGTCGTTTGTTTAACTTTTCATAATCATGCTTCACCTTACGTACCTAAACAACACAACAAATGTTTTGTATTGTAAAGATTGATGAAAACAGACAATGCAAATAAACATGTGGATAATGACGAATATCCATGTTTTTTGTAGTGTGAAAATCAAGAAAACAAATGAATTCACTATAAACTTATTATAGCTATGTAGTCAGATTCTAACATTATAAAGGTAAGGGTACCCCTAATCAGCATTTATACCTGTCTTTTGTGATGAATTATTATATATCATCATCTACATAAACAGTACCACATAAAATATAAGTCTGTCATGATATTACTTACAAACAACTTATGATGATATTCATTTGTGTCTATCTCACAAAAAATATACATATAACAATCTTAATATCACATTAAAACTCAAAATGCTAAAAACAAGTATTAAAACTGAAATTATAAGATTGTCTATTTCCTTACAAATCTTAATAACGAAGAAAAGGCAAAAATGAAATGATATTTAATCTTATATAAAAAAAAAAACTATATAAAAATTATAAAAACATATGGGTTTACAGCTTTCACCAGTAGGGACAAAAATCTACATGGGAACTTTTCACCTGGATGGACTTTACACCTGGATGTGTGTTAGAATGGAGTTGTTACAAAAATAAAATCACAACAGTTATTGTGTAAAACCAGCAAAACAGAGCAGCAAGTCTGATGAAATACAAAACAAATCAACCATGAAAATGAAAACATGACTAATTAGGATGATGATGATGATGACGATGATGATGATGATGATGATGATGATGATGATGATGATGATGATGATGATGATGATGATGATGAAAAATAATCTCTGAAAATGTGTGATAAATTTTGATTAAATTCTAATGATTCACAAGCTCATAACCAATCTCATTAGATTAAAAAATTAAGTCATGCCAAATGAATTTAAGATGACAAGCGGACTGCTGTTGAAAACAATTTCTTAGTATATTCTCAGTATTCAAAAGTATTAAATTAACTGATCAATTCCAAACTACCATTTCTTTTTAATCATAAATCTAAAATGAGTATATAAAATTAGCAGAGATATCCACACAAAATAACCCATCTTACTTCAGTCACTTCTGGTCACAGCCTTTTCTGATCAACGTTTAACTGTCAACTCATACCCTAATTGGAATGTTTATATATATAGGGCCTACATTCATAAAAGTTTCATACTCACATAGCATTTTTTCAGTGAATTCAACGAAATGTAATGTTTTTAACAATGTCTATGGGGGCATACAACAATACAAATAACTATGAAGGTTGAATTTCTTTCCCTAAGATGTTTCTCAAAACAAACTCATATCCTGGAAGTTAAAAATTGAAATTGAAAACTTTAATACTTGACAGAGGTGACTATTTGAGATAAATGATAACTATATATAAATGCTGTGATAAATGAGATGAATGAAAGAATGTAGCATGGTGCCCAAAAATAAATATTCTTCCACATCCAGAAAATTTGTGACCAAGTAGTGATTAAATGATAGAAGGGTTATTTTCTGATAAAAGGTTTGACAGTTGAGCCAGTCAGGTCAAATTTTAGATCACTCCAGCAACAGGTAGAACTCCACACTGACTGCATCCACCTTTTTCAAAAGCAACCTGTCTGTGCAAGACAAAAGGTTCTTTGGAATGCCTTGGGCCTTTTCTATGTTGTAACATGTAAAAGGCTGAGTGATGATCCAAAGGAAGTGATCTACCATCAACTGTGAGTCAGGATTCTATGATAACAAGGCGAAATTGTAGCACAATTATTTTTTGAAAAATTGAAAAATACCTAACACTACATTATGACATTTATATATCAAATTTTGATGATTAAAAAAAAAACATTTCATCCTTAATATTTCTAATATTTTACATCTTTTGTCAAGATATCTTAAAGGTAAGAACAAAATGGCCTCTAGATTTCAAATCACTATGATATTGACAAGTCAATTTTAACTTTTGTTTTCCCTACTTTCAGTCAACATTATGGAATTTATCAACACTTACAAAAGATTAAAAAAGGAAAATTGCAACAGCACTAATGCAATGGTATTTTTCCACTGTTACTGCCCAGGCTTTTTAAAAGATATCTATGAAGGAAATCAAGAATTATAAACAAGTGTGCTTGTCTGATGTTGAATCTAATACCCTAAAGCAAAAAGATACCCATATTGTACACAAGTTTCTATTTGCCATGTGATCACGAATGACCTTTGACCTTTTCCTTCACTAACCTCAAAATTCTAATCAGGTGTAGACCTTGGTGTTGTGATGCTACGTTGTGAATATAAAGCAAATCTGTTCCTGGGTTTATATAATATTTGTACTGTAATTATCATGTACTTGCAGATAAAATTATCAGTACATATCCCCTTACCTAAGTGGGGGTATAACAATTACCAATTTAATCCAGGGTTAAACCTGTAAAACAGATTTGCTCAGTGTTGTATTATGCAACTGATTTGTGCAGTGTATAGAATTATTGTTTATACATTTCTGCTGACTTTTTTTTTTTATTTTACATGAAATATAGTTTTCTTTAATAATGCTTTCATGTTACTATCCATCTATGGAAAGCACTTAATTACTGTAAAACTTAACATTCAAATCAATTATGTCGAACAAGACCAGCCAATCCACTGTACTTGTCCATAATCATAACCTGCACATAATTACCAACTGTCCTTAAAGCCAGACCTGCTATGAAGAAAATATTGTTTAAAATTACCACCTTTCTATAACTACCACCTGTCTATAACTACCACCTGACTACCACCTGTCTATAACTACCACCTGTCTATATCTACCAAATGTCTGTAACAACAACCTCTTGTCTACATCTACACCTTTCTCTCAGCTTCCTGTCTATATCTACCACCTGTCTATCAGCTTCCTGTCTATATCTACCACCTATCTATCAGCTTCCTATCTATATCTACTACCTATCTGTATCTACCACATGTCTGTAACAACCACCTGTCTATATTTACCAGCTGTCTATCTATACTACCTGTCTATATACTAACTGTCTATATTTACCACCTGTTTATAACTACCACCTGTCTATATATACTACCTGTCTATATCTACCACCTGTCTATCTATACTACCTGTCTATATCTACCACCTGTCTATCAATACTACCAGTCTATATCTACCACCTGTCTTTATTTACAACCTGTCTATATTTACCACCTGTCTATAACTTCCATGTGTCTGTAACAACCTCCTGTCTATATTTACAACCTGTCTATATTTACAACCTGTCTATATTTACCACCTGTCTATAACTTCCATGTGTCTGTAACAACCTCCTGTCTATATTTACAACCTGTCTATATTTACCAGCTGTTTATAACTACCACCTGTCTATATATACTACCTGTCTATATCTACCACCTGTCTATCTATACTACCTGTCTATATCTACCACCTGTCTATCTATACTATCTGTCTATATTTACAACCTGTCTATATTTACCACCTGTCTATATCTACCAGCTGTCTTTATATACTACCTGTCTATATCTACCAGCTGTCTACATTTACCACCTGTCTATAACTTCCACATGTCTGTACAACCTCCTGTCTAAATCTACCATCTGTTTATAAAAATACTTACCATCTGTCTTTATCTACAACCCTTTGATAGCAACCACCTGTCTACATTTACAACCTGTCTATACCAACTTTCAGTCAATATTGGTTTAGTAATTCCATACTGAAACTTTTTTTATATATCAGTGACCAGTATATAACATTCACTTGCCCATTAATTTACTTCTCTAGGATACAGTTCAGTGGTTTCTATACATGGTTTACATTGTATATACAGAAAAGATATCTGAACGCTGACCTCCTCCTTCAGTGCAGTGAGATGTGAATCATACTCCGAGATCCCTGTCCTCTGACACTCTTCCAGGTCTTTCACTTGCTGCTTGAGACGTCCGATCTACAAAACGTGTAAACAGTGTCATAAAATGTCTACACAGGAAGCATCTTATTTGTCTTAGTATGTCAGAGGATATACAAGATAAGTAAACCAAGAAAACAAAGAAAGAAAAAAAAAATGAAAAAAAAAATAGGAAAATAAGAAAAAAAATACACAACAATATCAGATGAAATATCTGGTGTTCTACTAGAACAATATAAACAAAACTTCTTTTTCTACAAGTAATATCATGTATGTTACCATTTCAGATTCCTATCAAAACTAAACACTTTTGTGTCTACAAATCTGTTGGCCTCTATCCATACCTCTGTATGTTTCTGCTCCAGTGTGGACCGCTGTACCAGGATTTCGTGTTCCTTCTGCAGCAGCTTGGACTCTAAGTCCTTCAGTTCATGTTCCCAGTCACTCTTCTGAGTATCCATCATCTCATCGATGTGTGACATCAGTTCCTTCAGCTCTGACTCGCACGTTGTTGTCAACACACCATTAGGTAACCTTTGTAACCAAGAAAATAGATATCAAATACACAAATGTCTGATTTCAGTAATCATACCAATAAATATCAACAAACATTCTACATCAACCCATACCTATAACTGAAGTATTAGGAATGTTTACCCTAAATCTAAGTCTACTTTTATCATAATACATCATGCAGTCTTATAATCATAAGCAGTTAACCAAATTAAAACATCAAATCACTGACTTCCTTATCACACAAGATCAAACTTCAAAAATTTGGAAATTAAGAATTAAAAAGATTCTGACGGACATAACTTGCAACAAAATTCTGCATTTTTGGTATTGTAAAAAATGTAAAGAATATAAAGAAAGTCATACATGCAAATAAAATATCCATGTAATTTCAGTAATCTTTCCAAGCTTTGCTGAAGTTGTATGATGACGTGAGTGAAGCTATATCAGTGGGTCTGAAAGAACCGTTGCATTGTTCTCAAAGTGTAAAAGTCAAAGCTTTACTCAAGAAAGTTTAACAAAGCCAGAGACAGGTGAGCAAATCACAAAATTCTAGCTTCTTTCAGGCTTGTGTGGCAGGTGTAAAAGAAGAATGTATGATTTGCTTCACATAAAGAGATTAAAACTCCACCGGGTTACTAAACTAAGAAATTAATTACTCAGTCTAAAAATACTGTATGTATACTTACAAAATAAAATTTACAAAGTTACTATATAGAACAATGTACAACACAGATCTGAGGAAATTTAATAAAGTAAAGGATACCACTGTATCAGATTATCATCATATAGGTAAGAAAAAAGAGTTACTTCCCTTGTCAAGGAAAATTCCATCGTTTTCAGTTTAGTTGTATATAGACTTTGAGTCAACAATTAAATAACCATATGTATACACTACAAATCCTCACTTTGCAATTTTATTCTTATTCAAATAATTATCTTTTGTTGATCTTTTCTGTCTGTTTTAAAAAGAAGAAAATTCCACGATGTATTTCATATTTCTTTGATGTATTACATACTTCTTTGATATATATTCAATGGTATCCTTTACATAAACTTGTGGATATTTAAATTCTGTATACCTTAGACATTAATGTGTACCCTGGTAAGAGGTAATTACAGCAAGTATACTAAAACTAAAGGAACGTAATACGCACAAGGTATAATATGTATACAAAGGGGTAATTTAACATGGAAATAGAGTTAAATAATAATTTGTTTGTAAAGATCTGAAAATAATATTTATTATCTAATGTTTGAAATGATCAAAGCTCCCTAAAATAATGTAAGAAAATAACACAAAAAATCTGCATTCAATATCACTGATCATCCAGTGACCATTTCAGATATTCACAAACTGATCAATGTTGATAAAAGGGAATGTACTGATAAATTGAGAAGAATGATACTTTATAGTAATAAAGGACAACATTTAGAGGTTACAGTTAATGGATGGGAGGGGGATGATAGGTTCTACATCTACTATACAATATATAAAAGGGGTACAACTCTATCTACTTAAATGATACAGAATATGTAATTTGATGAAGATTGGTAAATGAATACAGAAAACATTCCCTGTACAAAACAGTCTCCTATGAGTTTGGCTCAGTGTTCTGATGCAGCATTGCTTTATATTGGTGACGCTACTGTGCATTTACTTAGTAAAAATTGTGCACAGAATTGTGAAATATGTAACTGGTCAGAATCTTTTGTATACAAAATGCTGAAGAGACGGTGAGTGACCGGTGAACGAAATCTCCATTACTGACCAATATCAAAAGGCTGCCTTTTATGGCACATTTAATGTCACAATGAAGTAAACATGATGAAAATCAATGAAAAATATGATTCCATGGAATAATACAATTACCCAGTATTTCGTCAGGATCTGTAAAGAATAATTATTTTGTGAAGATTTGCAGTCTCCATCCATTGTTTTGTTGTTATATCTTGATTATAACTACTTGACGACTAGTAATAAATTGTTATCTTTCATTATTAAACAAAATCTTTCAATTGACAGACTTATCATTAAAATTTTTAGACAGATTACTTAAATGCAATTATTAATGTCTCCTTCCACTATTGACAGGTTAAACAATTATGTAACATATTTATTATAGCTGTGAGATTAATATCATTGCTCATGCTTGCAATATAAACCACAACAAATAATATGCAGGATCAACACACAGCAAACATAGCTTGCTCAGTTTTAAATTCTGTTGTAACAAGCATCCATTACTAGTTTCTACTTTAAATGAGTATTACAACATCTGTAACGAAAAGCATGTTATATACAAAATATCTATTATACAGCACCTTGCTAGTGAGGGTATGTCCAGTTAAGCCTTATCATGACAGGACATAAGAGATATGGCATTGTGACAAGCATCCGAGTAGCGAAAAACGTTTTTAACCACTAAGGCTTGAAGTCCTCTCACTCTCAAGGCTGAGCCCTTAACACTATAGACTTAGAAGGGGAATCCTCACATGTCAAGCCTAATAAAGTAACTGAAACTCTTGTCTTCTACAGTTAAGATCAGGTAAAACAGTTGAAACATTTAACTACTGAAATGTGAGTCGTTATGGCTTATAATTGATTCATTTGAAAAGCTACTGAACAAAACCATAATAATGGCTCATATGATTAATATATCCATGTGTATACTCTACATAATTATACCCTACATTACTTAGGTTTGCTATCCCAATAAAGCGCAGAAGTACACATGTATAAACAAATTGTCTTTCCAATTAACTATTTCTTACAACTATTGGTCTTTATAAATAACCAGCTGAAACAAATATTTCTTTCTAACCTGTCATTAGTTTGAATAGCGTAACACACAACTTACACCATATGGGAACTGATTATCCTGTCTTGTAGACAAATTGTAAGCCCTAAAATGAATTTTTCAATCATGGTTTCATAATAATTTCTTTTCAAAGTACTTTTTCATCTTTTCGATTGGCAATAAAAATCTTTGTACAAAATATATTTGTATGCAATGTAAAGTGTACAGTTTTTAGACAAATATGATTTTTTTTCCAAATTTGTTAATGTAAAGATGGCAAATTATGCATAGCTTGATTATCATAGACAAAATACAATCAAATGCCATATAGTTAGAAAGGGGAAGTCACTACATACAACAGTATAGGCTAAGTGACTTACCTAACAACAGTGTGTTTCAACTCTGACACAACTAAAACAGGTGTGCACAAGCATTCATATAGTTATTGTTTTGAATTCTACATGAATTCCACAACCTACATGATTTTACAACAAATCAATCACTTCACCATCAAAAACATTTAATAATTAAATAACGACTACTCCCATCCCAACACCAAATATATTAAGCTTCACATATCTAAATGTCTTCATTCAAGTGATGTTAATTTTTTTGGATTACTTTGATAAATATTTTACAGATTAATCATACAAAATAAGTCTATTGATCATCAGATGTTTGAAAGGGCAGGAAAAACTTACTCAATCAATACAGTTGGAAATGTTAAAGATAAAATGTGAAATCTCTTGAAGTTTGAAACCAAATATATCACTTTATCTGCAATGTTTAATACACAAATAAAACTGGTCATTTGATCAAACTATGGGAGACTTTGAGTTATCACCTCCTGTCTCAGGTGAATATAGTCAATAGAAGATGGTAACTTGAAGCCCCTGACCAGAATTACCAGTTAGATAAAATCTAAGTAAAACTGTACCTATTAAGATACCTTTCACATTTATTCTTTATTGGTATGAAAGGACATTCATCTCTTGACAACATGTGTATACTTGTCATTTACATACAAAGGATTTCTCCTCAGGATTTTTACATTAATTCCCGGATTATCACAAATATTTAAATTTTAAATTACCATGACTTAAAAAGACAGATATTTGTGTGTGCTCTCATGCAGAACTAAATGCCATGTGCCACCCTCAGATTTATCCCTGGAAGTGATACTGGGAGAACCCTATATCAAGTTTTAACACATTTTTTTTATAGACTCATCAATGAAATTCAAAGTGATCATGAAAAATAAGTAAATAAATGAAGTTGTCCACTTTGTAAAATGTTTTTCATCATCCTATCTAATATCAAAATTCTAAGACATAAAAAATATTGTCTTCTGTCATCTATGAAAGGCATAAAATGTTATTGTTGTACTGACTAAACTACCATAAAAAGTAATACAAATTAACAAATAGAAATGTATGTAGTAACCCTCTTTTTCCTTATCTTAATTCATGAGAAAATAGCCAGCATGAAATTAATTTGACAAAGAAAGAAAGAGATTTTCAATAAAACCCTTCACCATCAATACCTGTACAAACCACAATAAAATATGAAATCTTAAACGTAACCGACCACCACACACTGGTAAATTAATGTTTGTATTTACAAATTATCAACCTCAAGTCTTACTCAATGAAGAATCTCTGTACAAACTCACAGAAAAATAGCCTATATGTAAGCTTACCTGTTCTGCTGCTGCAGTTCTGTCCACATGCTGGAAATCCTTTCCATAATTATTTCCTGTCTGTTGTCCACATTGGTATCAGAAAGGAGAGTCTTAAAAAACTCTCTGTAGGCTGAAATATTATATTTCTGGAGTTAGCCTTACCATTTTACATGCCATAATAACCTCCTTTATACACTTATATTCATTAAACATAAAACTATGAATATGATTAAAGTTTTATGATGACTCACTTTCATTCTACAGTTAACTATAGTCACATGAAATAAAAAATTGCATTTACATGTAGTTTAAAGGGGAAAAAATACCAGCTTGAATTAGCAGCTTGTACCACAAATCTCCTGCACCTTCTTAACTGAGAATAGTCTTTTCAAAAAATGTATTTACCTGTTTCCTTCTAAAGTTAATAATTGTTCAGTATGTGTAATGGATGTATATTTCTTCATAAATATTACTTCATGTTATATAGACTGTAGCACCTTAAAAATAACAAATTTACATTGGATACTGACAGCATTTACTAAATAGTAAATAAAATTGAATTTTTATTGTTTTCCCTAGTCTAGGTTTTGTGATAGTGCTAAAAGTAAACATAACAAATTGATATATTGGAAGTTAGAAAAGTCCAATATTGACCAAGAAAATGTAAATCAAAAAGATAAAAGAAACCTTGACAATTTCCATATTATGAAATCATGACACTCATTTATAATAATCATAAAAATGCAAAAAAAAATCAAAACAAAAAATGAAAGATTCAACAGCTTTTGCTTTGCCATCAGACCATGTGCTTTCATGTAGTAATTGTTTACATCATGCAGTGATCATAAAAAATGGTGTATCACATTTAATCTAAAACTTGTGTATCAAATATCTATTTGTTCTAAATGTCATGATCATATGCAAATAAGATTTTATATCAAATGTTGTACAATTGATTCATTCAACGACATAATCACAATCGATTGTCAAAGTGCCAAATGTATTGTAAATAAACAATAGGAGTCATTCAACCCATCAACTCGTGTCATTAGTAGATCCTGTCAAAACGCTTAACGTGTACTACAAAACCAAAATAATTGCAACACGTGCAAAATCTTACCTTCGCTTCTAAAAAGAGTCATGTTGATGACTACACTAACACCATGCCAGTCACTGAAAGGATGGCAACCACTTTGGAAACTTTATCTTTGTTTATTGAAAAACATGTTTTTACCTGTTCACTGTCAATTTTGAACGTGACATTTCTTGCTGCTTACATCTCAACACTGTCACTCAATGATGATACATCAGAGGGCATTGTGGGGATTGTGAATGGGACCAGGGTGCATATAATTCAAAAGTGTGTACAAATGTGCTTTGTGCATATATTCTTACCAAAATAAACATTTGGAGTGCAACCTAAGCAGACAAACCGCGCGCCAGTGTAAACAAATTCGTTGGTACCGTAAAAAAGTCTGCTTCCTGTCAATGTTGTAAAATTAACGCCTGCGCTCTTTTGTTTTTGTTTACTTCCGGGGCGGATCTACTGTAGCAGACGGAAACGTCCGGATTTAAAGGGGGAAATGTTGCTTATATTCGATGACAACCACAAAGAACATCTGTCTTTTTTAACAGATACAGCGACAGATGGTAAGAACGGTTCAATATCATAATATCCTTCTCATGCAGCGATTTTTGTCCGGTTTACAACCGAAAACAGGCCGTTTCTCTAGCCGAAAACTCTGCCAACGTTCAGTACTACTATTAATAGTTATTGTTATATTTTCTCACTGACCTCGATACAAAGTATATATATCAAGTCCACGATTTACCTTATTCATACAGCAATACAGACATGGGTTGCTGTAAAATTCTGGGAAAAAAACACTGAATTATAATTGTCTTGTTTACTAGTACTACTAACTAGGATGACACTCAATTGATGTCATCATCCCATGACCACAGGGACATCTATAGTTACAATTTCAGACAGTCAGAATGTGTATGGACCAATCCTGGTTTGGTTAACTTATATCGAGTCAGATGTGACAATTTCTGTCAATTTATGAGCATTTTTGGTCATTATCCCAATCTTGTATGTTCATATTTGTAAATAGCCACCTCCTAAACCTAGAATTATCATTCTTTAGCCACTATATACTAAACAAAAAAAGAAAAGTAACACTACTTTATTCTGTGATTAATTAATTAACCCCTTCATAAATCCTTACCAATCATGTACGAATAAAGTAATTGATCAATTCTGATAAAACTGTAGTCATGGTTCATTATAAAACTTTGCGTTCAGTTGATTTTATTCGACTGTAAAGGACGTTGCGGTCAATTTCAAAGGAAACACCATTAGTAACGGGTATGGCCACCGTTTGTGAAGTAAACAGCATTGCAGCGTCGTCGCATGGAACTCGTAAACCAGCGGATAATTTGAGGAGAGATGTTGTTCCATTCAGCGATCAAGACTTGGGCCAGCTGCTGCAAGTTTGACGGCTGATTTTGACGTTCTCTCACGCGTCGCCCAAGAACGCCCCAGACATGCTCAATCAGTAACAAATCAGGTGATTTAGATGGCCAATCTAATACCTGTACGTTATTCTGCTGCAAGAAAGTTCTGCTGACGCGACTGGTGTGCGCTGGCCTGTTGAAAAATGGCGCCAACGCCATGGCGTCTTAAGAAAGGCAGAACCACTGGTCTTAAAATTTCGTCCCAATATCGAATGCCGGTTAAATTGCCATTTAACACAACAAGCCTGGTACGAGTCCCCCCACAAATACCACCCCAAACCATTACACTTCCGCCGCCAAAGCGGTCCCGTTCTGCGACGCAGCAGTTTGCAAAACGCTCCCCTCATCGCCTCCACACTCTGCGCCTTCTGTCACCGTGTTGCAGACAAAACCTGGACTCATCTGAAAAGAGAACATTGTTCCATTGTCGTAAGGCCCAACGACAGTGAACACGGGTCCAGTTATGCCGATTATTACGGTGACATCGCAACAAATTGGGTCCAGTGTAGGGACGCCGCACTTTCAATTGGTAGGCCCTCAACCTCTTGCGGACTGTTTGGGGAGACACACGACGCCCAAACAATGTCCTTGTAGTCTCTACTGCGGTTACGAATCGATTGCGCAAGTGTATCAGTCTCGAAGGTGAGACTCCCCAGCCTGGATCATGCCTACAGCCTTTTCTCTCTCTACTTGTAACAGCCGGGGCATAATTATAAAGTTGATAGATAGCAAGATTCGGTGATTTCTAAGTCCTAAGGATCTAAGGAACAGTTGTCAGTTTGAATGTTTATGAAATTCAAGCAAAGATACAAGTTAGTCGCAGAAAACCTCATGCAGCTCTTTCGCTAATACAGACATTCACGCTTGAATGATTTTGGTAACCCCCTTGGATTTTGTAATGTAAAACATTACCATTTTCTAATATTGCACAAACGTCATTTTGTTTTCACTCATTTACAGGTATTCGCCAAGGAAACATGTTAACCTTTCTTTTTTTGTTGAGTATATATGGTCATCTTATCAGCAAGAAATTTTAGTGGATGAAAGGGATTTTTGTCACATCCATAATCATAGTCATTTCAGTATGTATCTAAATGATGTATATCACTAATTCAAACTATTGATTTCTTTCGTGATATCACTTGTTCCTGGAATTATTGATATCTATAATTTGATTTAATAATATCATTAATTTGAATAAGTGATATCAATAATTCATTTAGTGTTATTATGACATGAATAGAATTATTGATTTCATGAAATAAAATTACTGATATCACTAATTTGAATTTATGGTATCAATAAAAGTCCAGAATTAGAAATATCATTAATTCACAAATTATTGATACCAATAATTAAAATCAGTGATATCAATGATTCATTTACAATAATTCATTTAATCCAGTTTCATATGCGTTTTTTTTTTTTTTTTCTCTCATTTTGTTGGGTTTTATTTTCAACCATCTAAAATTTCCATACACAATACCACAAAGGACTTGCTAGTAATGCTGGACAAACTGGATCCTCTGGTTTACAAGTCTTATGCCTAACAGATTGAGTTAATAAGATTTCTAGCTGGATGGTATATTACACCTAGTATTGACCATGGTTACATACTGGTACTCTCTCCTAGAAATAGCTTGTCAGGGAGTTAGAGTCATGCTAATTGGAAGGGTTCTAACTTGTTTGTTAAAGTAACACTTAGAATTATTAAGAAGTTCCTAGTGCCATTGTAACAGAGGTTAATGTTTATTTCAAACCTCAACTGGGATCCAAACGTGGGTCTTCTTATTTACTAGTCTTAGACTCAACCATTGGAGAAAAGATCTCTTTGGTTAAACTTTATGTTGTTGTATTAGACAGTTACCTTAATCAGTAGGGCCACTATGTCTGGATGACAGGGATTTGTCTGTATTAGTTAATGACCTATATTGCCTATAATTTTGGGTTCAGAATAACATAGATTTACCTACATGTACTCTGACCTCTCCAGCTTATTCAGCAGGTAATTAACTGATCATTCACCTGTCAATACAACAAGCATTTATTCTATTGGAGAAAAGTAACCAAAGGTTATACAAGATTCTTCTCGGATCTCTTTGATTTATTTCTTATTGATAATTCAAAAATCAATCTTCTAATTTGTTCATTGTAGTTGTACGTGAATTTTGCAAGATTAGTATGGAGTTTATACGGAAAGGTTCCAACCGTAAAATCTACCAAGGAGCTGCTCGTAAGTATATTTACAGTAATAATATTCATATATAGAAATGTGAAATATAAAGATTTAATTTAAGACTGTTCTTCTAGCATCTTTTGCATGATTTTTAAAGATGGGATCACCTTGTGAAGTTTAAGCTTTGTACCTCATACAGATAATACAGTAATAATATTGGATTTTTTCACTAGGAAACTATCGCTATACTGACTGCTGTTATACAGAGCTACATTTCTAACACACATCGCAGCTCAGGGGAAAGCTTATTGTTAGTTTTCTAGGTTTCTTAAGTCTGTGGTCCCTAGATATGCTGTTCAGCCTCAAAGAGTTTTTGGACACAATCTAAATACTGAAACAGCAATAAGATGCCAATTCTTTTGAAAACTGTCAACTGCTTGTATAGACATATGCATTTGGACGTTTTAGGAAATGATGCAAGGGTTTTTTACACTAAATGGTCCTTTGGTCTTGGGTCAAAGATCAGATGTCATCAACACTTGTTGATACAAAAATGAGATTTCGATAAAGTTTTAGTGTCATAGTGTCTGAAGATGGTGAGACTTAAAAGCATTATTCTCAGAAAACAATCAGAATTCTCTTTTTTAAATTGCACAGAACAACACACTCTTGACCATCACAATACCTGTAGACTTTGAGATTTCAGTTCTACTACTTGAACTCAGGTGACTGTTAAGGCCCAAAGGGCCTTTTGTGATGTATAAAACTATTTTTCATTGTTCTGGAATTAGCATATTTTCTATGTCATGTTTGATGATCATGTCCACCATTAGAGTGACCAAAATGTTTAGCTGTCATATAAAACTCTAGGTGAGCATGATGACGAAGTTCTGTGTAAAAGAACATAAACATTTTCCATTTTATAATTGTCTAGAAAAACTCAAAGTTGATGTAGAAACAGTACAACATGGAGTGGAGGGGCTGATGTACCTGTTAACAGAAAGTTCCAAACTAATGGTATGTATAGACATTGTGTGTATTGATCATTATAACATACACTGCAGTGTCATGTAATTTGATCAATCTTCTTAACTCCGAGGCACTGTGCAGTCCCATGAAATTAGGTCACTGTGACCTTCACTTAAGGTCAAATGTTGAATAAGTATGTGATTTGGTTTCATTCATGTGATTTTATTAAGCAAGAGGAAAGAAAAGAAGTTCTCTCTTTTCATGATCAACACACATTAAAAACAATGAATTAGTTCTCACCTAGAATTTTTTGTGGTGACACTTTCTTCCGCATTTCTCAGAAATGTTCTCCATGATCCCAAGTTCATATTGTTTTCTAGGGTTTAAATTGTTACAATTTATAAATGTCCATTCCCTTTGGTCCCTGTACTTCTTCGTATAAGCATTTTGGGACTAATTTAGGACTAAGATTCTCTGTTCTATTTCTCCAATAGTACCCAAAGAATCTTTCTTAGTTTACACCTTTGTTCCTAGTGATCTTTACTTTACAAATCACTTTTTTATAGTCAACTGGTCAAATGAAAATCACATTTGAAATAAGTTCAAACTCAGCAATATATATTTAGTGTCATTACTGAACATTATTCAGAGGAAAGCGATACTTAGGGAATAAAATGGATAAGGAGCATATATCATGATGATGGAAATGACAATTCCTCTGTAAGTATAATGTAGTGATTCTATTAAATATTTGTGAGAAATTTATAAAAATAAACTATTAGATCCTCTCATCATAACTAATATAAAAAAAACCATCAAAATACAGATTTCCAGGACGCTATCTTGACCTTGTAAAATTACTTTTTCAGTTGAATGAGATAGATTTTCAGGACTCTATTTTAACTTTGGGATTCTCTGAAGACATGAGACAGACACTACTGGAGCTATACTTACAAAACCGACGAGAGATCCGTGCCATCATGTCAGAAATGGCAATGGACTTACCTCACTACCAGAACCTTGAATGGCGGTTTGATGTACAGGTATAAAAAAAAAAAGATTTTCAAGTGAGCTTATGCTTTGGTTTGGCTTATCCATCATTGTGTTAGGCTATTTGTTTACTAGAGTTGTCTCCTTTGGTACTCAGAAGTATAGAGCTGAATTTAGGAAATTCACAGTTTATTAGTTTTCATGGTGATGAATGTCGTTATGAATTATCTAGGTGATTAATGAATAAATTAATCAATAATTATGTTATTTATTAATCATGTTATTCAATAGCAAAATTGAAAACTTTAGCAGAACCTTTCACATTCTATAATTGATTGGTAGTTCATTAGATATATTATCAGATAGTTTGAATATTAAGTTTGTATTCGTGTAAAGTTGATAAACGTTGTGAACAAAATTGGTGATATTGTACTACACAATTCATTCCAGCTTGCGAGCCGCTCTCTGCGACGACAGACTACACCTTTAGTAACATTCAAACTTCACATCGACGATGCAGGTGAACGGGAAACAAAAGTGTTACAGACAGACCCAGTTAACCTGGTCCATCTCACTAAAGTATTAGACGAGGCTCTACAGGAGATGAAATCACCGTACTGTCGCAGAATCGCACGAAACATCAAGTGATCATCTCATTTACATGACATTAATTACTTCTTGTGGTTGCAATGTATGAAAATAAGGAGAGACGATTTGGTTATGAGGAGAATGAAATGAGAAGAATGATAAACCTGATTGGAGATGTACAATGTGTAGAGAATAGCTGTTTTATCTTGTGGTACAGTGTGGATTTGCGACAGTCAGTTTTAGAATATTGAGAGTTTCTGAAGGTTCATAAACTGATACTGAAGTATGACTTAAATGGGAGAACTACAGTTGAAAACTTGTTATTACACAAGTTTAGGTGAGATGGCACAAGGCACAGGGACTTCGCACAAATTCCCAACTCACATATATGTATTAATTATAGCGACACTATAATACTTGGGTGGAAATGTCACCTATGGCATGTAGTACTAGGATTTCAATTTTATGTTGTATCTCCCGCCACTGCTCCATGACTTTCTATAGTTACAGTATAACTTGGTTTACACAAACTTGTGATCATGTATATTCCATGTAGGAATTACTTCCTACTCAAGTATAATATTATTATATTATTCTTTAATTAAGATTTTAATTGTCTGTCATTGGAAATGAGGTCTTAGATGATTCAGCATGTGATATTAAATATCACAAACTTGAGGCTAACTGCAGGTTTTGTTTTTCCTATCTTTACATTATTTCAGAGGTAGGCTCTGTCTCTGATACTTTTCATACTCAAACTACAAGGAAAAAAATATTCCAATTAAGGTTTATGAAAGTAAGAACCAGTTTGAGTAAGCGACACATTATTTTCAGTCTCTTATTATTGATATCACTTCACTGTTTATATGTGATATTTATTATACACAGTTATCAGAGATGTTGGACACATAGAGTTTCACAGCACCAGTGGATATAAGAATGCTATACCGGTATATTAAAGAATAAAAGAACTTTTTAAAGGTATAAGTTTGTACAGTGTACAAAACATTTTTACCTTTAATGGTAAGTTTTCCTGTACAGATTGTGTCGTGATAACAACACAATCTGTTCACTCTCAAAAGAACCTCAGAAACATCTTTACTCAACAGAATTCTACTGAAACCTGTGACAGTGTAAAAGAGTTTTTTTACGGATGGTTTTGGGATGAAATAGAAATTGTATATTTACATACTGGTAAATGTGATTATTCATAGTAATTCAAAAGTTAGTGAGGATCATTTATTGTGTTATAAATGACTGAAAAGGGTATGTATGATGTTTGTTAAAGCTGTTTCAACAGAGATCAAAAGTTTTGGAGAAAAAGATTGTCACTTGAATGTAAGTGCTGCATGTTGTTATCATTTGTACAGATATGTTTATGAATGAAAATGAAAAAAAATAATGATAATAAACATCATTTAGAAATAAAAGACAGTTGTCCTTTTTCATGTTAAGAAAAAAAGACAGGGTGAAATCAGTACATAGATTACTGGCAACCATCTTAGATATCCTATGAAGTTTAAAATGTGCCAAACACATCTAGGACAACTTTAACAAGGGCCTAATTGTGACACAATATACGCCCATTGCCAATCTTCGATGAAGAAGCAGTATTTGACTGAATAACTAAGTTGCCTTGGAATAATCTGAATATCATTTGTGGAAGTTTTAGCCATGTCATACCACCATTTGCTGATATAGTATGTGAACTTATGATTTACATACACTATATACTAACAAGGGAAGTTTACGAAAAATCAACTAAGGGGGAGTAACTCAGAAACTATGCATGCGAGGCGGGCAATTTTTATATGCGACACTCAGACATCTCTAGACATACATGTGTACAAAGTATGGTGACAATAGACCAAGAACTCACAAAGTTATGGCCCAGACAAGGAAAGTTTACGACGGATGGACGTCGAAGTGTGTACGTACGGACAGACAAAGCCATACCATAATATATCCTGTCATACAACGGGCATATAAAAAGCAGAATCTTTGGGTGGTTATTCAAAAATAGCAGAAACAAATAAAAACATTGAAATCAAAATACCACCATCTTGGACATCTAATGAAGGTCAAAATGTGGTAACTGAGATCAATACTAACAAAGAATAATTTACAGGATATCCCAAACAACTCTTCACAAGTAGCAGTACCTGAAAAATGGCATCTTGGACATCAGAAACTTTAATCAATACTGTATAGTGTACATATTTCAAGATCAGTGGTTCTTCATAAATTGTGGTAGCAAGAATTTGCTTATGGAATAGACAGATTACAGATAATGTTTCATATGAAAAACTGACGTGATCCCGGAGGAAGCTTGGCACTTTCCATTGTAGGATCGTTATTAATTATTGCTGATATTTTGCTCATGTGATCGACCTTGATCTGTTTTAAAGGTCACAGGAGTCAAATGTGTAAAAATCTTCTTCTCAGTAAAAAAAGGTCCAGGCTGTTGATATGGATTCTTTTACATTATTTGATGAAGGTCTGCCAAATCATGTGTTGAGATCTTAAAATTTCATTTTCAACAAGCAATAGGTCTGGGGACATGGTATTTGTGTAGTGACATGTGTAAGGAATATGATTTCGAGTTTGTAGAAAAAGTTTTTATGAACCAACAATGTCATCTTTGTAAGCTACAGAGTAGTTGAGCAATTTAGACCTATTTGGCCTTTTTTTATAAATTTGTCTTTGTAGTCAGATGAACATTAAGGCCTGTTGACCTCTTGTTCTCACTTTCTCTTTAATCATTTGCACAAATAAGGGCCAAGGGAAACCTTTATATCAGATTTCAAAATGATTCACCAAATTCTTTTCAAGAAAAGGACATTGGCTAAAGGCTATTATTAATATTGTTTCCCCAATCCAATTCCAAAAAGGACAGTACACAACTAAAATCCAATGGGAACCTAGCTAACTACAAAATTTGAAAATGATTCACAAAGTTCTCATCAAGTATAATATAACAAACTTAATATATTGCATTCAAAATTCAAGATGGCCATCTGGCAGCCATGGGCAATATACAACTAGACACAAAAGGGACCCTAAATATGGAATTTGAGACAGAATTCTCCTAAAATAAATAGTATTCAAAACATTATTTTACATTTCACACTTAAAGAAAATCTAGTCTAAGATATTTGTTTATACTCAAATAAATAAAGCTGAAATTACAATTTTCGTATCCAACAACCTTTTTATTTTAAGAACAACAATATATAAATTTATTATCTGGTATGTTACACATCAACGGGACACATGTAAACTTGTGAAAAATACTTTCAACAATACATCAAGACAGCACCTATACATATATAAGTGGCAAAACCAGTAGTGTTTATTAGTGGTGGAATCGGTTTAAAGAACAGGATCAATCATTAATTTCTATCAAACTGTCAATCACTGATTAATGATCAATTACATATGGTATACTCTAAATCTGGCAGCAAATAGGCCTAGTTGCCAAATGAAATAAATCAAAGTTATTTATTCATCATTTATAGTGATTTGTAATCCAATAAACTACTGTTGTTCTCTTGAAAACTAATGGTTGAAAACAACACATGATCAATCATCAATGAAATTAATTCATCAGCGCACCATATCCAAAATGATGAAACAATCTTCAACTTAAAATTTCACTTTGCCAGTCACTCTTTCATGATGTTAATCATGATTGGTTAAGTTAAACCTTAAGACAGTTTTAAACTTAAGATGGTTTCATGATCCTGAGGCCACTTTTATTTATACACTGAACATGAGAAGCAAACAAATTAAAATAAGCATTGTGCAGACACATAATTATGTATCTTGATTAATATCTGATCGTGAAATTCCTCCACCACAATTACATGTGAAATTTAACTACAGTTAATTTGACAAGAGGTTTATTTTTTTTCAATTTTCAAAGGTGTGCACAAGTTTGGCATTATTCAAAATAGAAAAATGATTTAGAAATGAAAAGCAAAAGATTACTGTTTGATCAGTATGCTCTGATGCACTATAACTGAGTTGACAAGCAATAAAATGAATCTCATATTTTTGTACAAATTATAAAAATATGAAAGGTGAAAATTGAAAGATTTTCAAATAGGAATAATACTGGGGAACACATGATGGAAGGAGTTTAATTTTCATTAGACTCCAAAAATCTTTTAACAAGAAAATCAAAACTTAAAAAAATTGTGTCATTTATATTATATTTCAAAAACATGTACCAAAAATCATTAACTGTAACTCCCAAAAAGACAATGAAAGTAACTTTCTCACTATTTAAATGAGTATTTTCTATCTTCTATCATTGCCTCTAATATAAACTACATCCATGGTGAAATGAATCTTATACTGTATATTGGACATAGACATATCTATAAGTTAAATTAAAAGGATTAATATAAAACAAGTTAAAAAAAGGACTGTTGTCTGCAAACACAAAGTATTTGCAATAATCACTAAAATTATTTCTTCTGTTGTTTTTTCAGTACTTACATGAGAGCTGAATACCAGGAAACATAGATTTTATTTGCATTTCATATTCTAGTATTCAACGTAGGAAAAAGCATATTACATGTACCAATTGAGCCACATGGTAAAACATGAATGGAGATTATATCTACCACTTATATCTTAAACTAATCAGAGGACATATGCACTTGTAAATTTCTGAAACATCTCTTGCATTGTCACTCTTATAAATTTTTAATTGATCACAGACTCAAGCTATTAGAAAATGTAAAAAAATCTCTCATGAAAACTTGTATTAAAACAGAATACATGTACCATTAACGAGCTGTAATCCAGGCGTATTATGCTGCCAGTATCCAATAGTAGTATATACACAGTATTTTTTGTAGAACACCAATATCTGAAATTATCTTTGATTCTTCATCGTGTAATCAGCACTAAAACTGATTCCTCTGACATTCAGAAAACCACAGCTTAATCAGGTGTCAGCATTGATCATGTAGCACTTGGTCTTGAATTAATGAAGACATAGACAGTGATGATAGCCGCTAAAACAGCCAAGGTTGGAATGACCATTGTGAACAATTTGTCTCTGTTCTTTACATTGTCTTCTCTTCTTTCTCTTCTCTCCTTCTTGCTTTCTTTTACTTTCCCTTTCAGTTGTCTCATCCTCGCTTTGGTCTACCGAATTTGCCCTTCTACAGCAAGCCTATTTTTATCTAAAATACAGATGTTAAACAGTTTGAATAAGTCTTTACTAATAGAAAATGCCTGCAACATAAAGTTTGAGCTCTGTATTATAGATGAAGACATCTAGACCGGTTACATATCAAAGTTCACGATTTTACCGATGTATAAATACCGTAATGGTTGTAGTTACATTGATGATCACCTCACACAAAGCTATAATTTCGTAAATATCTATTTCCTGCTTACAATACTATTCTGTTTTACCTGTAGTTGACGTGTCACGTTATTTAAATTCCGTTGTAGAAATATTTCAGCGTACGTTTGAAGCTAAACCCTCTGTTCGATTTAGCGCTTGAATTAAAACACTTTAAAGACTATGTTTTTTTTCGACTAAAATTCGTGTCTCGGACTTTATCCATATATTCGATACATAATTCTAGAGGCTTTCCAAATAATATTGCGCTTAGCAAACGGAAGTAGCAAGTTCAAACTTGTGTTTATGTCTGAACCTGCTCTAATGAAAGCGGCAGGTGCACGCATAGACAGCTGTAGATGACACTGAAGGCAAAATGCATACTCACCGGCAAAACAGAAAACTAGATTAAGGTAAATCTAATAATTGATAAATATGATGTATGGATTGTGTGAAATAAATGTGTAATTATCAATCAAAACCCACGTGTAACCACTGTAAACAATCATGTTGAAAACTTGATATAGTCAGATATCTGCTGTGTATTCATTTAACAATATATGTTGCCGGTTCATTGATGAATATCGGATTACTTTGTAGGTTAGTGTACCGTGACACAATTCTTTTAAAATTCATAATAGTAAAGAAAATAATACGACACCGTTGTAGCCCCGTAGAATACATAGATACCGCATATGCATTCATCTTGGCTATTGTATAGTATTGTTTCTTTTACGGCTTCAGTACATTCTGTAGTTTCTAACAATAATGTCCAATGAGACCGTCTGAACAACTTTGCACATGCCTGATATGAAAGACGTCTTTGAATACCAGACTGGTACTAACATATCTGTTATCGTAAACTATTTGGCCGGAGACCTTATGTATGGAGGGTTCTATCTGGTGTGGACAGGTTACCTGTATGTAGCTGGCAGACTAGTGTGTTAAAATGCCTCACATATAGCAACATGGTTGGCCTGTAGCTGTTTTAATGCTGCTGTGGAGGTCACAGAGATCTGTGATAAATAGTCAGGCTGTTAAGAAGGCTATGCAGATGAATACATAGTGTGGCCATACACTTACTGAACCAGGGATTTCCAGCCACAAAGACTCCTTCCATGTCAGCCTTACTATGATACCTTCACCAAAGAGCTTTTTGTCAAATCATTTTTTTTTTTTTGCGTCTTTTCATGATGGATCTACACAATTAATTCACTCGGTTTGGCTAAAGTGAAAAAAATTAAAGCACCATGTATTCACCTTTCTGCAAAAAGTTTGAGCGACATCACTTTATAGCTGGATTTCTAGATGGGGATTTATTTGGTGATGATAGATATACTGGAGGATGTAAGTATTTGTAGATATTTTTTCACAATTTAATGCATTTCTAGACTTCATAGATTTTTGTTCTTGTACACATTGTATCATCGACATGGCAGCTAATGTTGAAAAGACATTCATGAGGGAAAGAAAATGCTTTATAAAAAAAATTATGATAAAAAGGTAGAGTGTCATGGAATTTGGGATCTTGGGGTGACAGAAGCATGTTTTTCTTATACTTCTTTCTTTTGTGTTTGATATCACAAACCTCAATGGTTTTAATGTTTATTTTGATTACTTAGATAAAGATGCATGCTTGATTATGGAAGAATTTAGAACATGGAAATGCAATTTTAACATGGGAATTGACAGGTGGCAATCCATAGACATGATTTGCTGCACATTATCCCAGGATTATTAAAACTATTTTAGTAACATAAATAGAAAATAGTTTTTCCACCAAATGCAGCTAATTATACATATGCAAAGAAAAATATTTGATATATATTCTATAAATGACTTGTTTAGATTTCACTGCCTATAAAAATAACTTATTCTGACGATTACAAAATAAGCTTGATTAGGGAGAAACCTTAATAGCCCAGTTGGAATGGCTGGTCTGCAGTAAGCCTCAGGTTGTAAGGTTTGCCTGAAATGAAGACATTTATTTGTTTAGTTCTTGAGTTGTTCATGTAGATCTGATCTGAAATAGTTCTTGACAATCTAGATAACTGTATTTGTACTGGTTATCATTATTGTTTAACAAGCAAGAAGCAAAATAGTTGTGTATACAAAATATACACAAGAAATGAGACATGTTTGAATATGATTATAAGATTTTTATATAACCTGATAATTCCAAAACACACAAGTATTTAAAATTATTGGACACATTCCAAATTCCTTTGTGAAGTATCAATGTTACAAATATACTAAATAGGAAAGTGTATTGGGTCCTATGTATTAATATGTAACTAACTCTTGTATATACAAGTTTATATACCAGCTGTAATATCAGAAATATCTTGTAAAGCTGATATAGAAGTTAGAATTTAATAATGACAGATAATAAAGAAGAGGTTATTTTATATCTGATTGTATTTGACCCACTGTGCAGTAGTCATTGCAGGAGTCTAATTGATCTTTGGATTGTGTATATATAGACAGTTTGTGCAGCTTTAATAGTTGTTGATCGTAACCTGATCCTCATTAGAGTTATACTATTGGCTACATATACAAAGTACTCTGCTTCATTAGACAGTTGGGCTTCACTGATTATCTATAAAATCTAGTAATTTTTGTGGAATTTCTTAAGATAAATCTAGACCACAATTTTCAAAATACTGAAGAGTCTCGAAACTAAGATCCTCTGTCTCTCACAGGAAAAGTACAGCATATTTAGATAACAGAGCTCCATAACCTCCCCTCCCCCTTCCCCACTTCTCCTCCCTTTTAGTAACTATTTTAACTTATGTGTAGAAAAGGGAGATTAAAGTTACCTTAATGAAAGATAATGCTCCAGTTATGCTAATGAACACAGTTTTGTTCTGTTTTTTAGGGTAAAAAAATGAATTGGTTATAGTTGACAAGTTGTCATACACTGCACAACATATAAATATTATTCTGTATATGTTATGCAATATGTTACACATGTATTAGTATCTATACTGTGTTTGTGTAACTAACAAAGAAAAAGAATTAAGGATTGTATTAACCATCAGATTAAAATTCAGGCCATTAATACTTCACAAAGTGAAGTTGAGATTTAAACTTTTTAAAAGACAAATTGTTACACAAAGCTTTTGACGTGCAATAATATCATATCGATGTATAAAGCTATTATATATTAGAAAAAAGTGTACTTGCAGACCCCAAAATAGTGTGTAATTATAGTATAGACCTGGAAGACAGACTCCCATTATCTCCATACAAAGACAGTCATTGTTATTTAACAGAGATCTGTCTTACACCAAAAGTTACAGCTAACAACTTAATTTGAGCGTCTGTATAATATCTCATTCTATCTGATCATTAGGTAAGAGATTCTGATTTTCTTTAGAAAATGAAATGTTCTATGGCTCTGAAGTTCAGTCACAAGTTTCCACTTGTAGAATAGTATTAGCTGATTCTTTTTCTGTGATTCTATAAATGTAGTTCATATAGTAAAATATATATATGTACATGTGTATGTAATATGCTTCAGTCCCAAAGCCAATGCAAGGAATCAATGATCCTTATTCATCTTTTCCATAGGACTTTCAGTGTCTTCTTTAAAACAATTTGTCAGAAGGTCATGATACTTGACTTTTCTGCCAATTCAGATAAATAACTTTGACATTAAGGGACAGTTATCAGGACTAGCTGATATCATGCCATAAGCTGTTTTCACTGACAGTCAATCCTAACTACATGTATTGACATTTTAATATCTTCTGTAGAACTATGTAGAACTATGTAGATCTATGTTTGGGATGATGTTATTTACTTTGTGCTCCATACCTTTGGTCTTTAATTTGTCATCATTATCTAAATGTGATCTTAATTCAACAAACTAATTTCTTTGAATTAAGGCTCTTTTTTGTGGCTATGAATGTATCATATCCAGTATTCAATTCATTTGTAAAAAGGTCTGTAGAAGGCTGTAAGTGTATACAAGGCTGTTTGTGTCTACAATGCTGTTTATGTCTACAATGCTTTTTGTATCTACAAGGTTGTTGTGTCTACAATGCTGTTTGTGTCTACAAGGCTGTTAGTATCTACAATGCTGTTTGTGTCTGCAAGGCTGTTTGTGTCTACAAGGCTGTTAGTGTCTACAATGCTGTTTGTGTCTGCAGGCTGTTTGTGTCTACAAGGCTGTTTGTGTCTGCAAGGCTGTTTGTGTCTACAAGGCTGTTTGTGCTGCTGTATGTTGGGCCATAGCTATATGTAATGCAGTATATTAATAACTTATATTTCCCATTACACTGTACAAGTAAAAGATCAGTGATTTTCTGGGCTCCAATATTTGAGTCCTCCAGAACTTGTCCTTCTAACTAAATAAATTTCTAATACTGGGACTGATCAAAATTAGGGAATAAATATTTTGGATTTACTTGGAAGAAATTCTACAAAAGATGTTGATGAGATGTGATGTTTCTTGATGCAATATTGTAGAATATCATATGCTCTTAAATTTTTAGATTTCCAATAATTTACCCGTACCTGAATCATTTTTAGGGTGTCATTTTGTCACAACATTGCAGATAACATGCATTATAATGATATACATGTTCTATCTGTAGTAAATGATTGCAGTAATTTTTGTAGGCTTACAGAATCTCAGGGGCAAACAAATTATATGTAAAGTTAGATGATGCATCGGCATGCAAACAGATTACATTACCCCAAGAGCAAGCATATACTCCAGGTGAAGGGATGGGCATGCATACAGAACCAAGGGGCAAAAATATACTTTAAGTTAAGGGGATGGGCTTATTACTGGACAATGTAATGGAATAGCATATTTCATTTTGTATTTTCCAGTACAGTAGTATAAGATTTTAGGAGATTGTAAGTCTTGCAGCTTATTCTGAATTATACTGCATTGTAAAGATATGACTAAAGGCAAAATGATGGTAAGTACAAATAATGGGACATTCAGATATATATAGTCTGTACAGACCTGAACATACTCTAATCATCAATTCATTATACGTATACCTTATTGTAAAACTTAGTGTAATATTTAGTTCAAAAAATGAATAACAAAAATATTCTGATCTAATTTCTGGAAGCCTGCAGGAGGCAACCATGCCATTTTATATTGATAATGGTTTAAAGTGAACAAAAGAATGGTGTTTATGACAGTATAGGGATAATTCAGTATGTGTAATATTATCATTTACTGACAGTACAGGTGTATAGTGTGATCAGTTTATATGACTTATGTACAAGTAATTCATGAATGTGAACTTCTTTGTGTCGAGTCATTAATTACAATGAGGTCGTAGAGACAATTATAAACCGTGGTAGTCCTGCAACTGACAGCACCAAGATAAGACAAAGATTAAATTTAAAGTCCAATCACAAACCAACACATACCCAATCAGTGTATTGTATGTAATGATTAACAGTGGGAATTCTGTATGGGAGAGACAGCTAGAAACGTGGGTGTTCCCATTCTAAATATATATGTGTTATATTGGTCTAGTTAATTATGAAAATAAATTCATATCCATGTACTGATTAACAATAGGGGGTATCATAATTGTGTGGAAGAGTGGTTTCCCTTCTTTAAATGATCTTATGTGTTGGAGATAAAAATACTCAAATCTTGTCCATTTACTGAAAGATTTCATGGCCAAATGGCTAGAGCAGCAGAGGAAAATGTATCTGAAGGAAGAAAAATTATATCATTCAACTTCCAGAAATATCCTCATTGAAAAAGTACCACAATGCGGTCAGATGATAAAACTTAACATATTCCTATCCAAACTCAAAGAGACACTTAATCATATATTTGTCATTCGGTCATTTTCCTTTATTCTTCATTGATGAGGGAACATTGGTTTAAATCTCCATTTATAGAAACTTTTCTTGCTAATATAAAGGAAAATATTTTTATCATGAAATTGTTGACATGGCAACAACCGGTGGTTTAATATTTGTCACTGTGCATGATTGTTTACAGAGTTGCCCAAAGGATGAAGTGACATACATGTCTAAATTCACCTTCATTTCAAAAGAGTGCCTAATCATAATAATTACTGTTAAGGAGTTACTAATTCTTGTTTACTTAGGGTGAGAGGAAATACCGACTCTTTATATACTGGTAATATCGTACCGTCTAAATCTAGTGATAGGGTGAGAGGAAATACCGACTCTTTATATACTGGTAATATCGTACCGTCTAAATCTAGTGATAGGGTGAGAGGAAATACAGACTCTTTATATACTGGTAATATCGTACCGTCTAAATCTAGTGATAGGGTGAGAGGAAATACCGACTCTTTATATACTGGTAATATCGTACCGTCTAAATCTAGTGATAGGGTGAGAGGAACGCAGACTAAGAGTAGTCAAACTTACAATATGTTAACGGACATTATTAATGTACTACACATAAAGTTTTCCATCACATCGGTGTGAAATCACATTTTCGATGGAAACATTTACACACTAGAATGAAGAATTCTTTCTTCAATAAAGATTGTAATACAGATAAAATATATCACAAAAAGACAAGAAAAAGACAGCAGTGTGAATTTCATTTATCAATATAGATATGGTAGTTGTATCTGATGTACATTATACCAAAGGAGAGTAGAAAAATATGTTGTAGACTGGTATTTATTTTACTGTTTTTTTTCTGAGAACGATTATGAAATTGTTGTTGATAATATGTACAATCTGAATTCTAAAAATTGGTATGCAGTAAATCTGATTTTTAATCAGCAGTTTAAATAACTAATAATGATTTCAATGTATAGAAAAAAAAATAAGAAAACTGATAAATGTCTGTTTATAGCATAATTTCCTGCTGAAAGCCAAGACAGTCAATACATATCCCATGATTCAAAGTCAGGGGATGGGCTTATCACAGAACAATAGCATGTCTTGTTTACCAAATAGTCATAGATATAGGTGGGACCTGGGCTTATTACCAGCCAAGGGCTCTATGCTGAATGAATATGCTACACTATACTATTGAACAAGACAACAGATCTGAAATATGGTTGCCCTTAAAAACAGATTTATGTTGAGTAAGTGTGTGGGCACCAGGAGATGAGACAGGGTCCTCAGACATGTTGGTTTTATGACTATGAATAATTTGCTCAGTATCCCAGCTACAAGACAGAGTCCTCCAAGTATAGAAAACTTAAGTAAATGAAAATATTTTTATATATCCAGCTGTTGTAATGAAATAACAGACAGAGAGTAAGAAAATGTAGTGATTCATAACGAACTTTTAACTTAACAGTTGACAAACCATTTCCAAATAGCTAGGCCAGTGTTTCAGCTTTTATTTGATGTTGTAGTTATTTACTTGTATAATCTATATATAGATCTTGGCACTTAGCAAGAAAGTAAAATCAGCACGTATCAACAGGTATTTGTATGTAAAACTAACACAGTTGTTTACACACCTACATCTTACCAGGTAAGACAGAACAGATCTCACTATCATCAGTAAAAGATTGTCACTTCGGTTTTTATGTACCTTGGCTGCTTGGTCTGTTACCATATTTGTTCAGCATTGGCCCATGTCTGGTAATAAAACAATCCATATGTATTGTTCTTAATGACTTATTGGTATGATGTACCATATTTATGTGTCAATAAGCCCATGTCTGGTAATAAAACAGTCCATATGTATTACTGTTAATGACTTATCTGTATGATGTAGATACCATATTTATCTGTCAATAAGCCCATGTCTGGTAATAAAACAATCCCTATGTATTGCTGTTAATGACTTATTGGTATGATGTAGATTCCATATTTATCTGTCAATAAGCCCATGTCTGGTAATAAAACAGTCCATATGTATTACTGTTAATGACTTATTGGTATGATATACCATATTTATCTGTCAATAAGCCCATGTCTGGTAACCATTCAATATCTATTGCTGTTCAGTAGATAAGTAGATTATGAACAAATGTTTTTGTATTAAGCTCTCTTGATGACTTTGACCCAGAATTTGACCCTCTAGGCTTATTACAGGATGTATAGGTAAACTATTGTGATTATATTAACATGTAGACCTGAACTATCTAAAAACGACAGGTAAAAAGGATTTCCCTGAAAATCCCTACCATAGCTAGAGTTTCATTCAGCACCAGAATGACATGTTCCTTTTTCATGTTTAGTTTACATTAGTATATCTATTCAGTAGTTTTACTTCAGCTATATGATTTTCATATTTCTCCAATTCAAACATTTTATAGCATTAAAACTTGTGAAGGATATAATTTCTGGTACATCAAACTATGACCTGCCTAGCACTTAGTGATATATATATCCTATACATTTGTACTGAATTGATTTCGACCAGTTGCCAGTGTGTGTGGTGGTATCAGTATCATGTATATACTTTGCCATACAGACGTTAGATAACATTTTCTGTACAATGTTTCTGCCCAATGTTCTGTATTTGGATTAGTGGAGATAACTTGAATTCCTTTCAAATTTATGATTCTCAGTACAACAATATGCATCAGAATTAACGAAAATGGGACATGACTGAAAAGCTAATAAAATTTTTGAGGGAGACCTTTGATAATAACTGGAAATGGGCAGTAACCAAATGAACATGATGAAGCACTAGAAATATTCTATCTACGAGTATGTAAGCGTATAATTTGTTCTGATTGCAATGTGAAGATATAGATTATGACCATGAAAAGCTGGTAAGGAAAAATATTCTATAATGTATTGTCACCTAGCCTATAATAATCCCTATGAATTTCTATGTTAACTTTCTCCAGCTTGGAAAATACCTTAAAGCAGGAGAAATGACCCACTGTTTAGAAATGTATGAGAACTAGTGATAGTAATGTGATACCGTTGATTATTTATTGATTAGTTTCACTGATTGTAATGCTTTCGAATGGTTTTACCTTACAATAGTTAAACAGTCCTCGTTATTGTAAGTAAAAGAGATGATTTTATTGACTAAGAAAATATCCCAATATCATAACTTTTGTTGACTTTGAGACGTTTTTCACTGAAATGTTTCTACAGGGTCAGTATCAGAGCAGTCCTACATACTTATTTATAGATATCATTAAACATGTCATAGATATTTTATTATGTTTACATGAATTCCTGTTTGCAATTTTATGAGTAAAAGTTTATCTTACCTGTACACAGGTAAGAAGATGAAGACAAAGAAATTAGGACAGTACCGTCTCAGTCCTAATGAGGAAGCCCAGCTTATCAAGGAGGAGACAGAAAGACGTCGCAAATTACGTCTTGTACAGGTGAGTTATATTTATAACCAATTCAAAGCCATTGTATTTAAATGTATTATATTCTGTAAACATATTTTATTGGTAATTTTGTTCATTTTGTAATGGTACCAAAATCTGATTGTGCTAATTGTAGTTAATTTATATATATATTATATATATGGCAGTTATTGCAAATGTGCAAAAGAATTATTGCACTTATTTGTCTAAAATTGATATTGAGCTGAAAATTGATTGCCCTAAGTTTACTGAATTTTTTTTAATGATGACCTCCAGTCTTGACAACAGATATTTCCTCCTCATTTCTTATGTACATTACTCCTTATATCATTTAAAATCTTCCACACATTCAACATAAGCACCTGCACACTCTACAAGTTAAGTGGGTGAAACTGCATTCCCTAAATTCTGACTTATACTGTCTTTGTAGGTCCGAGAACAAGCCAAACAAAATGCTGCCAAAATCCGCCAGGCTGTCCGACAGGAGAAAGACAGACAAATTCACAAGCTTGCAGTCGAGCTTCAGGTAGGTATTGTGTTTTACATTGACTATAATTCATTTTGTTAGAAACTGTAAAACCACTGATCAAAATACTGATAAATCAAAAATCACAGGTGAAATTTTTTTTCTGCTTTAAGATTATGAATATTCATTACATAATGTTTCTCATTACTATTTTGCACTGTTAGATTACTTATCTTAAAAGTCATACAAAAAAAAAAGAAAAGAAACTAACTTGCCTGCTTTAAAGTAAATTATACTTGGGTATCATATACATCTGAAATCAACTTTTTTCTTCCATTGTCTCCTTCTCAAAAACCCTGAGTTTAAAGGAATTATCGTTGTTGAGGTCCCAAGTTAAAGACAGGTTCCTATGTGTTAAAACCTTTACCACTTTCTGAATCTTGTTTATTGAGACTTCCATGATGATGGTTTGTGTCCAGTAACAAACTTTAGTGAATAGCTATGCTGAGTATTGTTATGGTAAGAAATGAATGACATAGACCAACAGTAGCATCAATGCATTATCATACAAAGTCTTCTTATGGTAGAGTTTTAAAAAAACTCCAATGAATTTGCATTTACCCTCATTTAAATTTATAGATATCAGAAAAATAACAAATTGGCAATAAACTTAGACCTATTAGACTTTTCATTGTAAAAATATGGTGAAATCTGTATTATTTATTAATTAATTTTACAGAACCAAATGGAAAAGGAGAAAGAAGAGAAAGTGCGCCATCTAGAGGCCCAGTATGAAAACTGTCTGCACAGCATAGGTCAAGGTCAATTGGAAGCTGGTGAACAAGTATGTGTTTTAGGCATGGGGAACTCATAAGTGTTTGTGGCTTGGAAATCACAGAGGTGTCTGTGGGTTGGGGATCACAGAGGTGTCTGGGACTTGGAGATCACAGAGGTGTCTGGGACTTGGAAATCACATAAGTGCCTGGGACGTGGAGATCACATAGGTGTCTGTGGGTTGGGGATCACAGAGGTGTCTGGGACTTGGAGATCACAGAGGTGTCTGGGACTTGGAGATCACAGATGTGTCAAGGGCTTGGGTACACATAGGTGTCTGGGACTTGGAAATCACATAGGTGTCTGGGACTTGGAGATCACATAGGTGTCTGGGACTTGGAGATCACAGAGGTGTCTTGGACTTGGAGATCACAGAGGTGTCTGGGACTTGGAGATCAAAGAGGTGTCTGGGACTTGGGGGACACTTAGTTGTCTGTGGCGATCACATTCTTCATACATACACCAGGTGTGTAAGGGGATAGGGATAACATATGTGTCTAGGGAGTAGGGAGCAAGTGAAATGTCTCAAGGCCAATGAACATGTAGGAGCCTCGGGGATAGGGACAGGTCTTGTGGATTGCATTGGGAAAAATCATGTATGTTGTCAAAGGGACCTGTGTTGTTTCTGCTCTCATGGTGTCCAGGGCTTTGCTTGTTGTCATAATAACCTGTGTTTTGTCTGTAACTAGGTCGATCAGGATGAAGAGCGTCGCATGGTTAGACAAATAGACAACAAGAGAGCAGAATCTCGAGGCAAGGCAGCCATGGAAAAGGCAAGACGAGACAAAATATACCAGGAATATGAAGAAAACAAGATTATTGCAGCCAGGTAAATACATGATTGTGGGTCAGATAAAAACTGGGAGGAATTCATTAAATGACTTTCAAGTATTACTGATCATCAAAATCCTAACAAGTAACTGAACTAGTTGTTAAAGTATAACATTAAAATGTTTTTATGAATCAATGGTTAATTATCCAGATGGAAGCATGATTATTCAAGAATCATGACAATAATCTAGAGTGTACCAAGTAGTACAATTGTACAAGACACACCATTCTAACACTTAACATGGCTTTGTAGGAAATCTGCCTTGGAAACAGAGAAGGAGCGGGCATCAAAGATAGCGGCCTTACCAGCACCACCTCCAGACCCTGTCTTAAATCTAGGAGTCCCAAAAAGTAAGTGCCGAACGTCACCTGGGTCTCCTAATTATTCACAACATTTGTTATTCATCAGAAATTTCATTGGAAGGATACTATGACATGATTACTTTCACATTAACCCGCCATCCCCACTGCCCCTATTTTTTCTAAGATATTAATTTTTGAGTACTGTTTTTAGAATAGTCAGTGATGTGTAGTTAATAACTTCTGTCTCTATTAAGTGTGTACAGCTGGTATTGTGAAGAAGACTAACCAATATCTGATTGTATCCCCAGAGTTGTCAGTAAAGATGACCGATGCCAATGCCTTCTCCACGACACACTACCATTTACTGGAGGACTATGCTGTAGACAAGGCTAGCCCCACAGAGCAGGTTAGATTCAGTGTCACACAAAATGAATGTAACACTATCAACATCAACACCAAACTTCGGTCCTAATTTTACTGACAGTACACCCTCTGTACTAATCTATCATGTGTGAATTAGGCTCTATAATAATGAACTATGTGTAATTATGTGTTATTTTTTCAATATTTAGATATTATAATTAAGATGAAATATTGATAGATAACAATATTGTTTCAATTTTAAATCAAATCCTGTTGTAAGTCTTATCTTAAACTGAATATTTGTTGCTAGTTCTATTATATCATCCACCTCGCTACAGAGTGAAAATTATAACATGAACTTTTTTCATTTTGTTCGGCAAAATGCTCTTACTGACCGTAACACTGTGATTGTATTTTAGGAGGATGCACGGCTGGCAGCAGAGGAGGAAGAGATCAGAATGAAGGGACAGGATCAGGACTTAGTTCGTCTACACCATGACCGCCTGGCACGGGCCAGGGTCCGTCACAATAAAGCTCTAGAGGCAGAACTCCTTAGTCATGTAAGTAGAGACCTGGTCAGATAGTAAAGAAAGTACACAATCTCATAAGCTTAAAACATATCACAATATTCTTATCCATTACCTTAAATGATCATTTAGTGAATGTGATTTGTAATATACTTACCAATACTGTTATTTCTACTTGTCTATCATATTACTGTCAGATCATTAATTTTCGAGGGTGTTTTATTTTCCTTGATTTTGTCAGTAATCCTAATCCATGCATTCATGTGCAAAGGAATATTAGTATAAGGAGATTTATTTATTCATTCACAAAATAAGTGTTCATGCTACAATAGTTTCTCAAAAAACAATAAATAAAATAAATAAGTAAACTGTATTTTATAACAATTGCGAAACAAGTTTTTCCAAATCATATTAATCACTCTCGTTGGCCCGGACAGAAGCAGGTGAGAGGTCTTACTGTGGGAGGAAACCAGAGTACCCTGGGAAAACCCACATGATCAGACTTGTTACTCCATACCTTTACACCTCCATTCTGGGAACCGAACCCTGGATGGCTAGGCGTAAGGCAAGTGGGTTACCAAGGTGCCACTCGACCACCCTATTTCAAAAAACAATGAAAAATGCACCCCATGGAGCTTCATGAATTTAAAGTACCAAAGTAGAATAAGAACACATTATATATCTAGGAGAAGACAGGATAATGAGTTAATGTTGCATTGTCTACTTGTTTATATAATTTTATTTTTTGTGATGGACAGGACTACAATAATATCCTGATGGACTTGAGTGACCTTCAGAGAGCTGACCGTGAGCGACGACAGAGGGTGGTGGCCAACATACCAGTAAGTCTGTTGCTAGAATGAGAGGGTACATAGTTAAACATATACAGTATTTGTGTTATGTACTTTTATAAATTGTATTAAAACTACATAATTGTTTAAACAGAAACAAGTGTACGAGCCACCTTACTGTCGCATTGAAGACAAAGAAGACAAACAGAAAAATATGGAGGAAGCCTTTGAGGATATGTACATGGCAGAAACCAGTAAGTGTTCCATTAACTGTCATCCTTCAGCAAAAATTATTTTTGTTTTTCTTGAATTCAAACTATATAAGAGTGTATATGAGAAAAAATTGTCCTTGGTATTTTTGCACCTTCACTGAACACTTTGCAAAGTGTTGAATTTTCTCTAAAAATATGTAATTCATCTTCAAGCTTAATCTTCAGCTACTATATATTTTGATCCTATTGACAAAATGGAAAAACAGGTGGAAATGTCTTCAGTAAATAGTTAAGAAGAACAGTGGCCACCTGTTAATGGTGTCATGATGTTTCAGACTTTATGGGAGACCTGAGTCTGGCCTTGGACCCCCATCCTCCCCCTGAGACACCCTCAACCAGCGAGTCCTTGGAGGTGTCAGCGTTGGATGACTCCCATCTTCCTGAACCAACTCTAGGCTCTGTGCCTTCAGTCCTTAAGGACATGACTAACACCCCAAGGAAAGCTAACGAGAAACTACCAGCCAAAAAACCAGGTAATTCTAAATCTGGGTTTTTTGGGGTTTTTTTTCACTTTTGGAAGTTCATGATGCCAGAAAAATTAAATGTCAGAGTTGAATAAATATGTTTTTTTTATATATATAGAGAATAAAAAACTTTGCCAAAATCATAAACTACAACTTAGACAGGTCATTTGTCAGTTATATTTTGTTCATGTATGAGCTGATATACATGCTACATTCTCCTCTGTTCAGCTAGGACATTTATGTAATATTCAGGAGATTTGGTGATGATGTTAGTCTTCATTACAGAGAAAGTACTTAGGAAATTGATGGACAAAATCAAGACTCAACGTCAAGAGTGGGTATCAAAATCAGTGGGGGATATCCGAGAGGTGGGACGGGAGGGCCAACCCCCAGTCTCCAACGGTTACCAGGAAAATGGCATTGACAAAGGTATACTACCCTTAAACTATATACAATTAACAGTCTCCTCCAAACACAGCCTGGTCCAATATCTTTAAAAATTGTCCTGACAGAGATTTGAATGCTGCAAATGTACTGAAGTTTGTACAGATAAATTTTAGGATATTATCAGTTTTTGCTACATTTCTGAATAGGGGCATCCACAATAGTTGCCATACAACATAAAGAATCTGAAATTAGCTAAAGTATTGTTTAGTTCAATACTTTGAGACAGAGTACAAATATTTCTGAAATACATACATTTATATACAATGAAATGGAAGCAGCTAGCTAATAAACCAGAATATTTGATGTAAGATATAAACAGAGATACAGTGAAACTTGTATCTGTAATGTATGTAAAGTATTTAACGAATTTAAGTTGTCATGTTAAGGTGTTCATATTTGGAGCTCTCTTCATGGATGTGTTTGTAAAAGGTTATAGTTTATATGATACGATAGTGTATTTTAATCTTTAATGTTTGTTTTTCATTTTGTATTATAGCACCAACATTGTCTGAGTATTCCCTGTCTGACACTGAGGTGTCACAGACAGAACACCCGAGGTCTGTGGTACAGCCTGTCGTCCATGGGTTGAAGCGTACTCGGCAACCTGTCCCTGCACGTAGCCATGCCCCTTCCACTGGAGGCCCCAAAGGTCACACCATTTCCACTGGTGATCCGAGAGGTCAGGCCTTATCCACTGGCTATCCCAGGGGCCACGCCCCCAATGTAAGAACTTCATTTCCAGGCTCACAAGGACCTGCTCCCTTACTGCATCCTATGGAAATGGCAGCCAAAATCAGACGGACAGATCCCTATATACAGGTAATCCTAATTGTTCCGGGAAATATTCTAGGTTTGGTGATTTGCATATTTCAGTTGTAATTATAACTTACAAGTCTGATTTTTATTGAATTTCTTAAAACAGAAAATGTTATGGACTTGTGAGGAAGCTTTTGAGATACAGATAAATATGCCATAGGAGTATGGTTTTTTTAATGAAGTTATTATGTAATATGGTGAACTGTTTATTTTTCAGGATTCAGAGGAGGAAGTGAAACCTCGTAAGCCACTAGAGGAGAGAACTGTGGCGGAAATACTGGAGCAGCAGCGCTCGCTCGAGTAAGTAATTACAGCAGACAGTCTGGTCCAAAATACTGCATAATGTCATTTATCCTAAAACAAACAATACAGATGACTTCCTGTCTAAACTCTTACTGTTTGAAATGAAGTTGTGAAGAACCTTTGCATGATAGATTCTAAAATTCAGAGACTTTATATTCCCATATCTTTTTTATCTAATATTTCTAATTTCCAAAGTTTTAATGTGCTGCAGACAAATTAGATAGTACAATAACAGTGGTGTCATTAGTGAAACTGTTATTGAAGATTTCATTATAAATAAGCTATACATTATCTATTGTATGTTTTTGTGAATTTGTGTGTCTTTGGGTTCTTAAAGAAAGAGACGCCTCAAAAATCTGATTGAGAATTTTGCTGACGCTGTCGTTATTCCTTCTCAGGTTTTACATCTGTTTTAGTAATGTTAGGATCCTTTGTCCATATTTGTCTATAATGTCATTATGGCTTAACAAATACACATATAGCTTTCACCTAACCTCACTTTTTTCATTAAAACTTCTGTTTATTAGAATAAAATGTAAAAGGAAGGAATGTTTTGAAGTGAAGAGTCAAACAGTTTGGTATTTCTATCTTGGTTGAGATATGAATACTTGAGTGTTTCTGAATTCTCCTCTGATATAAGGTCATACTTAAGTTGACAGGAGAGATTGTGTATGTAGTGATATTATTTTTCCAGTCCCATTTACAAATTAATGGAGACTGGTACTAAGCTGATGTAAGTATAACATCATGCCAGATGTAGTGATCAACTTTACAATTTTCCTAATTTGATTTCCCTGCTCCTGCATAGATGCAGCGTTAGAGATCGCCTGTTTCTCATCAACATATACATGTATATCATCTTTCCATTGTTCATAGATTCTTGCCATATTCATGTTTATAAATACTATGCAGAACTGAATACTTAATCAGTTTAAAGTTGCATATTTCTGGTAACTTCAAATTGCATTAAATTTTTGGTGCGATTTCACTTGTTTATAGTATAATATTCATCTTTTTATTGCTTACTGCGTCTTTTGCCAACGGAAAGTAATGTTATTTTGTTCTCCCTGCTGGTATATACCTCCGTGCCTTTGTAGTAAAGTTTAGAAGCATGATCATCACAGTCTACTGTGTCAACTTTCATTCAGCTGTCACATTGATGAACAGACAGTGATAGTTGAATCACGATAAAGTGTTGGCCTGAGTAACCACAAGTGAAGTTCTGAGGTGCGTGGTTCAACACCCCCTATCAATAGTGGTTTGTAATTTCTCAGGAAGCTGAGAAATGGACCAATTTGTGCTAACATGGGTTAATCCTTGGGCAAGACACTTTACCCTTAGTGTTCTGGATGGCATGTGATGGGCCTCCTGTATGTTGTTCAGTGAGGTAGCCACCAGCTACGTCAAGGAGACCCTGCCTCAAAATGACCCTAGTTGTTCATAGGGCAATAATTCCAGCAAACAAACAAAATTCAGATCTAAATAGGATGGTATTGTTAAATATATAAATATCACCCAGGAAGGAAGAGGTTTCTCACATACTTACCTACATTCTCAAAGACACTTGGCGAGTATTGCAAGAAATGTATTAGTGATGTTGACATAAGTCTTATAATGTGATGCTGCTCACTACTGGGAATGACTGTTACAACAATATCAATTACATACAACTCCACATTGATACTGAATTATGGTGTATATTAGGACTTCTAGTGATAATTTAAATATTCCATCACTTTTACAGTACCATTGTGAAAATTATCCATATTTTTTTTTAAATGTAGTACAGGTACTAACAAACTTTCTCTTTTTTATGTTTTTAAGTATTGAATATAATGATGAAGTACAAATAGCTGTATGGTACCAAAGAAACCCTTGTAGCATTATTATTTCAAAAATGCACTTTTAAAAAATACGTTTCATTGATGTATTGGTTATGCAATGTTATGTGTTTGTAAGCTGGTAGTGCAGCAGTTTTACCAGTGCGTTAGAGAATGGTGGATTAAGTGTTAATTTTTTTTAAGTTGTTATTTTGAAATATCGTTTCATATTTTGATATTGAACAGTGTATTTGGTTGAATCTTATGTTTTTTTAAATCAAGAAATTTTCTATTTCTATGTCAAGCTGAAGTTACAACAATTGTATCAAGTTTCATAATTCTCATTTAAATTGGAAAGTAATAACAGACTCTTTATATAATGTGATCAATTTTTTCAGATATTGTAGAAACAATTCTACATTAATTGACTCCAGTTTGTCATGAAGTAATGTGTAAGCATGCGGCATCATTTCTAAATCAATATTTATGATGGCACAAAAGGTATTAATAACAATGGAAAAAACACCAAGCTTGTTTTGACAGAGTAATTATAAAAGCATACGATAGAATGAAGTAAGCTATACACATTGCTTTATGTTTAATTCCTCATCTTACCTAACTTTTTCTCTTGGCAGACAACAGAAGCGAGAACTGGAGGCAAAGTTAAAAGCTCTGGATTCCTACCATAAATCTATACTCGAGCCAACAGAGTCTGGCACACCAGCAGGGAATGTTGGGATACCAGACTTTCTAATGAATGGCCATGATCCTCCATCCTCCTCATCATCTGTGAATCTTTCCTCAGCTGGCCTTGTTGCTCATCTTGCCAAAGACAAACCTGGATTTCATGGAATTTCAGAACTTCCCACTCATATGACTGAACGTCCTGTGATGGATTCAGACAGACCAACAAGTGTGTCTACATCAAAAGTTCAGAATGGTTTATCATCTGAAATGCATCATTCTAGAGGTCATTCTGGTAAGGTCACTGACTTCCATCCTTCAAAAGGTCAAAATGGTTTAAAGTCTGACTTTTACCCTCCACTTCCTGTTGGTGCATATCTGTCACCTGCTGCCCGACAACAGCAGACTAACATATTAAACTCGTCACTGCCCCCAGCCCCTCACACCCTGTCTGGTGCTATGTTACCAGGGGAGGGGAAAGACACTAGCCACTCTGATCAAATGAAAAAGATAAGAGAATATCAAATGAATTTGTTAAAGAGGCATGAACACAGTAAAAAAATTCTCTCAGATACAAGAGCTGAAATTGAACAAAGACGTCAGGAATTATTGGAAAGATTTCCACAGTTAGAATTAAAATCCTCAGAGAGTGACAAGTCAGGGAGCCAGGTCAACAGCAGTGATCCTAGTGTGTCAAAAATTATGTCTATCTTGTCTGAGTCAGGATATCAACAAGCTAATGGCCATCGTGAACCTGCTGGTAATAAATCTCCTCCTAAATCTGCCGTCTCTGACTTGTTGTCAAAGTTAGCATCGCACCCTTACTATGCTTCAAGACTGTCCCACGAAAATGGAAAATCTTTGGCCAGCAGTTTTCTAGGTAGAGATATACCACCAGAGAAAGGTGGAGCTATCCCGGGCTCCGAGGCTAGTAAAGGATCACAGATGGACAGAGTGAGAAAGTCATTGTCGTTCAATGATTCTCTACAGGAATCACCCCTTACAGCTCTGCAGCAGTTTCAGGAAGGTGACACAGGTCGTAGTGATCTTGACGACACAGCACTATCATCATCTTCAACTGAACGAGGGAGTCCAGCCCTTCCAGGTCGAAGGTCAGGTTCAGAGTCAGATTCTGACCTTCTGACGATAGCTAGAGGTCGCAATCAAGAGTTTGAGAAAAGACAAGCAGATTTACGGCGACAATTAGGAGATATTCAAAAACAAAAAGAGGAAATACTACAAAGACATAAAACCGGACAAATTCAGTTGATGGCAGAACAGGAACGCCTGCGTAGCAAACTGTCTCGGGCTCAACGACAGATCAACCAGGAGAGTGATACGTCACTTAATCTGTCTGGAAGAGGTCAGTACCTCCTTAACGAAACCTTTTTTCTGTTGTTGTTATCATGTTTCCTAGATGGTGTTGTTTTTGTCTGTCTGTGGTGATAGATGGTGTTGCTTTTGTCTGTGGTGATAAATGGTGTTGCTTTTGTCTCTGCAGTGATAGATAGTATTGTTTGTGTTATATTGGAGAGTGCTGTTTGTTACAGATACCTCCCTGACTGGGGATACCACTGGACTGGAAACATCTGACCTGAGTTCAGACAATTCACCTGCTGGGAAGCATCCCCCTGAGAAACTTGTGGCAGGCCAGCCACCTAGCCGGGGAGCTGTACAGCTCGCTGCACATCGTCCACATGAACTCAGCACCATACATGTAAGTGTGTTATGCCCTCATTTTTCATAGTGTAGCCATCATGTGCTATCTGTGATGAGAGATGTATGTCAATATACAAACACTATTGACAATATATTTTAATAGGCACTCCTTTTTGCTCTTTTTATCTACTTTGTCGACATTTTAGATTTTAACACCCAAAATTTCAGTAAAGGTAAATTTGTAACAAGTTTCTTCACATATGAAATAAAAGCAAATGTATTGCTAAAAAGATTCTTTATATAAGATATAACATTAATTATGAAGTTTGATATCACAATAGAAAAAATACAAACCTTCATCCAATCACATCTATGCTAGGTGCTTTAGCATGTGTGATTAAACAATATGTGTGATGGGCATTATAACAATGATATCAGTGTTGTAATGTTGTCATGTAATAGATAATTACATGTATATAATCTTATTTATATGTATTAGGGCTAAGCTAACTTATCTTACGTATTATATCCTGGATGGATAATTATTGTGTAGAGTTTAACAGTACGATAGTTTGTTTGTTGACATGAGCTCTCCTTTACAGGAGGTAGACACACCTGCCAGTACAAGATATTCCGAAGCCCGTCTGTCCTCTGGACGTCCAAGTCTCACTTCAAGTGAAGCATCATCCACTGTAAAACGTTCAATAGACTTTGACAGACCAACAATACCCGAGGAAAGGGAGCGTGCTGCCACCCCTACTGGTCGACGAACAGCTGGAGAGTCTGGTTATTATACTTCCCAGATAGAAGAGGTGATGAGTAGGGCCCGGGAACTGGACAGTGGACTGCTGGACAAACTAAAACAACAGACCAATGATGTGTTTGCTACACTGGACTCGACAGATGGGCGAAGACATGGTTCACACAGTCCTGCTGTAGGGGGCAGTTTTCATACTCTTTCTGCTGGCACCCTGTCACCATCCTCACTGTCTACAGGTATAACAACCTACAGTTGCAGTTGTTTTTTTTGCTTCCTCTACTTGGTAATAAATTTTGTAGCTCAAGTATGATATTTTATAGCTCAAGTATGATATAACGAAGCTGAAGTATGATATTCTTGTAATATAATAAGTCTCAATTTGCCTAGTTCAATAAAACCATTCAACAATTTCATGTTGTTTCACAATTCATATTAATTTTATTTATTTTGCCTCTAACAAAGTTCATTATTTGGTGTCAAATCTGAAATGAATGTGTATCATTTATCCATGTCAAATTTTCACCATTGAAGCACAAGAACTTGTCTGGTAATACATTATGTAAATCTTTATCTCTTAAAATAGGTTATGCAATCCTTTGATGATGAAAATATCAGCATTGTCATACTGGTGTAAAACCTGCTATCGAATGGATTGTGAAACTCGCAAAAAAAATGTTAACATATTTGGGTCCAGTTGATTTAAGTTTGAAAGATGATCATAACCAACTCTCTTTGCAGGGCCAATTGATGACAGCAATACTTCGCTGCTGTCTCAGCCAGCCTCAGACAACTACGCATTCCGATATGTTGGCCAACCTGCAGGAAAATCAGACAGCGCCAATGGATCATTCCAGAGCCACAAGTCCTGGGTAGAAGAGTTCTCTGGTTATAAGGAGAAATTCAAACCACTGCAACCTGACAGAACATCCACAGGGTCAAACCAAAAAGATTTTAAATCATTACGACCTTCTTCAGAGGATGAGAGAGGAAATTCATCTGATCTCAGTCAGCACACATTGTCAGAATATGATAAGTCACAAGAAGATAGTAAGTCTGGTTACCTGGACCTACCAGACCCGAAACCTTTCCAGGTAGACAGGAGCTATGATGCCATGCATTTCTCAGTAGAGCCCACGCATACCTATCAAAAACCTTTCTCATCCATGTCACTGGACACTTTCGCTAAGAAGCCTTCGATCTCATCAGATGATGGAAACAAGACTCGGTCCTCCATAGAGAGGTTAGCTGAGGAACTTTCTCATCAGGGTCCAGCTAGTGACCGCTCAGGATCAACAAGGTCATCTGCAGCATCAAGTGAAGGTCATGTTGATATTTCAGGTGTGAGAGGGTCACCTGTTGGCCATCATGACCAATCCGATGTTCAGCCATCTATTGACACTACCGGTAGAACTCGTGAAAGTATTGGTTCCAGTGTAAGTGAAGGAATCATATCCTCTTCCAGTTCTTACCTTGATATGGAACTCCATGGTCGTAACTCACGAGATTTTGGGCCTTTTCGACGGGACCGTGACAGTTTATTGATACAGTTACGAGATGAACTTAGAGAGGAGAATCGTAGAGGCCCTCGGATACTCTCTGACAATGAGTCTGTCAAATCTGGCTCATACACACATACCAGTACCCCGTACACTGCTCAAGGGAAACCCGATGCTCCTAGAGCCCCAGAGATTTCTAGACATTCCATTGTGTCCGATTCTAGTAGAGAGCAGGTGACTCCACGTAGTCAAGGGTGGGGGAGTTTGTCTTCATCCTCTTTTAATGAAAGACCTTCAATAAGTTCATCGGGGTCCAGTCAAGCAACAGAGGTACCATCCTCTGTCAGCTTTGGTGGTCCCCCAGGGGTCAGTCAGTACAGCCTGCTGTCTGACACTCAAGGGATTACACTAATTGGCAAGGAGCAGTCTGATCCCCAGGGTCACACTCTAAGTCAGTTTAGTCTGGACACAACAGGTAAGACCACTCGGAACGAGTCTTCACTGACACAGGTATCAATGGATACAGATTATTCTGATGTATCTCGCAGGGCTGGGAAGAGTGCACCAGAGCTTAGCCAGTACAGCTTGGGGGCAGAAGAGGATCTTTCTCTGAGTCAGTACAGTTTAGACAAGACCAGTCCATCTGGACATGGAGCAGACTCCACACAGGGTCTGAGTCAGTACAGTTTGGACAAGACCAGTCCATCTGGACATGGGGCAGACTCCACGCAGGGTCTGAGTCAGTACAGTTTGGACAAGACCAGTCCATCTGGACATGGGGCAGACTCCACACAGGGTCTGAGTCAGTACAGTTTAGATACAGAGTCTGAGCCAGATTCTGAAGATGGCTATGTGGAAAAGAAGTTTGCAAATCTGGATTCGTTGATACAAGAATCTAGAGACATTATTGCCAAACATAAACAGCTGATAAAGAAACATCCGAACCAAACGAATAATGCTGAAACTTCAGAACGTCCAAGTGTTCAGACATGGTCACATGGTCACCAGGAGCATGCATACACCTCAGATGTAGCATCAACAGAGGACTCGTACAAGCTGTCCACAACAACTGCTGGGTCAAGCTTTGATGTGACTCCACTAAGGTACACTGAGGACTCTGCTACCATGGTAACCAGCAGTCAGCCCTCAGCTGCAGATGCTACTAGTCTTGATCAGGTAATTTAAAAGAACATTCAAAATAATTTACATGTCTCTTTTGAAATACAGAAATAGACTTCTTAATTGCTATGAAACATCTCATTTGAAACATTCATGAATTAAAATTAAATAAGAATCATGTGATGTTTTAGAAGACCTAAATGGTTGCAAGTACAGCTGTTCAAAGCTCTAAATTCTTAAGACATAAACACTAAAATTTTCCAAAATTCGCTGAACAAGACTGCAGGAAAATTTCAATAAAAAAATGGTGTATATTTTTAGATTATGCCCTTAGTCTTAACTTTTCATCGTCCTGTTGTCACTTTCAATGTCTAAAATATCAATCAGGAGGTAGCTTATAGTGGTGTGACACACAGTTTACAATACTGGTGTCTTACAAGCTTAGCTGTGAATTAGGTATACATTTCATAAATACTGATGTCTCTACTGTTTAACAAGGAGTAATGTATATATGTACAGGTTCATGTTAATAATATTGATGTCTACAGCTTGGCTGAGAGGCGTATACAGTTTATTGTTAATAGTATTGATGTGTTCAGCTGTGCTATGGGTTGGGTATATAACTTATAAGAAATATTGTTGATGTTACTACAGCTTGGCTACGAGTCCGGTATATCTGAGGAACCAAACCTCACACTAGTCACCCTAAGCTCCAACACCAGCATGGTACAGGAAGACTTCAACCAAACCCCACGGAAGTCTGGCCACAGTAGTCATGGCACCGCCAGTAGTGATTCAACTTTGTCATTTGAGCAGCATGAAGCTAGCATGACTGACCCAGACGTGTCTAACACACACTCAAAGTCTACACAAGACACTTTCCATGATATTGCAGGTAATGTCACAAATACATGCTCAAAGTCTGACAGGAAGTCATAGAAATGGGCAAGCATTGGTAATCCCATCATAATAGGTCATACAATTTACACAAGAAACCTTTGTAAGTAAGATTCCATTGCTACAGATAAAATATATTCACCAAAACAAACTAGACACATTATCACTGTAAAGTTGTTACTTAAGATTAGTTAGAGCAAGTCTAGATATAACAATTGTTGAAGGTAAAATTAATTTCTGTGTCCCTTAATCAAGGGTTTTGATTGGTTATTTAAGTTTTCCTATTATAATTTTGTGTTACCTACAAACTGATTGGGTCTTTTTCAGATTTCACTACATCCAAGTCATATGATAGTCCAAACACTGCCCGGACATTATCTCCACCCCATTATGCTCCACCTCCACCACCCATTGAGGAGAGTGATGACACTGGCAGTGACTCAGGGTCAGAAACGCTGTTTCATGCTGTACCAGTGATGGTCAGTCCCACTATGTCTCTAGCCATGAAATTCAGTAGTCAACAGGAGCCAAGCAAACCACCTGTCTCCTGGTCAAAACTGTTGGATGAGGAGGAAGAAAAATTCACCACAGATAACCAGAAATCAGCTAAACCAATCATTGTACGTTCTGTAGATTCTGGTTCCTCCAGGAATTCATCAGAGTCTCATGTAGCTAGATCTCTTGATTCTTCATCTGCCAGAACATCCACTGAACAGACCTTGTCATCCAGGCCGTCTGAATCATCAGATCCCGGCAAAGACACAAGGTTAGGCAACAAGGTTGGTGAAAGACGGAAAATGTTTGAAGTCTCTGACGAACCTGAAACAGGGAAAAAGAAGTCAGCTCCAAAGGTACCAGGAACCTACCTGAATAAGGCCCTACAAACAAAGAAGGATGGAGGTAAAAAAGTGATGAAGGAGGTACCCAAAGCCCCATCAGCGGGGAAAGCCAAACCAGGTGGTGTTGTCAGTCTGGCCGACTTTTTGACCTCAAATAAAGGTGATTTGTTAAGTACATTGAAGAAAACCCCACCACCGGAATCAAAACGGCCTGGGTCAGCTCCAGCTCCAGGTCCAAAGTCAAAGGAAGCCAATGAGAGTGGAGTGACACGGTCGGTAGGTCCAACAGGGTTGTCCAAAACTCTGGCCTCGTGGAAGAAGAGTCGAAGTGTGAAATCCGCAGGTTAGTATATATATTATTGGTTTCTTTTGTTTTTTGTGTATGTTCTTGAAAGCTAGCATCATTAGAACTGATTTATGACCTTTTTTTTTTACTTTTCTAAGTCCATATCAGGAGAGATCAACAGTGTGATATTGTATAACATCAGATGTTCTTTGAGTAAAACTTTTCACTATTTTGATGGCTACAGACAAACCATAAGAATAAAATGCAATAAACAAAACTTCTGATGAAAGAATAAGTTATGTTATATGTGAGAAATTATGTTTTAGATTGAAGCCACTAGAGAAAGAAGCCATGAACATTTCCTGTTTTACATTAATGTCATTTTTAGGTCATTTGTCCTTCCTTGCCATTGTGATTCTCCTAACTGTTCTCATAAAATTTGAGTGTTTATACTTCTGTAGCTTCTTTTGTTTGTTTTTAATGTATTTTGGTCTATTACCTCAAATCCCCACCATTAATATCACAATAAAATTGTACGTAAATACATTGACTCTTAATTCCAACTCTATAGAAATTTTCATCTGTACACACAGCTCCACCACCGCAGCCACTCCAATCCAAGGAAGTGCCTTCCACTTCTGTTAAAGCTGTTTCTAAAGAAACACCTATCACTGAAGAGGAGCGCAAACGTGCTGCTGACAAAATTGTGTATGAGCGCCATATGAGGTAATGTTTTAGTGCTAGTAATTAGTACTTAATGCTTTTATGTAGTGGTGCTGATGGTCTCTGTTAACTCTACTTCTTCAGATCCTGTAACACTTGTAACTAAATAGCTTGTCATTGGTCTAATCATGCTATAGTGTATTCAATGCTTTGTATACTGGGGTTTCAGTTCATTGGTACAGCCAAAGTTTGTATGTTTTATATGCATGTACAATGTAGCAACTTTGTGTGTTTTTGTACACATTGCAGTTGTTTGGTACTTTTTTTGTACATTGTAGCAGTTTTTTGTACATTGAAGTATATGTATGTACATGTTGTAGTTTTGTGTACATTGCACATGGATTTGTATGTTTTTGTTGTTGTTCTATAAATGTTTGTGTTGTCCTATAAATGTTTGTGTTGTCATATAGATGTTTGTGTTGTCCTATAGATATTTGTGTTGAGCTATAGATATTTGTGTTGTCCATTGAAATGTTAGTGTTGTCCTATGACTGTAGGTGTTCCCCAAGGGATGTTTGTGTTGTCCTATAGATGTTTGTGTTGCCCTATTAATTGTGTTGCATGAAATTTGTCTGTAGATCTGTACCCCTATAACTATTCTAATGATGCTTATACTAATTATAGCACAGCAGGTTAAGATTAAACTGATACTAACTGCAGGTTAACATTAATGCATATACTAATTACAACACTGTAGGTTAAGACAGCTATTCTATTTGAAGCAGTATCTTTATCTAACTAGGGTTAATATTATTTGTACTCATTAATAAGTTCAATCTTAAGAAAAAACTGATTATGAAATTGTTTTACTTGTAATCAGCAGAGATAATTCTGTTATTTCTGGTATCAGTTCAAGTAATGGAAATGAATTATTGAAATTTGTATTGCTAATTTTGATTAAAAGTTGTAGAAATTATAACTATTTATTTATAATGATAAACTGATCAAGCATTATAATATCAAATTTGACATCTGAATTAACATTGGTAATGTCACATCTTATTACAAGTATCAAAATTAATAGTCAACTCTAATTCTATGTCTTAATTAACTAAAAAAGAAATATTACTTCTTATATTTAGTATTTCATTTCAGTAATAATTACCATAACTTTAGTATGCAAATACAGTACCTACACCCATCTTTGTATCCCAACAACAAAAGATTCAAAAGAAAAACAATCCCGCCCTCCCTACGATCCATGAGCCATCACGGCAGGAACGCAGAGTGATCTCCCTTCCTCTTACCTTTATGGCTGCCGACGAGTGCGGAGGTGTCTGAGCTGTGCTTTTCTTACTCCTTCTCTTCGTACTGCCATTGTCGTTTGAGTATATTGTTACTCTATTAGTAGTCTATAAACCCATCTCCCAACTTATATTGTGAAATTAAGTATTGTCATTTGTTTATTTTGACCGTATTTCCGGCCGTTTTTTTTTTTTTTTCCTCCACGTATTCGAGTGCGTGACTACTTGTCTCGTTGCTCGGATTTGCGTGAAGTTGGAATTTGTTTTCTTGCTGCTTTGTCGGCCGTGTTGTACGGCCGTTTTATTTATGCAGTGCAATCTTGCTGCGTACGGTAGGCTTTGTGCTCTCGTTCGTAGTTTTTTGATTGTTCGAGAACTTCGTTTCCGGCCGTGTTTTTACTCCGCGTGTTCGAGTGAGTGGCTACTTGTCTCGTCACTCGGATTTTCGTGAAGTTGAAATTGTTTTCTTGCTGCTTTGTCGGCCGTTTTGTACGACCGTTTTCTTTTTTTGCAGTACAATCTTGCTGCGTACGGTAGGTTTTATGATCTCGTTCGTAGTTTTTTGATTGTTAGAAAACTTTTTATCCTTGTTTTCATTGTTACAATTTTTTATTGTTTCGATGCTGGATAAAGGTGCCGGGTTTACGTCGGGGGTCAGCGCATGGATGTTCCTATTTCTATAGATAATGGGAACCCCATGATACCTGTCCCATTTGCCGACATTACAGCCAGACCTCACTATGTGAACTTTGTTTGCACATGGAGTCTGCTGCTTAGGCTCCCATGCCTTTCCAGCTTACTTTCCGCCGGAAGAGGGATTCGTCCTCTTCTTCCGGTAAGGGAAGTAAGCTTTTTAAGACCTCCCTCCTGAAGTTCTGAACCAGAGCGTTCCTGCTGGGGGTGCTCTCGTTCCACCGAGCTCCGCCCTTCAGCAGGGGGTGGCTCCCCCTGTCCAGGTGCGTCCTGGAGTAGGGGGGGGGCAGCCCGACCCTGACTCGGCGCAGTCAAGGGTCGAATTGGCCGGTAGCTCTCGATAGGCGGCGGTGTTACCGTCGGAAAGGGACTTCCGGTCGAGGTCTCTGATTCCTTCATGGACCTCGGCACGCCAGGTGGCGTCGTTGGTGGGGGCCGCTTTGACTCCGGAACTGTGCCTTCGGGTATAGGTTCAGGGGCCACAGACTTTTTGTCAGGATTGTCTGTGGCTACGGGGATTAGTGACACTTGAGTTCACTAATCCTGGTGTCAGCGCGGGGTCTGTTTTCCCACCCTCACAGGCTTCTGGCTCTGGGACTTCCGTCCCAATCCAGATTTCCCAGTGCAGGGTTTCCCAGGGGGTTTTCCTCCAAGGGTTTGGGGCTTCAGGCCAGGAGTCCGGTTTCCGGTCTCCCTTTCCCCCGGGCTCAGGGAGTAGGGGTGCCTGCGGGCACTTATTCCTGGGTCGCCCAGGCCAACCTGCGGATGGTTTTGGGTACCAACAGTTACTCAGCAGTTACGGGCTTAGCCTGTACATGTCTGGGTTTCCACCTGGTGGGAGTGGCGGTTCATCCTGGTCCTTTGGACAGGATGTCCAGCCCCAGACTCAGGCAGGCCATCTTGGCCAGTTCTGGGGTCACTCCCGGCCCGCTGGACCGTTCCCATTCCCTCAGGGGTTTGGGTTTTTACCCCATGGGTCTTCACTCGTGGAACCCATAGGGGTTGGTCTCTCCTCTAGGAGATGTTATAGCAGTGCGGAATCCCCCCAATGTTCTGCTACTTCGGGGGCCTTGTTGGCCGGTCCTATAAAGGTTTGCCAGACCTTAAGGACTTCCGCCTCCAGCGCGGACCCGTCGGTCTCCTGTTCCCAGGGGTCGGCTTCGGGTCTCCGACCCAAGCCTACAGCTACAGCTGTTGGTCGCGCTGCGTCCAAATGCCATAAAGAGGAGTTCCCCTCTGCGGAGATGGCTCCTCTGGCGGCCCCTGTTCCTCCCAAGGGGACTTCGGTCTCTATTGAGGAGGAGATGGACATCGAGGGTGCGGGCTCGGCAGAGGAAGACGATGTCATTCATCTTTCTCCTGGGCCAAGAGGGTTCACAAGGGGAAGATGGCCCTGAGACTGCTGAAGCTGAGGCTCAGCATGTGCTTTCTGGGATGCGGGTCCTCCGGGCCAACATCTCCCGGATTCTCAGGGCGGAGGTTTGCCCACCGCCTCAGCATCGTCGGCGCCTGAATCCACCATCCTTCTGGGTTCCCTGGTGGCTCCTCGGGCTTCCGTTCGCTCAGATCGGTCTCTGCCAGAAGGCAATATCATGTCTTCGGTTCTGGCCACGGCCCGGGCTCCGGTTTTAGAGAAGGACTCCTTCTCTACCCGTGCTCTCGGGTTTGTCGGTCTGCAGCTCGGTGTTGGTGAATTGTCGGAGGCTTCAGCTTCCGACTATGCCACACATGATGGGCAGCTGGCCTCTCAACCAGCACAGCTGGAGTTGAGACAGCTGGCTGCCTGGCCCGGCAAATCAGTGGACCAGGTGGTGCTCGATCCCAAAGAGCACCACAGGATGGAGAGAATGTTGCACCTCTCCATCCAAGTTCTGTCATACATAGACTTCCTGACAGTTTGTCTATACAGGGTATCCGATTTGCCTGAGTGTCGGTTATCCGAGACAGAACGGCCGACATACAGGACACGGCAGCCTTGCAGGTTCTCTGCTCGTCAATGCCGTGTTGGCTAGGCAGTTTTCAGTTCTGAAATTCCGCCCAGTCCAGTAACCCTACCGTTTCCGCTTGTTGAATGCCCCCTTCTAGGGCTCTACCCTGTTCAGGGGAGCTCTTCCTTGGGTTCAGAAGGATATGAAGGAGGACTCGGTCGCCTCAGCACTTCTGGTGAAGAGGTTTCAGGCTGAGAAGGCCAGTGCCTCGCAGGGGTCAGTGCCTCCTAAGAAGAAGGCGAAGTCTTCGGCTGCTCAGTTTTCTGCACAGCCCAAGTCCCAACCTCACTTCAACGGCAACAAGGGGAAGGGTAGGAAGGGTAAGAAACCTCCTGGGGGCAAGAAGAAGGGTTCCTGACTATTTCTGCTTCTTGGCCGCTAAAGGCGAAGGGTATGGCCGGGTGGACGGTGGTTCTCCTTTCCCGGGCTCATGTCCTTCTCCTGCAGGCTCAGGCTCCGGGTGGGCAGACGATTCTCTGGTCTGGCAGGGGCTCGATCTGCCCAATCCGGAACTCCCTGTGGGCGGACGTCTCTCTGCTTTCCTTTCCTAGTGGCAGGATATTACAGAGGACGCTTGGGCTTTTGTCGGTGGTCAGGGAGGGTCTAGGTATTCCCCTTCTTCAGGATTCGTCCCTCGCCTCCTGGCCGTTTTTGTTTCTTTCCTCCTCCCGGGGATTCAGAAAGGGCACGGGTGCTCCAGGAGGAAGTAGGGACCATGCTGCCAAGGCAGAGATGCCCTTGGGGCTCACGACAGCTCCTTTGGTGTTCACCAAGTTGCTGCTGGTGTTTCCTTCACTCCTGCAGAATAGACGTCCACATCTATTTCGACGACTCCCTCATGCCTCTTTTGGTGTGGGAATCGTTAGTGAAGGACACTCGTCTGGTCCTGAAACTCTTGCTCAGAGTCGGCTTCATTCCTTCCAGAGAGAAGTCAGAGGTTCCTTCATATTAGGACTTCTTCTTCCTGGGGAACCATTTTGACATGGTTCGGGGCTTAGCCCTTCCACCTCTGGAGAAGTTTGAGAAGGTCAGGGCTCTGGCTCTGACTTTCATCACTTGGTCGCTTGTCCAGGTACATTGGT